ATTCGACGAACGTAAGTATTTCCTGCGTGACAGAATACCGAAAGCATATTAATACCAGGACCTATGTAGATCCATCCGAGGCACACATTGGCCGGTTCGCTTCGGCTAGCATCCCCGTGCACCGGTTACACGTACATGTGAAGCGGCTCGTTACAGCCGGCCACAAGGTTGGCGTTGTGCGACAGATCGAAACAGCTGCGCTCAAGGCTGCGGGTGATAATCGAAATGCGCCATTTGTTCGCAAGTTAACCAATCTCTACACAAAAGGAACCTATATCGATGATGCTGAAGGTCTGCAGGGTCCTGCGCCAGCAGCGGGAGGCGCTTCTCCTGCCACTGGGTATATGCTCTGTATGACGGAGACTAATGCCAAGGGCCCCGGGAATGACGAGCGAGTTCATGTCGGGATTGTCGCTGTCCAGCCGGCTACAGGTGATGTTATCTACGATGACTTCGAAGATGGCTTCATGCGGAGCGAGATCGAGACACGACTATTGCATATTGCTCCCTGTGAGATCTTGATTGTCGGAGAAATGTCCCGAGCTAGCGAAAAGCTTGTACAGCATTTATCTGGAAGCAAGATGAATGTTTTTGGGGACGCCGTGCGCCTCGAACGAGCTCAGAAAAAGAAAACCTCCGCCGCTGAAGCACACAGCCATGTGTCAGGATTTTATGCAGGAAAGATGAAGGCTACAAGTCTTGAGGAGGATACCCAAGCTGCGAAGTTGCTCCAAAACGTTCTTGGCCTCCCGGAGCAGGTGACTATCTGTCTGTCTGCTATGATCGAACATATGACCGAGTATGGGCTGGAACATGTGTTTGACCTCACAAAATATTTCCAGCCCTTCTCAGCTCGTTCACATATGCTTCTGAACGGAAACACGCTGGTCAGTCTAGAAATATACCAAAACCAGACAGATCTCTCGACAAAGGGGAGTTTATTCTGGACCTTGGATCGGACGCAAACGCGATTCGGACAACGCATGTTACGGCAATGGGTTGGAAGGCCTTTGCTGGACAAAGCACGCCTCGAGGAGCGGACGAACGCCGTGGAGGAGATTATTGATCCTGCGCGAGCGGTTCCTGTGGAGAGAGTGCGAGGGTTGCTACGAAAGGTCAAGAGTGATCTTGAGAAGAGTTTGATCCGCATTTACTATGGAAAGGTAGGCAATACTTCTGCGATGGTGACCACGCCTGTACTAAAATTAAGCCCAGTGCGAGCGACCCGAACTTCTCATTGTTCTGCAAGCTATGCAGATGATTGCAATGGAATTTTCAGATATCAAATCACCTGCCCAGACGGGCTTTCAATCATCGCTAGTGAGCGAGGCTATCGCCTCTCTGCCCACGATCCGAGCGTCAGTCGTCAAATTTTTGGATAAGATCAACTTGCACGCTGCACGAACCAATGACAAATATACCTTCTTTCGCGAAGCGGAGGAAACAGAAGAGATTGGTGACCTTAAACTCCAAATCGGAAGCACCGAACATGGGTTATTAGAACACCGCAAAGATGCGGCGTCGACAATTGGAAGAGGCAAAGTCGAATACTCAACAGTCTCCGGCATTGAGTACTTGATCGAGATCGAAAACAACTCCCCGGCACTCAAGCGCGTTCCAGCATCATGGGTCAAAGTCAGCGGCACAAAAAGAGTGTCCCGCTTCCACACACCAGAAGTCATCCAGCTCATCCGCGAGCGTGACCAGCACAAAGAAGCCCTAGCAGCAGCCTGCGACCAAGCATACAAAACCCTCCTAGCTGATATCGCAGCGCAATACCAGCCTTTGCGGGATTCCATCCAATCCCTCGCAACACTCGACTGCCTATTATCTCTCGCAGACATAGCCCAACAACCGGGCTACGTCAAGCCAGAATACACAGAAGAAGCAGGCCTCCACATCGAGCAGGGCCGACACCCAATGGTCGAGCAACTCCTCACAGACACATACGTACCGAACGACACAAACCTCGAACACGACGGCACGCGTGCCCTCCTCGTCACCGGCCCAAACATGGGCGGTAAATCCAGCTACGTGCGACAGGTCGCACTAATCGCAATCATGGCCCAGATCGGTTCCTACGTCCCAGCAGCTTCCGCCCGACTGGGTCTCCTGGACGCGGTCTTCACACGCATGGGCGCCTTCGATAACATGCTCGCCGGCGAATCAACCTTCATGGTCGAACTCTCCGAAACAGCAGATATCCTCAAACAAGCAACGCCTCGATCCTTGGTTATCCTCGACGAGTTGGGCCGCGGTACATCGACGCATGATGGTGTCGCTATCGCGCAGGCGGTGCTTGACTATATGGTTCGGTCAATCCAATCCCTCACACTTTTCATCACGCATTACCAGCACCTCTCGCGGATGGTACATTCCTTCCCTGATAATGCTCTCCGCAATGTGCATATGCGGTTCACGGAGACGGGTAGCAAGGACAAGGAAGGGGATCAGGAGATTACATTCCTGTATGAAGTTACTGAAGGAGTTGCGCATCGTAGTTATGGGTTGAATGTTGCGCGGCTGGCAAACTTGCCTTCGGCTGTTATTGACGTCGCTCGTCAGAAGAGTGCTGAGTTGGAGGAGTCTATCCGGCGGAAGCGGTTGGCTGGGCTTTTGGGGGCGGTTGGTCGGGTCATTGATGATAAGAGTGGTCTCGATGGAGAGTCTGCTGGTGATGGTCTGCTTAATAGGCTTATGGCCAGTGCGGAGCAGCTGTGATTTTACATTCTAGGGCATTGGGCATTTTCAGTTGTTCAATTACATACATATGCATGGGTTTAGCATGATCTGATTCATCTTGAATATCAATCTTGAAAAGACAAAGGCGTTTATTTAATTGCTGTTCTGGACATTAGATTTAGGATCAACACTACGATAGGTTTTTATATATCTTTTGAATGCCTTCCTAGCTACCTTTTTAGTGGCCTTTTGCCTTCCCGGCTTTATAGCTATAGAGATGGTGGTAAAAACGCATGAAACGTGTAGAGTTGTGCACTTTCCTATGCATTATAAGGGACATGGCGCATTTACTGTCTACATGTAGACATGTCCTTCGACAGTCAAGCCCCGATATCTAGAAACTCACATAGACTACACTGGCCAGATGCTCTACGAACGCTTTCAAAACCTCGACCTCGACAAGGCTGAACTGGAAGTTTTCAAACTTTTTTTGGATTCCATTGTTCTTTTTGTCGATCGGGGCCTGGTTCGAATCGGCGTTGTCTTTTCTAAGTACCAGTAACGGGGGAAAAGCTGGTACGAGGAAGAAAAGAGAGGAAACAACATCACAACCTCGTTTGTCGCATTGAGCCCATGCAAGCACGCCTAAATGGACGTGTGTATGTAGTAAAACACCAAGATCGAAACCAGACCAGACCGTGCCACAAGTCCACAAACCAGCCCTCGCGCAAGAACTTGATTTCGTTTTCTCGTATCAATAAAAAAAAAGGCTTCTATTATCTTTTTTGCGGCTCTCTGCTCCTCTCTCTCACGATCGTTTCTCCATAATCGACCTTCCGGGACTTTCGGCGTTATAAAAACCAAAAAGTCAATCCACCCAAACCATCACCTCCAGTCGAAACAGCGGAAATCGTAGAAACGGCCCCTTGAGAGTCGGCAGGCGGGGATGATTGGGCAGCGCGGCGGTTTAGGGCTGAGGAAGATAGGAAGTTGAAGGTACGGCAAGAAAGAAAAGCGGGGGACTCGATTTTGGCCGAAGAGTAATCATGAAAAATCGGTCGTAAGGGATATGCGAGAGAAGAAGAGAGACAAAATAGACGACGCGAGCGAAATTTCGTTTTGGTGGATTTTAACGGAGACGGCGGGCCTCGCGCTCGGACTCGAGCAAGCAGAGGATGTCGTCAACGCGGACTGGTGCGGTAGATGTTAGCGATGTGGTTCGGCAAAGTTTTGTCGTCTTTTGGGTCGATCCTCGAAAATTCCATATTTCAACATGGGGTCTCTTTTCATTGTGAAATGAATAGATACACCCGTGTCTTTCCTCCTCTTGTGATCCCAAAAGACGACCGGATTCAGGGAAATCAATATCGCATACCTGGGCCCTTGACGTTGCGGATGATGGAGCGCGAGGTGTCGTCCATGAACTCGACGCGGACCTGGGTGACACCACCACGGGATCCTAAATGAATAGACCACAAATTAGCCATTGCTATTCCTCCAAGTATCTTTTTTTCATCGGTTGTTTCGGGCGATCCGGGGCGTAATGGGTGCACCCCGCGAATATCGAATATCGAATTGTGGGTTTTGGAGCTTCAAAAAGCTGGGAAAGCACATACCGGTGCGACCGAGGACACGGGTCACCTTGACGAGCTTAACGGGCTGCTTGCTGGAATCCATCTTGGAGGATAGGAGAGGGCGTTGAGCTCGAGGGTTGGAGTTGGTTGGACTGAAAGTAAGAGAGTGTTGAAGTGGAATTTGGCCTGTGTGGGTTCGTGCAAATTACGCGAGGGCTCAGGGCCAGCTTGACACCTGAGCCGTCAGGCATAATATGAGTCAGCGGATAAAATTGACACCTGATATGTCAGGCATATTAAGGCAGAACATATTTTCTTGGAACTCCGATATCGTTCGGCATCACCATTAGACAACTACGGCTTCCACAGCCAATTATCCTATCAAATCACTTGAAAATCTCATTGAATACTGTACCAAGTATATGTAGATACTTCACAGATAGCCATATACCACAAATTCTATCACGTGGGCTCATACTGTTCAGCGAACACGGTACCTGGTCCCCCGGTCCCGTCGCTAGTTCACCGGAGTAATCTGCCCCTCCAATTTCTGCCGCAAGAAGCTCCGGTCTCTCTCTCCCTCTGACTCAACTAGACTATATTAGCCGTTCTATCTTGTCTCCAAGATATATTCACGGTCCCTGCATTACAATTGACTCAACCTCTTTGTCAACCGATTCCCAACCAGCTTATTCCCCCACCCCAAAGACCCGCGAAAGCCCCGCGCCGCGCCGCTCAATCGCCATGGATCTCGTCAACCAGTGAGTCAATCTCAACTACAAACCCGCATTAGAATCCCTACTAAAATACTAATTCTAAACAGCCTGGAAGGCCGTCTTCTCTTCGCCGTGCCCAAGAGCAAGTTCCCCCAAATCATGACTCATAGTCTATGAGCAGCGATGAACATGAAACAAAGATAAAGAACCCAAGACTGACGACGCAAACCCACTATACAGAAGGACGTCTGCAACAAGCAACCCTCGACCTCCTCTCCGGCTGTGATGTCCAGTTCCGCCGTGAAACCCGCCTCGACATCGCGCTAGTTAAGAACCTGCCCATCGCGCTGATCTTCCTGCCCGCCGCCGACATCCCGACCTTCGTCGGCGAAGGCCGTGTCGATCTGGGTATCACTGGCCGCGACCAAGTCGCCGAGCACGATGCCACCCTGCCCGCTGGCGAGACCTCCAACGTCGAGGAGATCCTCGACCTAGGCTTCGGCGCCTGCAAGCTGCAGGTGCAGGTCCCCGAGAAGGGCGAGCTTAAGGAGGCTAAGGATCTTGTTGGCCGCAACGTCGTGACCAGCTTCACTGCCCTCACCGAGGCTTTCTTCCGTAACCTTGAGGGCGTCGAGGCTGGCCAGAAGCTCGCCACAAAGATCAAGTATGTCGGCGGTAGTGTTGAGGCTGCTTGCGCTCTCGGTGTCGCGGATGGTATCGTTGATCTTGTTGGTATGTTACATATTCTCTAGTCCACTGAAATACTGCGTGGAACTGGAACCGAACCCGTCGCTAACACTCAATCTCCCATTCAGAATCCGGTGAGACTATGAAGGCCGCTGGCCTCAAGGCCATCGACACCGTTGTCTCCAGCACAGCCGTGCTGGTCAAGTCCCGTACCTCCAACAGCGACATCCTCACCCTCCTCACCTCCCGTCTGCGCGGTGTCATCACCGCCCAGAAGTTCGTCCTGTGCCAATACAACATCCCGCGTGAGCAGCTGTCCGTCGCATCCAAGATCACCCCCGGCAAGCGCGCGCCTACCATCACTGCTCTCGAAGAGGAGGGATGGGTTGCTGTCAGCTCTATGGTGGAGAAGAAGCGCATTGCCACGGTAATGGATGAGCTGATTAAGGTCGGCGCAAGTGATATCTTGGTTATGAACATTGCCAACTCGCGCACGGATTAAAGACTTGATGATAGTTTGTTTTCTTTTTGGGTTTTTATAGCATCCTTCTTCTTTTCTTTTTACTTATATACCGTGATGGATTGTTCCGGGATACTGTTTCCTTTTCTTCGGTTTGGTCTTGATATACTATCTCTCTATGGGGTTTGGAGACAAAAGCACATAGAATGGGATAGGATTACATAGCGTGTGTGCAAGGAAATCTATTCATGTTCGTATATTGAGCTCTGCTCGAACCTTCTCTATCTTTCTATTTCTAGATGAATAGCTTCAATCCTCCCCTATAGAAACAAAAATATACATGCAGTACGATACACATCGAAATATGTACCCAAAAAGACCCTACCCAAATCATCAAAACGTATGGCCCAATGGTATCATCAAAAGATCATCAAAACCAAAAAAAAAATCCCCCAAATCCTTATAATTCCTTCTCCCCCAATCCAACACCCTCCTTCCTTCCCCTCTGAATAGCCCGAAGACACTGCCCAACCCCCTCAAGATCCCCAAGCAACCCAACATGTCCGCGGTCACTCTTCACCAACCCATCCTTGATAATCCTATACCCAGGAGGCAACATAGCAGCCGAAGCAAGACAAACTCCATCCCCAGCCGCGAACGCAAGATCATCATACGCATCAATCTGCTTAATACTCTCACGCGATACAACACGCGCCCCGTATACAGTAGGCAATGTCTTCCCGTACAGCACCGCCGCAGGCGGATATCTGTTCTCGGAATGGTGCGAAGGTCGGAACCACAGGTTCTCTTTGAACCGCTTGGTGTCTGCCAGCGTGCGCTGTAGGTACTCCCTCGCTGCGGGGAGCGGGATTGTGCTCGTTGTGGCTATTTTAGAGGTTGTGGCGCTGCTGCGTGGGTGTGCGCCTGGTCCGACTAAACCGTCGGCTGGGTTTTGGGCTTTCTCGGCTGCATATGCGGCGTACGAGGCTGGGTTGTGTGGTGTGTTTGCATTGCGGGCGTGGATGTCTCTGTCTAATGCAGAGAAATTATGTCCGCCTTCCGGGAGGTGGTGCAAGTCTTGGTTGAGGAATTCGTCAGAGTCATCCCGTGGACCCATTGAGAAGCGCTTGCCAAGGAGGGGGATATCTTTGAAGCCGAGGATTGTGTTGTTTGTGGTTGTTGGGGGGACGGGGAGAGCGGGTCCCATGCAAGGGGAAAGACGATGCTCCTCCCAAATTTTGGCGTCGAAGAAGTCGATGCGGAATTCTTTTTTGCTTTGCTTGTCGATGAAGCAGTGACCGTCTTCTGGGAGGAGGGCAAAGCTCGTGCGGAAGGTGAAGTTTACTTGTGCTGTTAGAACGCGCGAGCTGAGGAGGACGTCATCGCCGCTGCGGAGTGGTCCGAGGATGTTCACGCAGTGCTGTGGTACGCCTGCGTACACGACTCCAGCGAAGAGGTCTGGTCGTTCGTTGACGGCGTGTCGGGTTATGAGACCGCCCAGGCTATGTGCGATGACTGTAGCGCCGCGTCGGGTCTCTCCTGGTGCGGGCTCCTGGTTGCATGGCAGGCTTTCTAGGAAGGCGATGAGCCTGCGCGAAAGCAGCTCGGGACTTAGACGCCAGTCGTATCCATAGTCGTGGACACGCATTTCGCCACGCTGGGCATTTTCGCTCTTGCGCAGGCGCTTCATCAATCGTCGACAGACGTCCACTGGGCCAACGTGGGAGAGAACCCCAGATGGAATGATGGTCTCTTCCATGCGTTCTTCGTCCTCTGGGTTCAGACCGACCTCCAAGTCCACTTTCCGCAGATTCAGACCAACCTTCATCGGCACCCAAAGTTGACGGTGGGGTGGCTTGGCTGACCGCAGGATTGATCCTCGGTAGCCTCCTAGAATCACGACATCTCCCGTGAGCTCTGCCATTGCTTCTTCCAAGATTGGATGTGTTGGGTTTGGATTGGTCCGCGGAGTTAGCGGCGGGGTTGCAGCCCGCGGTGGTTGTTCCTTTTTAGCAGCACTGATACCGTTGCTGTTATTTGGACCGTTTCCAAGATCTGGCAGGAATTGACGAGAGCCCCAATCAGTGCGGATATCCTGCAGATGGAGATTCGGCATACTGAGCAGCCTGCTACTCGAGTCTTGCAGACTATCCTTGATTGCCTTGAACCGGCTGTTTACCTGAGTGTGTACGTTCTCGTATAATGGTCGCTGCTCTAGGGATGAAGCTGTAGACGACGCACGCAGATACAGCGATTGATCCGACGAGGACCTCCGTAAACTCGGGGGTCGACCGGGCATCACTGAACTAGGCCTCCGCGCGAAGGAATGTTTCGCGGCCGAGGTTCCATCTGGTGAGCGCAGCTCAGGTATCGGCTCAGCAGCTTCTCCGTCATCGTCAATGCTAGAGCCACTTGGGTTAAGAGGTGAGGGCAGCGGGCGCCCGCCCAGCGATGAAGTTCTTTTCGGTACTCCCAAGTTCTTCTTGACTGCGGGTGCTACCGTCTGACTGCGGATTCGGTTTTGGCCATTGGGGGCGCGGAACGAGATAGAGGGCCGTTTCTTCAACGAGGTCAGGTCAGGTAGGAATTTCTTGAGCTCACCGGACCAGCTGCGTTGTCGGCGAGGTAATGTATTCTTCAATAAGGCCCCAACAAAGCCAGACCGCTGGCTCACGGCTGTATCTTTCGACCCGGTCTTTTCAATACCCGAGGCAAAAAGATCGCTGCGAGGGCCATGGGCAAGGCGACCTGGTTCGGGTTGTTTATAGTGGGAGGGGTATGACACTCGGGGCTTATGTCCGGACCTTCGTTCGCGCGGCGCTGGTGCTGGTGCTGGTGCTGGTGCTGGTGCTGGTGGCGGTGGTGGTATTGGGGCTTTTTCGACTTCGGGCTCCACTGACTCTGGCTCGGTCGTGATCTCCGATGCAAATAGACCATCCTCGCCTATAGTATCCGGTATTGTCCTGAAATATGTCCCCTGGTGTTCCAGCACCCGATTCTTCTCTTCTAGGGGGGTTGCTCGGGCCTTCATGCGGCTCTGCTCGCGCCCGATGCTAACCCCCACCATGTCACCAGCGTCATCTTCGTCGGTAACCTCGATTGCATGTGGAAGTGGTTCATCGCTATCGGAGCTGGAGAAGGACGAATAGTGGGAAGGGGAGTCTGAGACTAGATTCGAGGATGTCTCCGAGTCCAATGTTTGTTTCGGGTGTGTTGAGGTCGTTGCAGTTTCCGGGGCCAGATGTGAGATATTATGTCGGTCGGCTGAGGACATGACTATTTATGATAGAGAAATGCTCTTGAAAGTTCAAACATGAGGTACCGGGGTGTGCGACACTCCAAGAGTAGGGGATTGGCTTATGCAAATGCGAAAAAAAAAAATTTAGAATACGATAGAAAAGCTGTCTGAATATTGTACAAAATGTTACACTTAAAAAGAAGTTTTGGTGAGAGAAAAGGGTGGACCAGCACAGCCTTCTCGGGTCGGTCGGATGTTGACTTATAAAAGTTCAACATTAGATATTTTAAGAACAGTTAAGAACTATTAAGAAATATTTAAGCTAATGTAAATGCTTGGCTTTTAAAGGTGCAGTTATATTCCCATGACCTATCCTTTTTACCTTTCAAAATGTACGGAGTCTGTACAATATGATATATATGATCGACAAAAAGCTGACTTGAATGTTGTTCGCATGTGAGAACTTGTTTTTAGTGCAAAGTACTGGAAATATATTAAATCTACTTGGCATATCTCTTTTCCGAACTAAATTGACCAGATCGAATCTCCTCCGCACCTTTATTCGCAATCTCTTCATTCCTTTCAGCACCCTCAGTAGATCCAAAAGCCCGATCAACAGCCGTATTCAACGCCCCACGCAATGACTCTCCAGCACCCTATAACATAATCAATATCAGACCCCATTCCCCAAAAAAAGATCTCAACTTACATGGACCGACGCCGCAGCACCCTTCACCTTATTCCCGAATCCCTCCCCAGCCCGTGCAGCCTTCGATTCAGAAGCTGCTGTATCCTCCATCTCCGCCCGCTGTGCTGTACTAGCCGTGTTCGGGAGTGGCGCATCCCCGATAATCCGGTCATCGCTGCGAGACGGCGAAGGTGAGAGCGGTCGCTGGCGGGTCTGGGTTGGTCCGCCTGCTGATGATCTCGAGTAGCTCGATCCTGTGGCAGGGTTATAGCCCTTGGTCTTGTCGTACTGGGATTGTGTGTCGTGGACGCCTGTTGGGAGGCCTGGGGCGCCGGTTGAGGAGCCGCCACCCACTGCGCCCCGGGAGGTGTGGGTTGGATCGGCGTGTTCGTAACTTTGGTAGGTCTGTGACATGATGTATATATATTTGATTTGTTGATCTGGTGTTATTAGGAGAATGTTGTCAGTTCTCACACTTTATCCGGTTTATACTTCCTAGACAGTGACGTCACGATGAGAGCAGAACATAATTATGGATTGTATAAATCCTCTTCTGTATTGTATATCTTTTTGTATATCTTTTTTGTATATCTTTTTATGTCCAAATAAAAGACAATGTAAGAAACTGATTATTCAACAATTTCCCTTTTACTTCGGGGAAGCCGAGGTTCAAGGAGCAGTTTTCCTAATATGGAGCATCTCCGATCCTACAGATATATACTTTTACCTCCCTCTTTACGCAACTTCTCTCTTCACCCCTAACTTCCCAAATAATCTTCAAAATGTCTAACAAACAAATCATCTACACCACCCCTCCGGCCCCGGCCATCGACCCCTCTCTCACCAACGGCACCTTCCGCCTAAACACCCTCCCCATCCCCAAAGATGTACCAACAGACAAGCTCCTCGTACGAGTACACTACCTCTCCCTGGATCCGGCCATGCGTCAATGGCTCACAGCCAAGCGCTCCTACATCGCGCCCGTCGAACAAGGCGCCGTAATGCGCGGCCAGAGCATTGCCCAAGTCCTCCTCGTAGGCAGCGACCTGACCTCCAAGTACCGCAAAGGCGACTGGGTCGTGGCCGGTTCCGGCTGGCAGGAATATGCGGTTGTCAGCGCGAAAGAAGCGCAAAAGATAACCGTTCCTTCTGGCGGACGTCCCACGGACGCGATGTCCGTGCTCGGCATGACCGGACTGACGGCCTACTTCGGCATGGTTGAGATCGCGCAGGTGAAGAAGGGAGACACTGTTGTTGTTTCTGGGGCTGCGGGTGCTACGGGGATGGTGGCTGGACAGATTGCGCGGATTAAGGGCGCTAAGCGGGTTGTGGGGTTGGCGGGGAGTAAAGAGAAGTGTGATTTCTTGGTGAAGGAGCTTGGGTTTGATTCGGCGGTCAATTATAAGGATCCCGATTGGAGGAAGCAGCTTAAGCTTGCTACGCCTGAGTATATTGATGTTTTCTTTGATAATACTGGAGGTGATATTCTTGATGCTTGCTTGGCGAGAGCGGCTACTGGTTCCCGCTTTGCTATTTGTGGGGCTATCAGTCAGTATAATGCTGCTAAGCCGCAGGGTCCGGGCAGTTTTATGAATGTGATTGTGAGTTTTCTCTTGGGGTTGGGGTGTTTTTTTTGGGAGTTTGGGCTAATCGATTACAGTCACAACGGATCACCTTGAAGGGTTTCATTGTCTTCGATTTTGCGAAGCAATACCCAGCTGCACTCAAGGAGCTCGCCTCTTGGTTGGCCGAGGGTAAGCTCAAGCGCAAAGAGCATATCGTGCCTGGTGGCTTGGAGGCGGCGCCTCAGGGTCTCATTGACCTCTATGCTGGTGCCAACACCGGTAAGATGATGGTTGAGGTAGCGCCGGTCAGCGAGGCGTTGGCTGAAAAGGCCAAGCTGTGAACATATAGCGCGCATTTTGGGTTTCCAGTTTTTTGTGGCATCAATTAACATAGCAAATAACAAGATATTTTTGATCTAGGTCATATTAAATCTTTATGAGCTCTTGGCTACTAGATACGTAACTTCGTGATATGAAATCTCAAAAGTTCTAAATATATATAACCTAAGTCACTCTATTTTAAACAGCTAGATCTTTTATATAAAGCTCAATTGCAGGTAGTAGGACACTTCTGTCAGTTTGGATTGATATTAAGAGAGATCCTAGTGAATTTCTCTTTTGCTATGTGTTTTCTGTCTCTGCTTGAGTCTTTCTCTGTCGAGTATACATAAGTGACGTCATTCTTATATATACGAGCCCTGTTACCCCGAACCTGTTACCCCGAAGATTCAAGATTCAACCTTGGAAGATATATATTCTAGCAGGAATTGGATATTCAGACAGTCGGTTGGAGCAATTGATGACCTACAAATGATGCATGGCCGAAACAGGATATGACCAGAACAAGTTTTGTACTTTCGAAAAGTCATGACCTATCCCCATTTTAATCGCCTATATATACACCATGCCACGATTCTACATACCAGCTCTTAACAAGAGCCAAACAGCTTTAGTATCAATTCCATCAATCCGAATACCCAAACTCCCCCTCCTACCTTCCCGTCAATTCGGAGTAAATACTCCCAGAAAATCACCCATTTCAGATAAGACCAAAATGGCCGCCAACGAAAGTAACCAGAGCTTCAAGCTCGAAAACCTATTCAATGTGAAGGACAAAGGTAATCTATACATAGCTACTCCACTCAAACCTATCTAACAAACCCAGTGGCCCTCATCACAGGCGGCGGCTCAGGAATCGGCCTAATGGCAGCACAAGCGCTAGCCGTGAACGGCGCCAAAGTATACATAACCGGACGCACAGAAGACAAACTCGACCGCGTCGCCTCCCTCTACGGAAAAAACATAAGCGGACAAATCATCCCCCTCCCAGCAGACGTAACCAACAAAGACGAGATCCGCAAACTAGTCTCCGAGATCACCACTCGCGAAGGCCACCTCTCAATCCTAATGAACAACGCCGGAATATCCAGCCACAGCCAAGAAACCGAGCCGGAAGATGCATCCAACCTCTGCGAGACACTATTCGATGATCCGGCTGCCACATTCGACGAATGGGATTCTGTGTTCCGCACGAACGTCTCGCAGATCTTCTTCATGACGACGGCATTCCTGCCGCTGCTGCAGCGTGGATCGGAGGTTGAACATGGTTGGTCTAGCACTGTGCTCAATACGACTTCCATCTCGGGTATTGTGAAGGTCTCGCAGCATCATTTTGCGTATAATGCTTCCAAGGCTGCGGCGATTCATTTGACCAAGATGCTTGCGCATGAGGTTAGTTCGTCGAAGCTAAGGGTTAGGGTTAATAATATTGCGCCTGGGGTTTTCCCTAGTGAGATGACTGCTGGGGAGAGTGATGAGGGACAGAAGAGTTTTATTCCGGCTGAGAAGTATCGGGAGAAGGTTCCTGCTGCTAGGCCAGGAAAGGATGAGGATATGGGTGGTGCTGTGCTTTTTGCGGTTTGTAATCAGTACTTGAATGGGCAGACTGTTGTTGTTGATGGGGGGTATGTTCTTGCTGCTGGGTCTTTGTGAATGGGAGTTGGATGGTGAAGGTGTATAACAAATTTGGTATTTGAGGGTATATGCAAGGACGCTAAGAACATATCATAAGAAGCATGTCTCGTTTTGAGCTTTGAGCCAAGTAAGGTGAAGACTAATGTGGGCTGGTAGCAGCTTCAAGCTACCAAGCAGGGGATATCAAAATTCCAGCCTTCAATATCCATTTGCTCCCGCTTCGCAAACCATCACACTACTTATCCATTCTGATCGCAGCAAGGTCGAAGTTGTGATACGTTTCCAAGAGTAGGGATGCAGCATTGCATAGATGGCGTTGCGTCGTCTCTAAAGACCAGATATTAGTGACCTGTCTTCTCGGATAGACTCCAGAAATACTATAACATACCCGTCCCAGAGTCTCGATTGGCGGGTATCCATCCACAGCACTCCGAGCATCAAGGTAATCCAGATACCGCGAATCCTCCTGATTCGGCCGCGCACTGCGCCACAACATCTTGTCTGTGACAAGCGCCATGTAAACCATAGCAGAAGCCCAAACATCCGCAGGACGAGAATCGCACTCATCACGGTCATCATGTCTATCATCCCGATGCATATGAGATTGGAAATGTAGTTTGAATTCTTCCGGAGGAATATAAGGAAGTCTCATACCCACAAACGAAGCTGTAGGCGCGTTCGCAATGACAGGCTTACTATCACTACCCGCTTCTGAATTCGGACGACATAATGAATTCAGCGGCCAGGGTAGTGTGAACGACCATGCGGATTGTGCAGGCTGTGGTCGCGAGGGAAGCATTCCTTTTCCCCCGCTAGTCTCCTCCCAGATGCGTCGGATATGTCCGTCGCCAAAGCCGGCTAGCTTCACGGATCCACTGGCAGTGAGCAGGACTGTCTCGAGACGGACGTCGCGGTGTGCCAGGCCGTGATCGTGGAGGTAGGCAAGGGCGCGTAGCAGCTGGGTTATTATACAGTCTGCTTCTTGGGTTGGGAGGGCGCCTTTGCGGGATAGGAGGGTGTTTAGGTCGCCGCCGGCGCAGTAGGGCATTACCAGGCAGAGCTCGTCGCGGTCGTTGTGGAGGATGTCCAGGATTGGGAGGATGTTTGGGTGGCTTGGGTGGAGGGCCGTCGAGTGGGTGGAGCTGCGTGGACCCCTGAGGATGGATCGTCTGTAGACTTTTATGGCGACGAGTTGGTTATCCGTTTTGTTTTTTGTTTCGTGGAGACGGGTTGTGCTATTTGAGCCGTAGTGGACCATCTGGCGGTAACGGCCATATTTGTCTATGAAGGAAAGATTGGGCGATGGAAAGGTAGAATGTGATTGAGTAGATATTGATGAATCTCGACATAACAAGGGCTGCTGGTCTGTTGGGACTGACTTCAACAGGGGTAGATTGTTGCTTTTGGTACCATTGGACAAGTGATGCTCAGCTGAGAGTTTCCCTCGTATCAGGGTGTGGTGATGATCGACAGTCTGGTGAGAACGCATGGCTATCATTGTATTTTTTTGCGCGGCCACTTGAGGTTATATAGGAGAACACAGAAACATTGAGAGGGAAACATCTTTGTTTCCTGTTAAGACAATGCCCTTTTATAAACCAGGATCAGAGTGATTTCCTTCCTTACAGATCTAAACAGCAAGGACGCGGGAACGTGCTGTTCGACCCCAACGTCTACATTGTAGCTCATCAGATTCAATTCGAGTCAATTCTCCGAGATTATTCTGCGATTGGATGGTACAAACAGCTCATTTAAAGAGCGATTTAAAAATTTCCTGATCCTTTGAAGCCGCTCTTAGCGAAAGATGAAAATTTCAAAATGCGGAAGCCTGTAATATGGAGTATAATTTCGGGGTGTTAGTGTGAGGTCTGAATTGAGTCTGCATTGGGGGATGAATCGGTGGAGAAGAAAAATCCCTCATGTGGCCGGGAATAACACCTCAACTTGTGGCTATGTTATATATTTTTTTTCTTTCACTGGACTTTGCCTTCATTAGGAAAACTGAGGCATTTGTTTCATCTTTTTACTAACAACTCTAGTAACCAGTACTATTGACTAGAATTAGTTAGATGCCCCTTCGTCTAAAATATCCAGGGAAAACCTGTGAGAGAAGAAAAAAGTTAGGGCTGAGTTTTGTATTATTACAGGGCTTGTAATAGCTGGTTAATGATTGGCTATGAGACCTTTCTTTGTGGTAATATTACGTCACATTGTGTATATGTAATATAGCTGAGTGTCATAACATGGCCAAGTATAAGCTTGAAAAAGTACCTAAGCTTAATGGTACTTGACTTAACATACAAACATCCACAGTTAACCATGTACCCGTTGAGGTATCATTTTCTGTGGATCCCTAGACTATGGATCTTATGGATCTACTCCGTATGGATGTTATTTTTTCTTTATTCCCTCACATCGGATTGCCCACAATCGGCAGTTCCCTCGTGGAATCGCGTGGGTTCTGCGTGATACATTTCTTGCGTCAGGGAGAACCTTCCGAATTCATCCAGCTTAACCAGCTTGGGGTTAGGCAAATCGGACTCTTGGACCCTGGTTGTCTACATAAAAGGCTGATGGTCGCACACTCTTACTCTATCTTTCTCTGACAATTCAGCTTCGATTACAAGGTTCACTCTTGTGTGTCTCCAGGGCTTTTGCAGTGTACTTATTTAGTCTCTGCCTTCCCTCTTCTTTACTCTCCCAATCCTCTCCTCATCCTCATCGATGAATCCAGACAAAAACGACGTCGACGTCGAGTCGGAGGGCGAAAAGCTCAAAGATGATGACCGCACTGGACGCTCCACGAAGATCACCTTTGAGGAGGGCTCTTCCGCAGAGGGACTGCGGTCTATTTACCAGCCGACTCAGGTCACTCGGACCCGCTCGCTGAGCCGTGATACTATTCGCAGCAACAGAAGCAGTATGCAGGGAAACGCTGAACTGCCAATTGAGTTCCGAACCCTCGCCATTCAGATCTCGGAATCCCAGAACGCCCCCAAGGAGGCTATCGTCGATCCCCCAAAGGAGAAGCAGCCACACCAAGACTACTTCGAGAGCTTGGACTACCACGTCATCTCCACCGATAAACTGTGTCAAGAATTCAATGTCGATCAGCGTGTTGGATTAAGCTCGTCCGCTGCAGCCACCCGTTTGCAGCGGGACGGTAAAAATGTCATCGCCCACCATCGCGAGAACTATCTCAAGAAGATCTTCTGGTACATCTTTGGTGGATTCTGTTCCGTTCTTTGGGTTGGTGTCGTCGTCTTCTTCATTTGCTGGAAGCCTCTCAGTGACCCCCCTCGCCTCAAAATCTTGCCATGGCTGTCCTCATTCTCATCGTCATTGCCTTGCAGGCAGGCTTCTCAGCTTTCCAAGATTGGTCCACTGCACGGGTCATGAACTCCATCCTTGGTCTCCTCCCCGCAGAAGCTATGGTGCTGCGGGACGGGAAACTCATCCATCTCCCTGCCTCGGATCTGGTCGCCGGTGACATTGTTCAAATTGCAATTGGAAACAAGGTCCCGGCTGACATGCGCCTCTTGACCACCTCCGGCGATGTTCGCTTTGACCGTGCTATTCTTACAGGCGAGTCGGATGAGATCGAAGGCGCCATTGATTGCACTGAGAACAACTTCTTGGAGACCCGGAACATTGCCCTCATGGGAACCGGTGTCACTAATGGCAATGCTATTGGTGTTGTTGTTCTTACAGGCTCCAACTCTGTCATGGGCCGCATTGCGTCCATGACAGCCGGTGTCAAGCAAAAGACAACCTTGATTCAACGCGAGATCAACCGCTTCGTTACAATTATTGTCGTTCTTACAGTCGTACTAGTTTTGCTCATCGTTTTCACCTGGCTGGGATGGCTGAAGCGGGATCACCCTAGCTACATGAGTGTCGTCGCCATGCTGAACAATGCCATGGGAAGTGTGGTTGCCTTCATCCCCGAAGGTGTGCCAGTCGCTGTGGCATTGACCCTCATGATGGTTGCCAAGCGGATGAAGAAGAACAACATTTTGCCCAAGGGACTGGCAACCGTCGAGACCTTGGGCTGCGTGAATGTCCTCTGCTCCGATAAGACTGGTACTCTCACTCAGAACCGCATGTTTGTCAAGTCGCTCGGAATGGTCGACTGGGAATACAGCCTCGAGGATCTGGCTCCTGGCGAGTTCGGAACCGTTGATCTTCCCGAAGGCCTGCGAAACATGCTGCGCGCATCTGTTCTGTGCAATGACGCCGTCTTCGACCCGACTACTATGAACTTGCCTGTTCATGAACGTGATGTCAATGGCAATGCTACCGATGCCGCCGTTTTGAGATTCGGTGACAGTGTTGGAATGACCAACCCGACTGCCCTGGCTCCATATGAACGTGTGCACCAGATTCCATTCAACTCAAGGAACAAGTGGATGCTCACCCTGCACCGTGACCCCAAATCTACCAAGGAGTTCCTTCTCTACGTCAAGGGAGCCCCAGATGTGCTGTTGGATCGCTGTGCTACTTACTGGTCTGCTACTCATGATGCAGTTCGTCCTCTCGATGCCGAAGCACGCGAAAAATTCTCCAACTACCAGGCTAAACTATCACGCCGCGCAGAGCGTGTGATTGTCATCTGCCAACGTCGCTACATTCCCAAGTCTGCCCCTGGCTCGAACGATTTCAGCAATGAGATGCTCGAGTGTGGTGTGCAGGATCTCACAGTCCTCGGTATCTTTGGTATTATTGATCCCCCACGTCCTGAGACGGCCTCAACAGTCGCAGCTTGCCGCAAAGCCGGTATCCGCTTCTTCATGGTTACTGGTGACTTCGGATTGACCGCTGCTGCCATCGCTCGTGAGATTGGAATCTTCGACGGACAAGCTGAGCCAGACACCATCGACGATCTCAAGGATGGCCTGGATCCCACAATGGAAACCAAAGTCCCCCGCTCACGACACAGCCTGCTTCTTGAAGGACCCAGCTTGTCATCACTGGGTGTGGACGACTGGGAGACAGTCTGCGGCTACGAAGAGATTGTTTTCGCTCGCACCACCCCTGAGCAGAAGCTTCGCATCGTGACAGAACTCCAGGGTCGTGGTTGCGTCGTTGCTGTAACAGGTGATGGTGTCAACGATGCCCCAGCCCTGCGCGCAGCCGACGTCGGCATTGCAATCGGATCTGGCAGTGATGTTGCAATTGAGGCAGCTGATCTCGTACTCTTGGACAAGTTCGACTCCATCGTTGAGGCCATTCGTCTTGGTCGCTTGGTCTTCCAGAACCTGCAGAAAGTCATCGCCTACCTCCTCCCAGCAGGTAGTTGGTCCGAGATTTGGCCTGTGCTCATGAACGTTTTCTTCGGCTGCCCTGCACCACTCAGCACCTTCCTCATGATCATCGTCTGTGTCTTCACCGATCTGTTCGTCTCTCTCGCACTCATCATGGAGAAAGAAGAATTCGACCTCCTCAGCCTTCCCCCCCGCCGTCCCACCAAAGACCACCTCATCAACCTCCGCATCTACGGCCAGTCCTACCTGTTCGTCGGTGTAATGGAAGCCTTCAGCGCCCACGCCATGTTCTTCTTCTACATGTGGCGCCACGCCGGTATCCCCTTCTCCGACCTCATCTTCGCCTTTGAGAGCTACGGCGAGGGCTTCCACGGCTACACCGCAGACGAGCTGAACCACTTCGTCGCCGTCGGCCAGTCCGTCTACTTCGTAACCCTGGTCATCATGCAATGGGGCAACGTCTTGTCCGTCCGCAGCAAGCGCATGTCCCTCCTGCAAGCCGATCCCATCCGTCCAGCCCGTCGCAACGTCTGGCTCCCTCTGTCCATTCTCATTTCCCTCATTATCGCCATCTTTGTCACCGAAGTCCCCGGTATCCAGAACATCTTCGCTACAGCCTCAGTCCCCATCTTGTTCTGGTGCATCCCGATCGGTCTTGCAATGGGTGTCCTCTGTATGGATGAACTGCGTAAGCTCCTCGTCCGACTCTTCCCCAAGGGCCCCGTTGCCCGGATCTCGTGGTAGACAGACCTTGGATATGATTGCCCCATGAAAATATACCCACTGAAAGAATCCCCCAAAGATGTGTACACGCTGCTTTTGTTACCCGCCCCCCTTACCCAGAGGTGTTTTGTTTAATCCTTTATACGCAATATTTCAATGTTAATAGCTCGTTACGATAATTTCATAGCTTTACTGAACATGGCTACAAATAAAAGCCTTGTATTTTATACATCTTCCTAGATATAACCTTTAGAATACATCCATGGATAGCTCTACCCTCTTCCAAACTTAAGAAACGTAGATATATTTAGTCAGTCCCTCCATCAAAGCCAACACTGCCGACTATGTAAATGTAGTATATTTCTAATAAAGACAATCTAAGATTGAAAAAGACCTGGATTGCTTGTAATACCACTAAACAAGTACGTACCGATCAAAAACAGCGATGCGTCAGGACATAAAAGTGAGGCTAAGAATACAAGATGGAGAAGTGGGAAAAAAAAGGTGGAAAAAAAGACCAATCAATGAGCTAAGAATACTGGGATTTCTGTGTGAAAAAGAAAAAAGTATAATGAGAAGAGAGAAACGAGTGGTTCTGTCCAAGATATAGAGAATGGATACAGAAAACGGCTGTGCAGCGAGTGACATGTGTTGTATACGGGGTAGAAAGTGGATAGGCAAGCAGGCAAGCAGGCATGTTGGCCCGATGTCGTGCTATGCGGTCTCTGGGATAGCGAGTGGATATCAATATTGATGAGACCTCGTGGGGATGGAGGTATAGTAAGGAAGGAAAAGAAGAAAAGGTAGGGGTAAAGGTGAGGGCCTGACAGGTCACATCGTACATATTCCCAAGGCGCAACCAAACACAACCTGTGTCATATTCAACAAGTCTATTGAATTGGCTGGCGAACCTTCCCAGCTTCTCGGACAGCTTCCATAAACCCATCTTCGTCGCCTGCAGCAGTAAGAACCCAATAATCAGCGACACCGGGGTTCTCGATCTGCCCACCGCCAAAGCCAGCTGCGGCAGGGGCGCTGTGCCGATCTTTAGGTTTCTGGTTGTTTGCTCCGAGATTGCGGGGACCCCAGCCCAGCACGTCGCGCACAGCAAGACGGGACTGGTCATCAGTCTGGTGGAAGGAGAATAACTGGGCCTGAAGACATCCCAGGATGGCGACGGCGGAGCGGATCATGATGCGGTCACCCTCGAAGACCCAGCAGTCCCAGACACGGGAGATGCGCTCGAGGTCCAGGCCGTTTGTCAGCAGCGAGCGGAAGATCGGTTCCCAGATCTCTGCCTCGGAGAAGTGGAGGGTTTCGGCCAGGTGAGTGTGTAGACGGGGGAACTTGTAGCGCAAGGTGTCTGAAGCTAGTGTGTAGGAGCGGGCCATGGCGCCTCGATCCCAAGTGAGGAATGCGACGGGTAAAGGACGGTTGAGGGCGTTGGCCATGGCGAGGAAGGCGGAAGCGGGGGTGGGGAATTGCAAAACGAGGAGGGCGGCGATGGTGTGCAGGCCGTGGATGTAGCCTACGTCGCTGCGGTACATGCAGTATGCTTGCAGAACGTCGATGAGGGTTTCCCGTAGTGGACCGCCTGCTTGGAAGAGGTTCAGATCTGGGAAGGCCTTGGGCACGTCTGTTTCGATTGCTTCAAAGCAGTCCAGTAGTCGTTTGTTGCTCTCGCTTTCTGCATCTTTCTTGCTTTGGAGATCCTTTGCTCGGCGCAGCGCTTTGGTGAAGGTTTCCTCTGTTAATTCTAGTTCGTTGCCAAGGGCTTTATTCCATATGGTGCCCCGATTGCGAGGCGGGATTCCGCGCCACCATAGCTCACGAATTCGGGGTTCGCGGAGAGCACGGTCCCAATTCGGACACACGTATTCATCCCAGATGTTCTGCAGTGTTACTCGGGTGTTGTCCTTTTCACACTGCGCATTTGCATCCTTGGCGGCTTTGCGTTTCTCTGAAATCCCAATTAGAAGGCCGGCAATACTTCAGGATCTTGTCTTAGCACATACCGATTTCTCGAGACTGGGCCATCATTTGCTGATACTGCCTCAGGTGTTTTTTCTCCTCCTTCTGATCCTTAGGCGGAAGCCAGCTTGGGCGTGTCCGCGTCAGGACCTTTTCTTTCTCCTTGCTAATTGGCAGCGGGTCGATCATGATGTTTGATTTCTGCAGAGGCGGTAAAGCGACAGCATCACGAGATGCGCGATGTGAGTCCTCGCTTGACTTCCGCGGAGCACCAGTTTGAATATGCTCCTCCCGCTTGCGATCTCTATCATCAGCATGCAGCTCCAGAGCTTCAGTGATGATCTTTGCCTCCTCGGACAAGTCAGATAGGAAACTGTTATACGAGTAGGTGCGAGGGTTGCGTGGGGAGAGCTGTCCACGCTCCGGTCCTGCGGAGCTCGATCGCTGTATACGCTTCATGCGGGATGCCTTGGCCGTGTTTCCGGGTGACGCTGGCTTATCAGTTTCCGCTACGGTATGCTGGATAGGCAGTGGTCGCCGTCCGGGACTGCGATCACCCCCGGGGCTGCGGCCATTCGGACTAGCAGGCCGTGATGGAGCCCGATCTTGAACTGGGCGCGGAGAAATAGGAATGTTCCACAGACTTGCATCGTCCGGTAGTTCATCGTCCGAGTCATGGTATTCTTCCTCCAGGTCTTTAAGCGATTTGCGATTCGGTTGCCAGGTTTGTTTCTGGATGGGCACTCGTGCGGATAGCGGAGACAGAGCTAGACTGGTGCTCGAGGTAAAGCGGCTGGATGTCGGCCGCAGCGGTGAGACAGATCGTGAACGGCGAGGCTGCGATGGTGCTAAACCGGCTGACTGTAGTGTGTTGCCTGAACCTCTCCGGTTTCCAGTTCTGACTGCGAGGGATCCTGCCAATTGAGGCGGCTTGGCCGATCCACTATGAATCGGGGGTAGGGGGCTTCGCTTGCGAGGGTTCAGAGTCGCAGTCAAGTCGCGAGTTGAGGCCGCAGGGACTTTGCTTGACATTCTAGCAGCGGGCGACCGCGCCATTACCCCAGAGCGGCCGTAGGATCCTGGCTGATCGTAGGACAAATCGGTATCATCTTCCAAGCCAATGTCTTCGAAATTCGAGATATCCGTAAAGATACTGTCCGGACCATCTGGGTGAGAGGTGGAATGAAACGAGGAGGATTTAGAGGATTTGGACCCGGAGAGCTCGGGGGGAGAATTGGGTATCGGGCAAACGGTGGTCATGGTCTCATGTAATTATTCAGACGTATTGATCCCCCACAGTTCTGATCTACCCGGAAAAAAACAAAGGGGAGGAAATCGACGGGATGGCCGGAAGGGGTCGAAAACCAACGCGAGTACCGGTATTTTTTGTAGTGATCGAGGGTCTGACAGGAATAATGACACAATAGAAGTCGATTAATGTAGAAATGAATTGCAGGCACAGCCGCAGCCTGATGAAATCCAGATCAGGTGTAATCGTGTAAATAGGGAGAGGATATTATGGGTTGACCATTGGGGGCCAGGGGTTGAGTGTAAACAAAAAAAGGAAATGAATGTGGGGGAAAGTAAATAGAGAAGAAGTAGAAGATTCAAACGAAAGACGAAGAGCAAAATCCACAAAAGTGAAAAGAAAGAAACGGTGATGCTGAAGTCTGCAAGCGGAGAAAGCCTCAGGCCGCATCGGTCTGGCCGAGAACAGGGGGGTACCTCGGTGATACCTTAAGCCACTAGTGCAAAAAGGGGGCTGAAGAAGTATCAATTAAGTATCAAGTATTCAATACGGAGTACATTTCTAGAAATCTCCCAGATGGGGAAGGGATATACCTACACAGCCTTGAAAGGCTCTTATGAACCCCTGAACCATGAACTCATTTCGGATCTCAGATTTCTACCCAATGCTGGGGGGAATATAGATGTGGCACAGTATGCACTATTTAATTGGCTCCAGGAAATGAGCTCCGTACAATTGTACAAATTCAGCAATTGATAGTATGGAGTATAATATAGGGAGTAGGAGTACGAAGTACAATTACACTGTTTATTTGGATAGACATTCCACAGTCCCTCTAGAACTATTCTAGAACCGCCATTCCTCAAAGATCGCATTTCCCTTTTTCACCACCTGCGTCATCCTCAAAGCTTCGGAATCTGACGTAGGTCGAGCATCTTTCGTCATCGAGTCCAACCAGTGCAGCACCACCGAATACCGCGTTTGCTTGCGCTTCAAAACAAACCGAAACGCCGCAGAAGCCAGATACTGAAGGTGGGACCGCTGGACGAAACACGAAAATGAAGCCTTCGAACAACCAGCACGCCGGGCCTGGATCGTGCCAGCCGTCTGCAAAATCAGATCGCGGATAGTCTGTGTTATGATGGTAGGGCCGGGGTGCGCACGGCCCCGAAGCGACTTCATATAGCGGTACATCTTCATGGCAGAAGTGATGAAGCTGCAGTAGAGGTTGGCTAGCACAACTGCACGTGAGTTATGTCCGTCATCGATGTACATGGGATGTAGCTGCAAGCGGAATGAGGAAAGCACTTTGCGGTAAAATGTGCGGCCGGGGAGGCGGGTGGCCTCGACGGTTAAGGTGTTGGAGAGAGTAGCAGCTGCTGATTCGCCGCCCTCGAGAATGCGATCTTGATCGCGGTGAAATTCCAGCGTGTGGGTGTCGATGAGACTACCGCAATACGGGAATAATGGGGTCCCTTCTAGTCTGGGGAGCAAAATGCCATCAACTGCTGCGCTGAAATTTGCCATGCTTTTGGCGGGATTGACTTGTACGCCGTACAATGGTTGGCCCCGGATCATTACTTCCAGGAACTTCATTGCCACGGCTACATCCGGTGTGACCAGGAGGAAGTCATCCACGAGTCGCAGGAGTAGAGAATTCTCAGGTTTGATAAAACTCAATACCTTTCGCTCTAGCTCGGCGTAGAAGAAATTGCAAAGGATGCTGGATAGCACGGAGCCTTGGGGAATGCCGTTGCGTTGGCGGAAATATTTCTTGCCTATCTTCACGAGGTTGTTCCGGACATGTTCATCGAGGAGTTCCAGAAGACTCTCAACATCACGTTCTTGTGGAGCTTGATTGTCAACAAAAACGGTGTTGGTCTTTCGCGGCGCGCCCCCGCTATTGACGAAGTCTGGTAGGTTCTGCGGTCTCGTCGCAGGCGCAGCGCGGCTCCTATATCTTCGTGTGGAGTATCCTTGGTGTGCAGCAGGAGCAGGCGGTTGGAATTCCATGTATCTTGAGATGCGGTAGCTTTCTTCAGAGACCAGCTCTTCGATAAGCTCAAGCAACCTTTTCTGGGGGATAGTATCAAAACAAGCTTTGATATCAAGCTTGACAAAGTACATCGGTGGGAGCTTAGATCGGGAAGGTTTAGAACCCGAGGGCAGCCGTTTGGACAGCCGTTCTTTGTACGCCTTCAATCGGCGATGCATATCTCCAACGGAGAGCATTGACGAGCCCAATTTGGCAGGAGCTTTCTGACGCTCGTAGGTTAACATGCTATAGATAGGTGTAATACTTGAATTGATGCTGGCGGCAAGGTACATTGGCTGGTTTTTCCATGTCGATTTCTTCCACGCTCGTTTGCGAAGATTCAAGATGGGCCGGAGGCCTGTAGATTTGGGAAGCAAACGGAGAGCACCGAAACCAAGGGACCGGCGTGCCAGCACACGTTGGGCCTGATCTGGCTCGAGCTCCTCGAACATCGTTGCTTTCAAGTCCCCGAAAGGTTGCTGGGTCAATTGCTGCCACAGATCATGGCGGAAATAGAAAAGTCGGTTTCGATGCGTTTGTGACTCGGTCACATAGAAGTGCGAACGAATAAGAGGAATGAGAACGGAATCGAAAATCCAAAACATGAATTCATGGAGTAGTTCAGTGCGTTTGTGCAAGTCAGACAGGGCGATCTTCGATCTTGTCTCAGATGAAGTAGTCTGGACCTGGGGTGGCTCCAGCCAAGGAAGGCTTGTTATCTAGCGTGTGGATCAGTACGGCTTTGTCTCAGACGATCAGTTTTCGGTGCAATGACCAACCTTTACACCTTTGCATACTTCGTGCAGACTCAGACTTTCGAATCGGCGCAATTTGATAAACTGGTCAACATGTCTGAGAACAATCTTGAGGTTCGCGATACCATCCGGACCAGCCCCCCAAAACTGGCGAGGGATCAATTTCTGGATCACCGCTCGACAAAATGCTGAGACAGAAGACGCCGGAGTCGCATAATCAGTCAGACTGACTGGGCTTTTTCGAGCCGGTTTATTGGTATCGATTCCAGATGTGTCGACAGCCATGTGCGGCTCCAATCCCGAGACATCACTTGAGGACTGCGCCAACTTATCGCTCGACGACAGGTGATTTACTCGCATCTGTGATACTAAATTTGACTGGAGCGAGGAGATAGGCTCGCTTTTTTTGGCATCAGGTGTGGAGGTAGAGGCAAATGCGCCAAGTGTCCTGGGTCCGGTTTGCTATCAAAGGTCAGCTACACAATCCTAGCCATTGTAAACAAAAGTGTCTCACTTCGGTTGGACAATAGTATCGCAGCAACTCTCCGTAGGAGCATTGTGCGTTGCGATTCCGGAGCTTCCGGACAAGCTCTATGGTGATTCCACGAAGCCTTTTAGGTACTTTGATACTCTTCACGGCGCCACAATCTTTGCCTGCGAATCCGTTCCCGAGTTGGGGCCGTTGTAGTCGTTTCTCTTCTTCCAAACGAGATATCTCAGTCTCACGAAACATGAAACCTTTCGAGGCATCTGTGTTTTTGCATGCATCCGGGTCCAGCGTAAATACATTCAGTAGGCCAAATTGCCGGGGAAAGATGTACTTCATTACATGGACTGTGTGTGCCATCGAGTCAAGTAATGAGAAGCGGCTAAGAACATCTAGAGTGAAAATTAGCACAAACCTAGAATCCGACATTCAAACGGCGAAGCACGTACGTGTCTGTCCTAGTCCAGAGGATACTTGCTTTTTGGACTCGGCACGTCCATAGAGAATACGCCGCCGTAGAAACACAATGTCGTTTGGCGTTTGGGTTGTCTTATCGGAATTCTGTTTGCGTTCGATTTTATCGTTGGAATGTCTCTGACCAGTGGTAGGAATTGGGTCTTGTGCTGTGGCAGCAAACCCATTGACTCCCAAGGACGCATCGCTCAGAGGCTCGAGATCGGAGAGTGGTAAACCTAGAAAAGCATCAGCACATCACGGTCAATATCCCTTCACACCTAGGCAAACCCATACCGCTGAGTTGGTAGTAAATGCCCTTTTGAGCGTTGATAGCAGCAAAAATTCCGCAATCGAAAAGGAGCTGCATCATAATATCCTCCCCATTACTACCAAGTAGGCCAAGGACCTCTGCCCATGCCCCCTCTGTGAGAGTCTGGACATTCTGATTTGGAACTTGAGACACAATGCCTGGAATACTCGTAGCTTGAGCATTCCGCCCCATAGAGTGGCGTTGGAAGCCATATGTCAACAAATGCCGATGCTTTTGATAGGAGCCATTGTTATGATTGAAGAGTTTCCAGATCACAAAATCAACCACCTGCAGCTAGGGTCAGCGGTCTAGTACCTAGAAATGACTCGACCATGGACGCACCTCAGACTGCGGACAGGTCGGTCCCGTATCAGTGCTGGCGAGGATCGACCGTGATTGAGACGCATTAAAAGATGAGTATTCCTTTTGTCGCTCTGAATTGAGGGTCGGAGAAGACTCCTTCAGCACACCCACCAGGGTGGAGTCTAGCAGCTCCGCCAATGTTTGGGATGCATTGTCTTCACGCGAGTCCAATGTCAGGATGCGACGCCGACGCGACTTGGAGGTCACGGGGAGTTGCTGGAGCAGGTACTCCCGCAAAGGTACGACCTGTCGGTAGTACAGGGAGATAACGGGATGGCTTGTTTTTGTTTCCAGGGAAATTGGGGTATGGGGCGTTCTGAAACGGGGAGATGTGGTGATACCGATGTGAGACGTGGGACCGCGGTCCTTGATGGGTCTTTTCCGCTTTTTGCCCATGCTGGGCGATTAAATAATTTCTTTTCAGGACCTTGGGGTTTTCTCAGGTTTAGTCCATTGCATGTCGATTGTTTTAGATGAGTTCCCAATGACACGCGACGCGTCAAGGTTTCGGCAAACAAGAAGTTCGGATGTGGGAATGTACACCTTTTCGAATTTAGGCACCTTCCTAGTATCAGTATCAGTAGGTTCTATACATCTGTTGAATGTCTCTGAAGTATACCTAGGTACATAGATGTAGAATATAGAGACTTGAATATATACACACGTGAAATCAGGACAGGAACCAATCAAGGCTACCAATTAAACATCAAAGTGTACCATGGAACCGGCGGTCTAGATACTGGTCGATTGCGTCTCCACTGCGTCATCCATGGATTTAATCTCGTTCCTGAAGACTCTGGAGGTACCTGTTATTTACAGTATTATAGCTGTTTATATCTGGTAATTGAAGTATTTTCACTATTTAAAATGTATATAAATGTACATATATGGTTACCCATATTGTAATATTATACAGCGCTCCCTGAAGACATCCCCTAACAATGAACACAAGGAAAAACCCACTTCCAAAATTCACAGTTTCACTTTAAACACACTGTATCGATCCCCAATTTCTTTCTCTCTCTTTCTTTCATCCATCTTTTCCTCGAGCTCACCTATCCCATGCATCACAAAAATATTGTTCAAAAATAGATCGACACTTCTAGTGTAGGTCAGCCCGATCAAAACGGATTGGCCCGGAGAGCTAACAAACCGGCCCACCGCCAGGATTCGCTTTCAAACCCCTCAACTACCAGGTTCCATCACCTATCAGCGTCCACTGGTGATAGACAAAACGTCAGTTTGAGCTCGATCCTCCTATTCGCCTCTTGCTAGAGTGTAATTTCGGCAACCAGCCGATCCTCGATCTCACCATACCATTATCCGATTCCCCCGATCCAAAAGTCCATTCAACCACCTTCCACTTTAGGCTCCACGGGGGACATATTCCCCTCGATATCGGCTTTTTCTCTCTTTTTTGCAGGTGTCTCAAATATGAATGTTGAATGGGTGTGCGCCACCCGAGAGGATTGCTTTGTAGCCTGAATCGACTCATCTGCGACATTCCCGTTGGGCGACCATCCCGGAACAACGCACCAGCGCAACCCGCCCAGAACCGAAAGGCCGCGACCAGTCCACGTCGACCTGTCGGCCTGAAGCATGCAAGATGTCTGGCGGTGACGAGCAGGGTTCTGATGTCCGGTATCGCGAGCCGCCTCCGTTTGGGCGACAATCGTCGGCCCCGGTATTTGGTCAATCTGTCAACGATCACACTACCACGTCTTTAGGTGACTCGCCGACCGACTCTTTCTCCCCCCAGGCACAATCATCGACCACGTATTTTTCACCGTCGGGCTCCATTCGTCCCCATAATTCCTCTTCCACGAATCACCTGTCGGGCGATCAATTGCAAGATCGTAGAGGGGAGTCTCCGGACCCTGCTGACTATTATCGCCAGCGTGGATCCCTGCCAGGGACTTCGTCCAATGTAAGAGAGGGGCTCGGCGATGTAATAACGGGCATGGCTGCGGCCGACTATCCTGCAGTCGGTGACAAAGTGTCACCCCTGCCAACAAACATGTTGGAGTCATCGCGCGCTAGACATCAACCCTACCGCTCAACCTCAGATTCTCCAACATTAGGAGCTCCCTCTGCCAAATTACCTCCGCCGAAAACGAACCCAAGATCACGACAGCCGTCGTTCAAAGATCTTGTCAACAAGTTCAACAAAACCTCCGATAAGATCCTACCTTTGCCATCTGTCTCTCATCCGACGTCAAGAGCACCAAGCCCTTCCGGAAGTGTTGACGGAGAGCGAAATCGGGTATTACCACGGCGTCAGCATTATCGTGATTCCCTACCGGAGTCGATCACTAGCAATTCTCAAGCAATAGTCGATTCGACCCCATCGTCGCCAGAGATAGAGAGATTTGGTCCGCCCTTAGACACAAACGGTGCTATTCCGCCGCCTCTGTTTCAACGGACCCCAGTATCGCACCCTCGCCGGCCATTGTTTGGTGAACTCTTGCCGATCAACACCCAGGTTCAAAACGGAGTCCTATCGCGCCTACAACAACGCCGCGGGTCGGATGGAAGTATTCCAAGCCCAAACCCAGCCTTCCTTGAGCATCACGATCAATATCCCGCAAAATCACCACTCACACCTACTGCATGGTATCTTGGGCACACAACTTCTTTGGAGGCCGTCCACGGGATAAATACAACCGGCAAACATCGCCGAGCTCAAAGTGACTTGAATAAAATAAGAGAGCCCCTTGCAGAACCGTGGAATCCTGAAATGGCGGTACCTGCGCCCTTGCGCCGGACCAAGCCCGGACATGGATCGCCCCCGGACAGTCCCAATTCCAAGTCTCGCATTCCTGTCTTCTCGCACCGCCTCACTGCTTCCGGTCCCGAAAGCTTATCACCATCCTCCAATCCAACCTTCAGCAGCCGATCTGCTGCCATCACCTCACCCCCCAAGGGCAGTAGCCGCCTCCCTATTCCGTCACCCAAACAAAGTCCTCCCCGCATGCCAGCAGACGATCCCGCTTCGTTCGCGACAACCTCGCGTGGTAGACGGGATCTAACAATTGGCCGAACCCGCAATCAATTATCTGAATCCAGCCGGAGACTTCAGGCCTACATCGCTGAGCCACCGCCTAAAAAGTCGCCTCCATTGCGCAGTTCACGACCTCGACAACCCGTCTCACATGGTGCCGCGGTCTCCCCACGCTCTAAACTCGGAGATAGAGTTTTGAATTTACAAAAACAAGCCAGCCACAGCGACTCGCGGTCTCGTCCTGAACGCAAATTACCTGAATTGGGCAAGGTTGATTTTGATGCTCGTCGCCGGCACATTCAACAGGCAATCAACCGACACTCGGGCACCCCGCTTGTTGAGAAGAATCAGAATGACAGAGGGTTCGACAAATCAACTGCTGCAAAGCTTCGACATCACGCTTTGGTGCGAGAGCAGGAGACGCATGAAGACTTCAAGCAACCGACAGATGAACCTACAATTACCCCCAACCTGCCCATGACCAACCCTCCGTCATCCGATGAGATGGCTACGATGGTCAAAGAGTTGACCGACTCGGTTGAATATAAGGAAAACAGGGTTCAAGTTCCTAGGCTGCATCTCAACACTGCCCTGCCGGCATCGGATATGGCAGCGCCCCACACAACAATGGACTCTCCCACTCTTGGCCTCCCACAGGGTGTGAATTCAACGACTGCAGATGAAGGACAGCCTACCAATGGTGTCACGACACACTCGGCTGCTACATCAGACTCCGGCGATACCCATGTCACTACTTTCGATCCGGAGCCGCAGTCCGGGCTGCTGCAGCGCAATCCTAGCGTTTCTCATCGAACTATTCTTGAACAAATAATGCAAATCCGCGACAGCCCGAGTGACGATTCATGCGACGAGCCTGATTGCAGTCTTTCAGAGAACGACGACAGAGAATCTATCCAGATTATGCTTGGAGATACCACCTACTACAATTCATCTAGTAGCACCAATACTCAAGAGGCCGAGCATTCATCAATGAACCAGGTTCAAAATGGGACTCATCCCCACAACCGATGGAGCATCAGCTCATGGTCCTCTGTACAAAACCAACATTCCACCTGTGATGAACAATGTGACGAGAGCGGGGATGATTCTCTGCTACAAGGCCGTGAAACGGAACCACCAACTGAAACTTGTTCAGCTGTCTCCACAAGGCCAGCTTCAATAGCGGACCATGATTCATCAGGTCCAATTCAGGATCATGGCGTAATGGGACCGAATACACTCCATGCGTCTGAGCAATTCCGACCTAGTGCTTTTTCTACTCCCCCGAGTTTGGCTAGATTGGGTAAATGGGATTCAAGGCGTGCCACTCAGCTTTATCTGGAGGAGTTGACGCGAGGCAGGAGCCTATACCCTGGCTCAGCAATTCACATCTCGTCCCAGCCTCGATCCCATCCCACAGACACACGTGCAGATGGGCGACCCGATAGTCTGACTGATGATCCAGTCGTCGTGCCAGAATTCCAGGAGTTCCGTGCCTCAGATAAACTCTCACACACGGCCAGTTTGGTAGGGCGAGATGATTGGGAACATGCATCCCCCTCTATCATGGACTGGATGCAGGTCGCGGCCGAAGATGAGGTTATGACTCCCGACACTGAAACCGATGGCATGCGTACTGAAGGGTTGCTCACACCACGTGTGGTGCCTCCGGCAGTGAACGACATGGGCGCATCGAGTACAAACAGTGGCCTTGGACTCTCCGTTGATATCCAAGCTTCCAACGAGCAGACTCAGGCTCGTGCTTTTCCTTCATCGACATTCCCCCCGTCCTCAACGACCCAATCACTCGATAATGAATCTCTTGGAGGTCAATATCCGCTTAAGCCGTCGGGCCACATCGGATTCAATCGCAGTATACACACTGCTCCTAGAGCTGCCGGACACAGCCCGGGCAGCAGTCAGGACTCTTCTTTCCAAACTTTGGAGTCTATTCAATCTCCTATGGCCGCTGACTCTTCCGCTACTTCGCTTGTTCCGTCCACTGAGCAAACTATTCGGATTGAGCCGAAGGATTCACCTTCTCCGGAACAGCGACGTCTCAAGAAGCGACGTCACATCATCAAAGAGCTTGTTGATACGGAGCACACCTTTGGTCATGATATGATAATCATTGAGGATATCTACAAGAGGACCTCGCTCACGGTGTTGGAACCCGATGATGTCAAGGTTCTCTTCGGCAATTCTGATCAAGTTGCGGCCTTTTCCGACAAGTTCTTGTATGATCTAAAGCAAGCAGCTCAAAGCATCTACGTTATACCAAAGGCTCTGCGATGGACCAGCAAACGAAAGCGTAACAATCAGCCTGCCGAGTCCACTACCCCAGAAGCCGATGAAGTAGCCGAGCTTACAGGAATGTCGGAACTTGAAAAAGATCGCGCGACCTCTGTTGGTCAGATTTTTGTCACCCACATGACGCAGATGGAAAAGGTGTACACCGACTACTTGAAGAACCACGATGCCGCAAACAAGAAACTTCAGGTCGTGCAGCGTAATCCGAAAGTCGGCTTTTGGCTGAGCGAATGCCAGAAGGGTGCCATGGATCTCACGACCGCCTGGGATTTGGACTCTTTGCTCGTTAAACCGGTGCAAAGAATCTTGAAGTATCCCCTTATTCTCCGCGACCTATTGGAGTCCACGCCAAACGACCACCCTGACCGAGCGACAATTGCCAGTGCCCTGGAAGAGGTCACAAATGTTTCTCATCGTATCAACGAGCTGAAGAAACGAGTAGACCTTGTTGGTCAAGCTGTCGGTCGAAAACGCAACCAGTCCGATGTGCGTACCGGTCTATCTAAGGCATTTGGTCGGCGCACCGAGAAATTCAGACAGCAAGTTGGCCTCTCCGACCTGTTTGAAGACAAAACCTATGATTCGCTAGCGCAAAAGCTTAGCGACGGTTATTTCCAGTTGCAGGTTGTCATGCGTGACGCTGAGAGTTATTCCCGGGATGTGCAACTCTATGTGAACCAATTCAATGAGTATGCCGATTCGATTGAAGAGATTATTAGCATGTCGCCTTCTCCGTATCCACAGTTGGAGAGCAAGTGGCATCAGTTTAAGATGACAGTCCAGGACCTTGTGACGACTGCTCTACCAGAACATGTACGTTATATTGTGTTTACATTTTGAACAAAATACTAACGTTTAAACGCAGCTTGCTGTCGTCCGCAAAACGGTCATCGATCCGATGGTCGAACTACTAGGACTGTACAATGCACCCCAGCGAGTCATGCGGAAGCGCGACAAGAGACTCCCGGAATATGCTCGTTACAAAGCCATCAAGGACCGTGGCGACAGACCTGATAAGAAGACCATCGAGCAGGGCGAGCAATTCCTAGCTTTGAATGATACTTTGAAGGATGAATTACCTAAGCTCTATGCGTTGACTGCCAAACTGATGGCAGCGTGTTTGAAGAACTTTATCGAAATTCAGACTGTGTGGTACAGTGTTCTACAGAAAAAGATTGGTGTTCATGTGGAATTATTCCCCAATGACCTCGACAGACTCATCAGCGACTTCAATAGCGACCACACTTTAATGGAGGCACGAATGGCCGAGCTAAGCTCTTGCAACGGGGCGATGATGGCTCAATCGCTCAATTTGGTCCCACTTTCACCCAGTGAGCATCAAAACCCCATGTCACCTCGCCGTCCTTCTACGGTGAACAGCTCAATTGCGCGACCTGGGTCTATGAACGATGTTTCACCAAAAATGTCCCGGGATTTCAGCATCGGTAGCCAATCATTCCAGTCTCCCCAGGTGGAAAGTCACTCCAGCCGCAGCAGCCGTTACCGGGCTGATTCCATTCTATCTGGCCGAATCGTCCCAGGCACTCCCAATCAACTGCTGCAGCAAGTCACCAGCTCTCCCGCCCCTGGAAGGACGAGCGACGTGGAGCCCTTCCCAAGCCTACCTAGACTCAGCCTGGACACACCTTTCCTCGAGGATGTGATCAACAGCTCCTCGCATTCGAGCAATGCGCCAGCGTCCCCGACTGATCGATACTCTGGATTCTTCTCGTCTGCCATGCCCATGTCGGATGTACCAAGTGATACCGTTGTGGATGGACACTTTGAACGCAGCGCCCCTCCCACAGGCCCTGCGACGTTGTTCTGCGCGGCGAGTGTATATGATTTTGAAATCGACGCTCGCACCGAGGCCGGGTATCCCTATCTGACCTACGCCTCCGGGGATATCTTCGACGTCATAGGCGAGAAGGGCGAACTCTGGCTTGCCCGCAACCAGGACGATGTGACCAGGACAGTTGGGTGGATTTGGAACAAGCATTTTGCTCGACTCAGCACCTGAATCAACAATCCCACGCCATGTTTTCGATGTATTTGCCAATTATTTTCAAAAATCTGCAAAACACAAGGGTTTCATACTAACTACAGGATCTACAGGATCATATTCCATGTTTCTTTCGCCTGATTTTTTTCTGATCTGTCTTCATATTTTCTTTTCAAAATAATACCCCTGGAGACCAGGACAAAACAAAAGCTACTACATTGCAATGCTGCTTCTTTGTTCAATGTTGCTTTGATTTGCTTTGATCTGCGTTGGCTTCGGCGTCATCTCATGTTGATGACTTATGGTCGTTTTCTTTCTGTTCATCTCAGTTGCTTTGCTCCCTTGTTTCTTCTATTTGATTTCAGTTGCGGTCTCAGTTCCTTTCCTCCCATCTCCGCGCATGTTCTGAACCTCTTCTTCTACTGGAGCTCTGGGATGCACGTTTAGATACCCCTCTTTCTTATGAATTCAACTCTCTAATAAATCCTGCTTATTCAAATCATGGGTATATGACTGAATTCTGTATATCTATACTCTTGTAATTCCTATCAGCATTGTATAATCCAATATCTCCAGGATATAGGTAGTGTAGCATCATGTGACCCCACATGTGACGCAGCCTGATCATCCTTGCCTTGGCCTGAGTCCAGTTCTTTTGAAGATTTGTCCCTCTTGTGTTTCTCTCATAACCTCCTGTTCCTGTGTCCTAGATTGCATCATCCCAAACCCACGGACTCGGTCTAACCCTCCCCTGCACGGCCACTGCATAATATACTTGCTCTCAACCTTGGCATACTCAGCATACTCAGCTATTGTCCATAAAGCAATTGAAATCAGCATTAGCATTCAAGCACTCCATCCATCCTCCGCCTCTCTTCTTCTTCTCCGCCACCCATAAGGCTGACGGCCTCCCCCTCCGAAGCGCTGCCCAATCCCGAGGTCCCGACCGGTCCCACTTCCACTCCGCCAGTGCAGAAACGGGGGAAACATTCGAGCCTGTCACTCGGGACAGTGCCGACGTCTCTTGCCTCCGACTTTGTCCGCCACTGCATAGCCGAGATTAAAGAGTCGCATTTGGATTGTGCGCGGGGCATCCCGAGCTGACAAGTTCTGCACAAAGATCTGCCCCGTTTATCATAACCGCGATTTGTGGGGTTTGTCTTGGCTATCTGAGGAACGTATTGCGCGTTCTCGACTGTGGCGCAGTATATAGCTTTTCTTGCCACGGCTTTCACGGCATTCATATCCTAGCGGTTTGAACTCGGTCTTGTGATCAACTGCAACACACATAGCATATTGCCATCATGTTGCGCAAGGTACGCGGGCGCTTTGGCGATAAGGTGAGTTTGGCTCGGTTCGGCACTAGCGGCACAAGTACTGACTTGCGCAGTTGAATCCAGATGATGCTTTTTTGAGTTGTAAGTGGCTGGAACAGACCCTGTCGCCTTGATCTGAAGACACTATACTTACAAGTCGTCCTTGAATGCTCATAGATTACGATGTGCGATGTATGGAATCAGCCCCCGAAGCGAGGAAAGGTTCTTGGTGGCTAATGAACATGCAGTGACGAGAGAGGACATGCAAACTCTTAAGAACGACTGGCTCACAGATAACGTGGGTTTTAATGGCGAGATAATCCTTCTAGCTGGGACATATGAGCTAATTTGTCATAGATCATTTCATTCTGGGAGGAGTAAGTCCCTACACCCGGTCCGACATGCTTCACAGTACCGAACATGGCACTGATACTCAACCCATTGCTCTAGATATCTCGAACATGAATTTCTTACACGATACCAATCCTCCAATATCGTCCTTCTCCGCCCCAGCATGTCATTCATGATCCTCCAAACCCCGGACCCACGCACCCTCCGCGAAGCACTCCCGGACTTCAGTCGAGCCACTCATGTCTTCCTCCCCATCAACGACTGCCGTAACGTCTCCCAGGCAGAAGGAGGCACGCACTGGTCCCTTCTGTTGATCTCAGTCGTCGACCGCATCGCATTCCACTACGACTCGTTATACCAAGGAAACGTCTGGGAGGCAGACACGGTGACTCGCAAATTCGGATACCTCCTAAACATGCCCATTAGGTTCCTGCATCTAAACGACTCACCCCAGCAAGACGGCGGCAGCGACTGCGGCGTGTACGTGTGTATGAACATGAGACATCTTCTCATGAAGCGGTTGCTGATGGCGAGCGCACACGAGAAGGTGAGTATGAGTCTTGGAGGGCGGAAGATCGACGCCAATGGGTCTCGCAAAGAAATGGCCAAGATCATCGAAGGGTTCCGGAAAGAAGGCGAGCGCCGACGATCGTATGTCACCCTTGGTCTACCCAGCTGCACATTGCAGTAAGCGAAACATAAGCAAGATGCTAATAGAGGAACTTTTTAGGACAAGCGCCAGTCCTATGGGAAAGAAATCGAGGAGTCCTCCGCGTGTTGATTGATCGGTCTTTCCTTTATTCTTATGAGTTTACGTCTTCTTTATGGTTTCACATTCTGACTCTTTTTCAAAAGACAAAGCCTCATCAAAAACTTGTGGACATTACATTGATGATTGTGTACTTACCAGCGTTGCATTACTTGAATGCGTATCATGAATTACATATATAATGAGCTTTAATGTACGGTGTATTGTACTATCTACTTCCCACCAACTTGCATTTCTTCCTATTGCTTCTCGAGGGAATTTACATACCTCGACACACGACATACCTATATTGTATGTATCTATGTGGAATAAGAACCGCATCAAGATCGCCAAGCCACGCTGGCGTTGGAGCAGCCGCTCGAGCGAGGAGAAGAAGGGGACCGACGAGCCATATACTTTCCATCCACCTGCTTAATGGACTTCCGGGCAGGCTTCACTGTTGGAAGCCTGATTAAATTTTCGGCTTTGGTCATTATAGCCGAGTCTGTTTTGTACAATGTGGCTATTGCTCTTGTATCGATGAAGTTGATGCTCGAAAGTCGGTGTAAGGGTCCTATGTGGCAAGGGTGCGTAGAAGGCAATATGGAGTATGGAGTACTCCGTTCACTATACATATATATGCTGCAAATACCCAGAATCAGTGATTCATCACACTAGATATGTAGAAATCAAGTTTCTCTTATGATATGTCAGGTAGGTTGTCTAGCCGGTATATACCGATTACAATGTACTCCGTACATAGCTAATCTCCATAGATGTGCATGTAGTTATGAAGCAGATGTGCAAGTGGATTCACATTTCACATATCTACTTGGATAAACTCAAGACCTATAAACAAAAACGTAGAAGTCCAGTATAAAATAAAAGTCCAGTTCATCGTGTAAGCTCCGTATCTTATCGCCGTGCGGAGCCAAAGCCCAAAGCGCAACGTCAATTCCCACGTCTCCCGAATCCACATCCTTCATCGTCTCCGTCCTAGAACGACTTAAATTCCCAGTCGGGCTGAACCGGGTAGATGCAGCAGAACTCGAGAGGCGACACCGAGCAGAGCGGTAAGCGCCAATCGATCGGCAAGAGGAAGCTTTCTGATCAAGGAGGGTCGCAGCCGCGATCGCAACAAACCATCTCCGAGCTCCTCTCTCAGAGGTACTCACCCGACATTGATTCTCAGCCCCATAAGCGTTCTCGTCTGTCGCCGTCTCCCTCACGCCCCTCAACCCAACCCATCCCGCATAAGATGCATCCGATTTCCGGTTCCCCGCCCAAGAACGGCGCGCCTAGTCGAGGAGTGTCTGGGCCAAATGGCCCCATCCGATCCCAAGCCTTGAACGCTAATGCCCGTCAAAACAACTTCTCTCCTCATACCGGTGCGAAAAAGCTCGTCGTCAAGAACCTTCGTACTGGACCACGGCTTAACCAGGAATCATATTTCGATAAGGTGTGGTCGCAGTTGGATGCGGCTTTAACGGCTATTTTCGAGGGCAGGAAACCGGAAAGCTCGCTGGAAGAGCTATACAAAGGCGGGGAGAATGTGTGCCGCCAGGAGCGGGCAGCTTTGTTAGCTAAGAAGCTTCAGGAACGGTGCAGGGAGTTTGTCAGTGGGGCGATGCGGACAAATCTTGTTACGAGAGCTGGAGGTAGCACTGATGTCGCTATAGTGCGGGCTGTGATTGAGGCATGGACGGCCTGGCACTCGAAACTAGTATGTGGCAAGGAAATATCAATGGAGTTCACGGCTAACTTTTCTTCTCTCCCCAGGTTACTGTTCGCTGGATCTTCTATTATCTCGATCAGTCATTCCTCTTGCATTCCAAAGAACAACCGGTGATCCGTGAAATGGGATTGATTCAATTCCGGTCATACATCTTCTCCGACGCCAGTCTGAAGCCAAAGATTTTGAAAGGAGCATATGATTTGATCGAGGCGGATCGAGGCGGATTTACAAAGGCATTGGCAGATTCAAATCTACTAAGAGAGGCCATGGAGCTTTTCCACAGCCTCGATGTGTATGGGAGTGACTTTGAGCCTTTATTCATGGCCAAGTCCGAGGAGTTTGTGAAGGAGTGGTCTCAACAACAAGCAGCAGGATCCCTGGCTTCATACGTTGAGAATGCTCACCAGTTGATCGAACGCGAAGTAGAACGATGTGGGGTGTTCTCTTTCAATCGAAGCACGAAGCTCAAACTGTCCGACCTCTTGGATGAAATTCTAGTTACACAGCAAACAGACGTGTTGACTAACCAAGACGAAGTGCTTGGTTTGATGCGAGCCGGCAATAAGACCGCCTTGAAACAACTATACGGGTTGCTTGACCGGCGAGATCTTACTCTCCAATTGAAGCCTGCATTTAGGAAGTACATCACCGAGGAGGGTGAGAGCATCATCTTTGATCAAGACAAGGAGGTCGACATGGTCGTTCACCTGCTCCAATTTAAGCAAAAGGTTGATGATATTTGGTCCAATGCTTTCGAGTCGAACGAGGAGTTGAGTAACACGCTTCGCGAAGCCTTTGGTGCCTTTATGAACCGTGGGAAGAAGATGGATTCTACAGGTGGCACCGACAACCCCAAGTCGGGTGAAATGATCGCCAAATACGTGGATAGGCTGCTTAAGGGCGGTTACAAGTTGCCACCCGGCCGGAATCCAGAGGAAGTAAGCCTGATGTCCGACGATGCAGAGCTTGATCGACAGCTTGATCAAGTTCTCGACCTTTTCCGGTTCGTACATGGAAAGGCCGTGTTTGAAGCCTTTTACAAGAACGACCTTGCTCGACGTCTTCTGATGAAACGAAGCGCGAGCAACGATGCGGAAAAGAGCATGTTAACTCGTTTAAAGAACGGTTTGTTGCATCAGAGATCCTACTCTCATGCACTTCGACTAATGTTTGATCAGAATGCGGGTCCAGTTTCACTCATAACCTCGAGTCCATGTTCAACGACATGGACACTGCTAATGATGAAATGACGGCATTCCGACGGTCTCAGCAGGAGGAGCGGAAGGGCCGCTTCGAATTCGAAGTCGCCGTGCTCTCTGCCGCCTCCTGGCCGACATATCCCGATGTCCCCGTACGCATTCCATCGAACATTGCACGCTCGATCAACAAATTCGAGACCTTTTACCACAACAAACATACAGGGCGCAAGCTCACCTGGAAGCATCAACTGGCGCATTGTCAGCTGACAGCAAACTTCCCCCAAGGCAAGAAGAACCTGGTAGTCAGTTCGTTCCAGGCGATTGTATTGCTACTATTTAACGATATCCCCGATGGCGAGAGCATGTCGTACCCTCAGATCCAAGAAGCAACCGGATTGTGTAAGTGGACCATCCATCGCACCTCCAAAGTCAAACAATCCCTAACATGACACACAGCGGATCCGGAATTGAAGCGAACTCTCCAGTCCCTCGCATGCGCCAAATACCGAGTCTTATCTAAGACCCCCAAGGGCAAGGATGTGAACTCCAGCGACCAATTCTCGTACAACGCGAGTTTCAGCGACAAGCAAATGCGCATTAAGATCAACCAGATCCAGTTGAAGGAGACCAAAGAGGAGACCAAGACTACGCACGAGCGGGTTGCGGCCGATCGCCAGTTCGAGACGCAGGCTGCTATCGTGCGCATTATGAAGAGCCGCAAATCCCTCAGCCACGCCGAGCTGGTTGCGGAGGTTCTCAGTGCTACTAAGACCCGGGGTGCTCTTCAGCCTGTTGAGATTAAGAAAGAGATTGAGAAGTACGTATCGATATTACTGCCCCCGGTTATCGTGTTTAACATTGTTTTTTCCTAGGTTGATCGAGAAGGAATACATCGAGCGCAAAGAAGGCACTAATCAATACAGCTACGTGTCATAAGGCATAATTTTTATTTTTACATGTCGAGAGTAGGTACTTTACTGAATGCATACATTATTTGGTTTATGTTTTGGGGGATATTTAACGAGGTTACATTATCCTTGGGTAATTGTGCATCTATAGGCGTAAGACAGACAAGAATAACCCGATGCTAGAGGTATCTCCCAGATCCTAATTATAATATTTCATTAACTGTACGGAGTGGTCCTGGGTGTTATCCGGCAATGGGCTGGAGAATCAATCTTCGGAGTAGCTCCGGTCCCACTTAAGCCACTTATAGTACAAATCATAGAAATACCGAGCTTGACCTCGGCGAGTGCCGATGGTCCTTAAAGCAAATACAAAACTAAATTATGGGGAGAGCTGTAGAGGGGCAGACCAAAGAGGAATTCCGTATCACTATTCTTGAGGCCGGTCAGCTTAACTCATATTGGATATGGAATATTTGAATTCATCCCCCAAAGTAACTGCATTTGATAGCTAACCCACAATATCAAAGGAACATCCCATGACCTAGAGATATACATCCCCACAGGACCCCTGGATCTGACAGCAGATCCGAACCCGGATGCCCCTTTCGTATATTGTAGATCCTTTTTACGAGGTCTCATGATGTCTCCACTTAAAGACTTGCGGTATCCCAGTTGCCCTAGTGGCAATTGGGTTATTAGGAATGGCGTTGAGAAAGTACTATATTGTATTCCGACGAACATCTCAATTGAAGAAACCCATGCCTATCAGGTATGATAGGTGGCCCAGGAATACACAAGGTCTATAATGTATAGCCAAAGTAAGAGGTGGTAGGTGCACCAGGAATGCCGGTACGCCGGCATACCTACTAAGTTGATCAAACAGAAGTCCACTCGGGCGAGAGTGGAGAGTAGAGCTCTGGATGCATCTAGTCTCAATGCTGTGTAGTCCATTTCCAAGAATGTTCTCTGGCGGTGAAAACACCCATTCGGGCGATAGGAAGCGCCTTTCTGGAATGTGCCTGGCGGGATATCCCTACAGGGTAACCCGAACCGCAGATCCAGACCTTCGATTATGTTCATGTGAGCTGCAAAAAAAGGGAAAAAGAAAGGAATACGTACTTCATTGTACGATGGACGGACTTGGGATGTTCTTAAAGAGGGAGAGGGCGCCCTCCAGGTGAGAGTTGAACGCATCTATCCCGTACAACGTGAGTCCCAACCTATGTACAGACTATACAAGGATACTAACATGCTCTCACAGTCCACTTTTTCCCCGCTACTGTCAAATCCAATCCGAGAGCTTCTCGCCTTCGACTAGGACTCATTGAGAATCGAGAAATCTTGGAAAATCTTGGGAGCCTCCATATTCCCCGGCGAACAGTCCCCTTGACTCGGAGTCCATTACTTGGAGAAAAATATTTAAACCTCTCTCGAATTCCAGATCAAAATCCATCTTTACTTCTCCGAAGTCGAATATATCCACTCGAAACTGTCCACTTTTGATCAACAATGCAGAGTACGCTCCACCCTCTGATCCCAGATCTTTCCCCACATATCTGACCCCCTACAGCCAAACATTTCTTTACCGACCCAAACCACCTGGTTCTCACAGCGCTTAACTCGCTTACACTCACAAATCCATCTCTGGCCCTGGATCGACAGAACAAGATCATCTTCCGCCGTCCAGATGCACCCCGCAGAGCAAACAAAGTCTCCATCGTGACGGGCGGTGGCTCCGGCCATGAACCCGCATTTGCAGGTTTCGTCGGCCACGGACTCTGCGATGCTTCGGTCGCCGGTACGATCTTCGCCTCGCCGTCTGCCGAGCAGATCCGCAGGGCGGTGATCGATCGCGTCCCCACTGATAACGGCGTGCTGATCATTCCCATGAACTATACCGGCGATGTGCTGAACTTCGGTATGGCCACGGAGAAATCCCGTGTTGCGGGTATCAAGACGGAGTTCTTCGCTATCAATGATGATGTTGGTGTTGGCCGCGAGAAGGGTGGGAAAGTCGGTCGTCGCGGTATTGGTGGTGGCGTATTGATTCTGAAGATGGTTGGTGCTTTGGCTGAAGCTGGGTGAGTTATCGTGTACATGTTATACTTTTTTTTACATTGAACCAATGCTAATATCTCGCTCTGCAGTGGCTCCCTGGAAGACGTCTACGCTCTAGCCCAGCTAGCAAACGCAAACCTAGTCTCCCTAGGCTCATCTCTGGAACACGTCCACGTGCCCGGCCGCGGTGTCCCCGAAGACACGATCCCGCACGGCGAGGTAGAAGTCGGCATGGGAATCCACAACGAGCCTGGCTCGCACCGCGTGAAATTCGACCTCGTCGAGTTGGTCCAGAGTATGCTGCTCCAGCTACTCGACCACAACGATCCGGACCGCTGCTACGTCACCCGCAAGCCGGAGGACGAGTTCGTGCTTCTAATCAACAATCTCGGCGGTGTCAGTCCGCTCGAGCTCGCCGGTATCACAGACGAAATCTACCGCCAGCTCCAGCGCGACTACCAGGTCAACATGGTCCGCGTGATTCAAGGCACTTTCCTGACCAGTCTGAACGGTCTCGGCTTCAGCATCTCGCTGATGAAGCTGGTCGACCCAGGTCTGGGCGTGAAAACTACTATGCTTGAGCTCCTCGACGCCCCCGCTGAGGCAGTCGGCTGGTCTGCTCCGATTAATACGTCTACCTGGGAAAAGAACCGCAATGCGGACCCCGTCGAGCTGAAGACAACTAATCTAGCCGAAGACGTCCACAGCAACCTCCAGCGTAAGTTTCCCATCAATCCCTCCATATTTTCCAATAACCAAAAAACTGACCCAACCTAGTCGATCCAACCCTAATCCAAAAAGTCCTCGGCGCCGGCCTACAGCGCGTAATCAACGCCGAAGCTGAAGTAACCCGCTTCGACACAATCGTCGGCGACGGTGACTGCGGCATCGGTCTAAAACGCGGCGCCGAAGCAATCCAATCCCTCCTCACCACCCCACTAACAAACGACGTCGTCAACACCGTCGCACGAATCGTGACAGTCGTCGAAAACGTAATGGACGGGACCTCCGGCGCGATCTACGCGATCTTCCTAAACGCACTAGCACACGGCTTACTAGCACAAGACACATCCTCGCCAACGGAAATCACAACACAGACGTGGGCTACGGCATTGAAGTCTTCGTTCGAGGCTCTGGGGAAATACACGCCTGCCAAGGTTGGTGATCGGACGCTTATTGATGCGCTTGCGCCGTTTGTGGATACGTTGCTTGAGACTGGGGATTTGGGGGCTGCTGCTGCGGCGGCACAGGAGGGGACTGAGTCTACGAAGGCTATGAAGGCGAGTCTTGGGAGGAGTGTTTATGTTGGTGGGGAGCAGGAGTGGATTGGGAAGATTCCTGATCCTGGGGCTTTTGGGTTGTCTGAGTTTTTGACGGGGCTTGCTGAGGGTGTCTAGGGGGGATTTTTGGGGCTGGGTTTATATAGCGACGGTACTTGGTCACTTCTTTTCTTGTTCATGGTTGTGTCTTGATATGGTCGTTTGATGATAATGATATTCTTTTTAGTTGATATGTTGAGTGCTTCTGGTTAGTAGATGGCGAAGGATAAGCTATAATCTACGTCTCTTAGGCTTGGGCTTAGGGCTGAACAAGCCCTAACATGCAAATGTGAGACATATCGGAATGATCAACTTGCAGGAAAATACTCGAAACCCTGAGGTAATCTACTAGCTTACGAACATCTACTGAGCTCAGATGAAATCTTTCTAAAACATTCATTGCTAACCAGCTCTGCTCCAGCTTGACGCCGCCCGAGGATTCCCTCTACAAAAAAACAACGGGTCTAGCAGCCCGCGCAAAGATCTGAACGCCAACAGGTTTTTTTTAGTCCATCCCCAGTTTGAAATATCAAAAAACAAGACAAGATCGACAGAACAGTCTTGTACATGCAACGGTTACTTTGGGACAAGTAACCATGCAAATCAAGAGTAGTAGCATCGGCCAATTGAGTTCTGGCGAGGACCAGAAGCAAGGGAGGAAAAGCGGGATGTGAGGAGAAAAGAAAAAAAGGGTATCGAGATCGATTACATGATATATCGCCCACGGGTATTCTTCATGGGTTCAAGATGCTGTGCAAATAGCAGAATATCGACCGTCCCGCAGATCGAAGATATCAGGATCATGTCAATGTGGGGATTGAAGTGTGCGAGAGTAAAGTGTGATGAGTTGCTCAGCTGAGCAGGACGAGGATGACAGAGTCGCCGCGAAGGAACCTAAAGATAAGGCAGTAAGGTTAGAGACTATTTCAAAGATAGCAAAGGGACGAATATCCGTCCACGGTCTGGTGCACGTACATCTTGCTGATGAAACGGTCCTTGTTCACGCCCTTGCCCTTGGCACCCTTGGGCTTCTCAGTCCACATCTCCTTCACATTCTCGAGAACCATGTTGCAGTGTCGGTCAAAGGCCTTGACGCGGGCCAACAGCTTGCGGTTGTTTCGGCAGGAGATCAGGACCTGGGTGTGTGTGCGGGTGGCGGTCTGCAGGAGAGACAGGGGGCCGGCGGTGAGCTCATGCTCCTCGACGAGAGCGACCTCATATTCTCTGTTGAGATGCAAGATGCAAGATTAGTTTTTTTTCCCTATATATACTTTGCGCAGCTTGCATAAGGATGTGAAGATGTCGGTCGCAAAGTTTCCGAGATGCGGGCGTCGTAGGTAAGCCCCGCGAGCCCGAGGATCAGGCAGAAACTCCCGAGGTCAAGGGGCCATTGATTACTCATAATGAGAAATGCCGCATGGGAAGGGAGGGGGTCAAATCCAATGTAACGGGTGTACATACGTGAGCTCGCTCTTCGGCTTGTTGAGAAGGTCTCTGCTCGGATTGTTAGCTGGTTGGTCCTGGACAGGGCTATGAGTCATTGGTAGAGTAACGTACTGAATCTGGGGTTCGGGAACGGTCGACATGGTGGGTATAAAAAGGTCGTTGAAGTCGAGAGATACCGTTGATGCAGCAGTGTGACAGTTGAAGTTGACGGAGCGCTCAAGTCACGTGGAAATTCTCGCGAACACCTCAGGAAAACATAGACACCTTAGATATCAGGCGCCAAGTCCCAGCCATTTCCCGAGGTCGCGATTGGTTGCAGTCACGTCGCGTCACGCTTGTTTGGAGATCTTTCAATATAGCTTTGACCCGCGCATGCAAGGCTTCTTAACCTCATCCCTTTCTCACCTTTCTCTCTTCCACTCTTGTCTGCTCATGCAGAACTAGTAGAGAGACTATTACTCTTTTTTCCTATTTAATTGGTAAGAATGGTTTTTTCCCCTTTCAGGTGTCTATGCGTTCCCTCTGCGAGGGCATGCAAATCAATTGCTAACATTCAAGGCCTGCAGGAAAGAAGACCCCTCCACTACATACTGCAGAACCTGTCCATTCTCCCGGTCGACCATATCCTAGATATGCACTGCTGATCGGCTAGCTCGCTAATACCTTCTGGTTCATCCTCGATCCAGAGTGAAAGGGCTTTCTTTAATCGACAAATTCGTTCCTTTCTCTCTCCACTATTTCTACCTGTCAACATTTTCGACGCTTGAATCTCATACTTTCGACCATACTTGAATACCATTCGCCCTCCATCCTTCATTTCAACCCCAGAATTTGATCTACCGTCGTGCATGGTGTGCAACAAAGTCTGATGAGATGGAGTCTCAGGACGGTATCGATGTCCGCCCTATGAGGCGTATGTTTTCCACTACCGTTCTAACGAGGGCAATTGAGTGGCAACTAAACATGGTTATCTTATAGTGAAAGTTCTTTATACATTCGACAACGAAAATAAGACCAATTGCCTTGCTCGGTGGCCACACGTGCTCGACATCCAAACGGCCTTTCTAGACGAGAACACTCCGGTTGGAGTGATCGAGTTGAGAACATGCATCCAGGCAATCGTCTCTGCTAGGTTTGACTTCCTTAACCCCCTCGAGACCAAAATAGCATACTTACGCAGTTCTTGTTCAGCCCGGAGCTTGTGGGCCAATTAGGAAAGGATTATACCGTCTATGCCTACGACTACTCCGAATTCGAAACCCCTCTTGTCGGGCAAGGCATGCTTTCTGGGGTGCTGGCCACCTTCTCATCGGCACCCGAGACACCCAACAACCAGTCGAAGACCATGATTACTGGGCGAGTTTGCAAGAGCCCCCTCGGCGGTCTCTTCTCCAAAGGTGCTCAAGAGACGTTAGAGGTCAAGTTACGGCTGGTTCCGGTCCCAACTGTCACTCAGAGTGAGTACTTCGCTAGCATGCAGAAGTATCAGAAGTTGACCAATGGCAATTCAGGCGACTTTGACACGCAGTCATGGACAAATTTCGTTCGTCAGAACCCCGCCCTCTTGGAATCCGCAAGAAGCCAGAGCCACAACGACCATGGATCTCCCATACATCAATCTGGGATTGAGAGATTCCACCAGCTCTTGAGCGAAGGCTCGACGCCACGAGAGTTCCCTACATTCCACCACAATGGATCGGTCCGCTCGGTATCACCATCGCACTCATACGCTGGCAGTCGAGTGTCAACACCTGGTGGATGTCGAACACCAGCTCATCATCAATCTTACCCCAAACAGAGCATTCCCCATAGTGACATGATTCGCCCGTCCTCAAGTGCCTCTATGCGGGACTGCGACAACCAGACCCAGCTTTCCCACGTCTCACACAACAACGCTCGCAGAGGATCCATTCATTCCGGATATGGCAGTGGTGATGAAGAACCAACAGAGGCCCCAGCCCGGAAGAGGGCCAAGGTGTATCAAGCAAACTGGCCCGGAAAGTCAGGCATGAACATCGAAAGACAACCAAGTTCGCTACGAGTTGCAGCTAGCACAGCGGCCTCTGTACGAATCCACCGCCCAACCCCCGTGAACCCTGCTCTCACGGCCGAGCATTCCCACGAAGAGCCTGTCCGTCCACCCACCCCCATCTCTCGACCATCCGATTTCCAGCGTCGAAGCCGACCCACAGGTAGCTTGTTGCGGGAATCTTCGAGCCTTAGCATTGCCTCGTGCCCTGCTTCGTACAATTCTCCATATTGTATGAGCGATGACGTCCCTGCCACAGACGCTGGCGGTGCCTCTCCTGAGGATACCCGTTACCAAGGTCTCTTTGAGCCATCCTTCAACATGCCGTCATCACCTCCAGTTTTCGATAGCCGGTTGACAAATAGATCAAGCCCTGTCTTGCCTACCATGTCTTTGGACAACGATTCCGGCTTCATGAGTGCAGGTCCGGAGGAACTCATGGACGATGACACCGCTGTGCCCCTAGACGACTGCAGAACGGGAGCGTCTCGTGGAATTACCCGAGATAAGTGCTCGGTTCGCACTACCGTGCAGGCAGGCTCTCCAGTGAGCACTGTCAGTGCTGCCCAGGGAACTAATAACGATCCTCTCCCCGTCGATGATACTCCAACGGAGCAGGTTGCAAAGCAGGCGCCGCGTCCGATTTCTCGTGCTGCTCCTCGCCCCGCTCAATCCCGTCCTACACCCCGTCCCGCCACAGCCACGGCTCCCTCATCGAGACCTTCTTCGAGCTCTGGGGCACAACGCTTGGCGCCAAAGCCCCTCGCGCCGGCGCCTCATATCTTCCCTAATGAATTCCCCCAATTGTATCGCGCAATCCCCGCTAGCGACCCAATTCTGCCTCCTCGCTCTGGCGCGCCCATGGCGCCTGTGGGGCCTGTGGATGTCACTTTCATGCCGTGTGAGACAGCTAGTTCCAGTTCCAAACAGCCAAAGCAACCGTCAAAGCCAAGGTCATTACCGAAGCAGGGGTCCAAGGCGGTGCCGAAGAACATAAAGGCACGCTTGGACAATGCTATTCTCAATGGGGAAATCCCGCCGTATTGTGAGAATTGCGGCACCATCGAAACCGCCAGTTGGCGGCGAGCGTGGGTTAAAACGGTCAAGGGCGGCGAGAGCCTTGCAGAAGAGATGATGAACTCTTCCCCTATGCTCTATTGGGAGGCCGTGGACCGTAACGACAAGGGTGAAATGAAAAATTTCAAGATCTACAAGAAGGCCCTCGAGCAGGATGATAATGATTGGTCGCAGTTGACCTTCTGCAATCCTTGTGGTCTGTGGCTCCACAAATTCAAACAAATGCGCCCTGAAGACAAGTGGACCAAGCCAAAAGCAGCGCAGCCGGCCAAGAAGTACAAAAAGCGTCCTTCGAGGAACCGCAGCCAAGTCAACTCCTGCCCTGCTACCAGAACTCGGAGCAAGGCCGCGCCAAAGAAACCTTCGGCTTCGTCTCCAGCACCCACCGAAGCGTCTTCCGTCCATCCCGATGGGGATACCCCCCAAATGGACAATGACGATGACGACGATCAGGACGGCGAAGCGGATTATTCTCCCAACGACTCTACTCGAGCTAACAGTGCCGAGCTAGAGACGACGTTCGATACCCCGGGACGCCGTTGGTCTAAGCAGGACGCCAGAGAGGCACTGACGCGTGCCACCAAGTCAAGCCCAGTGAGCCGTACGCAAACCCGCTCTGCTCCAATGACAGATGCCAATAGTCTCACCCCCAAGCCCTTGAGAAGGTCCCTTTTCCAGAATTCCCAGAATGATGGGCCTCTGAAGGAACTTGATTCTTCTATGGTAAACAACTGCTCTCCACGTCGCAGCCCTCGCATCGCCTCCACAAAGGATGACAAGCCGGGCCAGCAAAAGGAGAATCTTGCACCCACCCCGGCCGATGACCTCGATGATCTGTTCGAAAGTCCCTCCATCGGATTTGATTCAGCAAGCCCTACACCCCGCCGACGTAACCCACGCATCAACGCGATTGACAAGCGTTTGTCTTTCCCCGCCAACTCCCCAGGTCTCAACAAACGCAAGGATCTAGGCTCGGTTATGACTCCAGCTCGTCTGTCCGCAGAACGCCTGCAGCGTATCCAATCAATTCACGGAAGTCCTCAGTCATCACCACGCAAGTCCCCAGCCAAGCAACAGCCTTTGGCACCACAGCCTACCTCCGACAGTCTTCCGGAGACCTTCGAGTGCCTTGATGGCATGATCCTCGACATCTTCGATGACACCAACAAGGCCGAGGCTTTCTTCGACATGGAGAACGAGAAGTTCGCTGGTGACAACTGGGCGGAGTGGCTTCCAGCGGACTACGTTTCCCCTACTGGATCTTGCGAAACTCCTGCCAACGAGCTGCTAAACGCTCTCTTCTCGGACAACCCCAATGAGAAAGAGAACTTCAATCCCGATCTCCTTCCCTTCAACTTCAACGATGTTGTCATTCCCGACTCCGGGTTTTTCAGCTCGGACACCCTCCCCGCTGACGCTCTCAAGAGCCAGCCCGCTGGTGAAGAACCTGAAGGCCATTAGGCCACCTCCATGTCTTTCCCACACGTCAGACCAATCATGTCTATTTATTACTTATTCTTATTTTTTGCTGTTCTTTTAGCGACGGCGTTCGGTTTATGGATTGATCTCGTTGCATACAGACAACGGATCCTGATTTTCACCTTGAGATTTACGGCCTTTTCTTATTTGTTCAAATTGATGACCTGGAGTATCTTGAAAGAACTCCGATACATTCGCTATCCCTTTTGGTGGATGCATTCCCTAAAGTGGAAGCGGTGATCTTTGTTGGCTAGGATACCTTTTCTATGGATCCTGAGTAGTCTTATGATAGCACGAAATACTAAATCAAATCAAAATATTACAATCATATTCTGGCTATAGACTCCGTTAAGAGTATCAAAACAACAGCTAGTTCAACCAGGTAATTGGCTATAGTAGTAAAAGATAGAAATGATGACCGTAAATGTACTCCGCAAGCCTTCCAACGCTCTATCCAGTTTCTCCTTGGTCTTCCCCATCAAAATCTACTGTTACAATTTCGCTCGATAACTCTTGGACGCAGCTCCATCACAACCATGAGTACATCTTCTCCTCCCACTCCGCCATCAAGGGGCCCGACGGATGACGAATGGAGATTCAACCCTATTACACTACCCTGTGAGTGGGTGGAGGATTATCGCCCAGGTGGTTATCATCCAGTCGTTATCGGCAACGTTTTAAACCAGTACAAGGTCATCCGGAAGCTTGGCGACGGCTCCTACTCAACAGTATGGCTCGCCCGTGACCTGAAGTAAGTCTATCTGCATTTTCTACTCGTATAGATTGTACTCATTTCCTCTCAGAAACAGTAGATATGTCGCCCTGAAGATCCTTGTGTCTGAAATCTCAGGATCGATCGAGCTACGACTCTTACACCACATCACTGAAATCGCAGAAGGAACCCAGCATATCACGCGATTCCTAGGCGAGTTCGAACACCGCGGACCTAATGGCGTCCACAAGTGCCTGGTATTCGAGCCTATGGGTCCAAGTGTGAATTCTATGGTCGAGGAGCTGCCACAGTTTAACCCTCGCAAGCAAGAAATGAAGGTCCGCTATCCGCCTCAGATGGCAAAGAGCATCCTCAAGCAATCTTTACAGGCTCTTGTATTTCTCCACGAAAATGGTATCGCCCATGGAGACTTCCAGCCGGGAAACATCCTCTGTGCTCTTAACAATATCGACTCGACGCCCGAGGAGCTGCTCCGGCAAGAAGATATACAAGCCGAGTCGATCTCGCCCCCTATACAGAGGCTAGACGGCAAACAAGATAAATGGGCACCTCGATATCTTTCCGTTGCGCAATCCCTAGTGCCTTTTACCTCCTACGACGAAGGGCTTAAGGTTAAATTATCCGATATGGGCGGTGGTTAGTACCTTCTATTTCGATTATGTCTCTTCCTTAACAAATATGTATACTTATACCTGACCTATATAGCATATTTCTTCACCGATCCACCAAAAAAGCCAGTCACTCCACTCGGTCTTCGAGCTCCCGAGTTGATTCTCACCGGAGCCGTGAACAATACCCTTGACGTCTGGAGTTTCGGTTGCGTTCTCTTTGAGCTTATCATCGGACAGCCGCTCTTCTGTGTACCATGGTCTAAGAGGGAAGATGACGATCATCTTCTCTCCCTTACTGCCCAGCTCGGCGCCCTCCCCGACGAGCTCTTCAAGCATTGGGCGTCATCATCGTTATACTTTACGCCCGAGAGGAAGCTCTATAATTGTCAGCTTGGGGGAGTCCCTCCGGAGGAGGAACCGCTTATACTAGAACAGATGTCTATGGAAGAGTCATTTGATAGGGCAGATCCGGATATAGATGAGGAGGAAGCTTACAAAGTGAAGGCGCTTATTCGATGGATTTTGCAATATGATCCTGCGAGGAGACCTTCACCTGCGGAAATCTTAGCTGATTCGTGGTTCTGTGGGATTGATTTTGAGAGCGACTCCAAGGTAAACATCTAGTATCTCGCGTTGTCATTCTCTAGACATTGGTCCGCTTATGGTGTTGTGTGGGTTCGGAGCAATATTTAGGTCAAATAAGAACCTCGGTATCAGATACATTATGTACATAATATTGAATGTAGTATACTAAGTCAACAGCTCTGTATCAGCTTATGTCATTGTACCTAAATGGCTGGGACCCTGCCTGAAATGTAAAAAAAGGCAAGAGCGAAGGACCGTCGATTTCAGGAAGGTACGTGGGAAGTGACCCTATAAAAGGCCTCCCCCCATCTTTCCTCTTCTTCTTTTCTTCTTTTCTTCTTCTCTTTTTCCTTTCCCCAGCCCTCGACCCCCATCTCGTCGTAGCCCACCTGAGATCGCGCAGAGGGTGGTGCCTTACTTACACATAACGTGGATATCAACATTACCAAGTTGTTGAGGTCGATGTGTAGATCCGTGCCCACATCAAATTAGGAGTTCTCGTGGATGTTCTTTGAAAAAGTCGTTGGCTGAGCCTTGTGGGTTCGTAGCCATCTGTTGACAGGTACCACGGAATACATGGGGGGTTGTCTAATCACAGCCTCTTTGTATACCTAGGTAGCTAGTCACCTAGGTAGTCACCGAATACATCCATTCCACCTTCGGTATTTAATAAGTTCAGCACAATGTAAACTCTTGATTGAAGAAGCTTTGATCATAACCTCATATGTAAAACGCAAAAGCCGGGGAATCACAAGGAGAATCACAGTGACAACATCGACATCCCAGGCCTCAAACAGACATATCTGCTCTAGGCTCTACTAACAGACCGTGCTGACAATGTCACAACCAGGCTGACCTGTCCTCCTGGTATATTCCAGACTCATATCAGACCCGGGATAAACCCTTCAGAAAAATGGCCTTATATTCAAATCCCTTAACTCATGACCCATCAGTCGTAAAAGATAGACTTGAAGTTATGCGTGGCATTGACAACTTGCTCGTAGATCTTATAATCTAAAATCACAACACACACAAGTCAGTCTCTAGGCCAATGTACTGTAGAGGGAAAATCATTCATCACATACCGCAATCGGCTGGGTCACCCCACTCTGTCGAGCCAAGTACACGGAGTCCGTATCCCTAAAAGGTGCGGGAAAACATTAGAATCTGCTGTATATAGCCATGGAAGCCCAAATTCAAGATATCAAGTCCATATTCCTCCGGGCTCCCTCCGGGTCCAATGTGCAACATACCTGTCCACCCTCTAGATCAGCCACTTTCCCCACAACCTCAACCAACTTCCCGACTTGCAAGCGCGCATCGGACTTCAAGATCAGAGTGACATCGCCATTGGTGCCGCAGGTGAGTGTGCCGGTTGCCCCGTGGAGTGCGGTGACGGTGCCGAGTATGCGGACGGTGTTTGAGCTAGCGCTGGAAGGGTGGAAGGCGTGAAGGTGGGAGGGGAGGATGCGGGGGGTTTGAAGTGACATTTTTGATTATTGGATGTTTCCCGACTGCGGTTGAGAGTTCGGGATTTGGAAGTGTTGAGGTGATGGGTTTTTGTTGGCGTAATTTGATGCTGGAAAACGGCGGGGAGAGTAAGGTTGATCGACGCGAGGCGTGGAAACGCGTGGTCACGTGGTGATTAAATTGTATGGATGGAATAGATAGTTAAGTGGACTTTTAAGATGGATAACTGGTAATACTATGTGAACACACTTTTAATTGGTAATTTGGTTCTTTGGTAAGCGGAGGGGAAGACTACCCAGTATAATAATCAACCTCTGAGTTGGCGTAGTCAATTCTCACTTCTGCCCTCCTGTAGCTTTTCGATATCATCACGTGATCACATATCTCCAGCAAAAGCTTCAGACCGATACGTCAATTCAACAAAGCACCGCCACACCATACTACGGAGCAGACCGGGCGCAATTTTCTGGTTTAAAACTGCAAGCCAGGCAACGGAGCTCTACATATCTCTACATAACCGACACCCACCCTCCCTCAACACTCATCACATCCGACCACAATGCCTCCTCCATTCCCCTCGTCCCACCGGGGAATGACCAAAAACCCCGTCAAACCTAGTCGCTACCGCCCTGGAAAGGCTATCGCAGAGGAGCACTCATCTGAGGAGGAAGAGGAAGAGGAAGACGATGAAGCTGAACGGGAGGCGCGACGAGAACAAGAGCGGCGCAGACGAGCCGAGGTATTGCGCCGAGCAAAAGCGCCCAAAGCGAGCTCATTCCCAGCTTCTGCAGTCCCAGCCCAAAAGGCCGAAGAAGAAGATGACGAGGAAGGGTTCGTCACCGAAGACGAAGAAGATGACAAGCCCGCACCTGCGCCAAAAGCAGCACCACGACCTACAACCGACGATTTAAAACCTACTGTATCCACGCCCGCCGCTGAGAGCGCCGCAGAAGAAGAAGAGGAATCCGAAGAAGAAAGCTCGGAAGAAGAGAGCAGTTCGGAAGACGAAGCCCCACGCCGCATGCTCATGCGTCCAACATTCATCAAAAAAGACCAACGTAACACCGCACCCACCTTAGCCGGCCAAACCAAAGCGCAAGCAGACGCAGATCGCGCCGCCGAAGCCGAAGCCCAACGCGCCGCGCAACGCCAAGAAAAAGCAGACAACCTAATCCGCGACCAACTCGAGAAAGAAGCGATAGCGCGCTCAAGCGCGAATCGCGCCTGGGATGACGACGAGCTCGTCGAAGCCGAAGACGAAGAAGCCATTGACGACACAGACGGTCTAGACCCCGAAGCCGAGCGCGCGGCGTGGACACTCCGGGAACTGAAGCGCGTGCAGCGAGCCCGGGAAGCTATTGAAGCGAGTGAGAAAGAGCGCGAGGAGATCGAGCGTCGTCGGAATCTTACGGCTGAGGAGCGGGAGCGCGAAGATAGCGAGTTCATCGCGAAGCAGAAGGAAGACCGTGATGCTGCGCGTGGACAGACGGGCTTTATGCAGCGGTATTTCCATAAGGGTGCTTTCTTCCGTGGGGATCTTGAGGCGGAAGGTCTTGATCGTCGGGAGCTTATGGGTGCGCGCTTTGAGGACGATGTCAATCGTGATACGTTGCCGGAGTACATGCAGGTGCGGGATATGACGAAGCTTGGAAAGAAGGGTCGGACGCGCTATCGAGATCTTAAGTCTGAGGATACGGGGCGGTTTGGGGATGGGTTGGAGAATAGGAGGAGGAGGGATGGGCCTCCTCAGGGTGTTACGGATGAACGGTTTATGCCTGATCATCATCGGGGGGTGATGATGGGGATCGTGGACCGACTGGTGCTAATGCTAGTGTTGTTCGACCTCGGCGTAGGTCGAGGTCGCGATCGCCGAGGCGGGATAGGCGTGATGATCGAGACTCTGGTCGGGTTGAGCGCAGTCGGTCTAGGGAGAGACGGAAGCGGAGTCCGTCGCCTTATGATGATCGGGAGAAACGTCGGCGAGTGGACAGTTCGTGATCGGGTCGATGCTCGAGGCGATGTTGTTCTAATTGGCTGTTGGCATTTGGGCGCGAGTCTATCACAAAGTGCATGTGCATGGGATCTGCTTCTATGATATTGAATTTCGAGCAACCAATGTGCCAATACTCTTCTGTGTATGTACATATACGTAATATAACATATCCTCACCTGGAGGAATTGGATTGTATGATATCTGCTGGCCGACAATCAAGGACTTTTGTACATCCACAGACTGCAAGGACTGTTAACAAGTTCCTCGGATCGACCGTCCAGACTTGTACTTGCATGACTTCGTGAAGGGAATGTCGGTGTTGGAATCGAAGACCAAAGAGCCGCAGAGTAGGAGCTCTATAACCACACCCAGAGCATCTCAAACGCCGTAGATTACCACGCTGACAAGCACACATCAGCCTGGAGCCTGCCCAACACCCCGATAGCCGGAAAGGTCATTCATTATTTAACACCCGCCCTCTCAAGCACCTTCTCCCTCTCCATAACCGGATCCCCAAAGCGAACCAAGAATACCGTACGACTAGGCCAGAGCTCCGTGGGCTGATTATGCGCCGAGACCTTTGTCTCAAATCCACACCCGTCACAGACACCCTCGATGATGCCGGCAACATAGGCAGCGCAGTTGAGCATGCTCATATCACGGGGTGCACTGATATATGTGTTGACCATTGGGTCGTTATCGGTGATCATGTATTCATTGGGGGTGTCTGGGGAGACGGAGTGCTCGAGGGCATCTGCGGCGCGGCCGAAGAGGAGGCGCCAGAGGGGGCCGTGGATCAGGTGCAGCAGGGTTATGATGCGAAGGGGTCTGTTTGGGGGTGAAGAGGAGGTTGAAGAACTTGAAAGGGCTGAGGAGGAGGTTGAGGTTGAGCGGTAGAAGAGAAGGTCGAGGAGGCGGAGGCCGAGGGGGTAACCTTGTTCGTTTAACCTGGATGGAGGGGTTAGTTATGGGCTGCTAGGGAGGTACATGGCAACAATTGTTTCCGAGGGCTGGGGAGAGGATTCCGGTTTGGATCAGGGGGTGTTTACCGTTTCTCCAGATCTTGGATACCTGTTACTCTTCGTTGAGCATATGTGACCATCTCTCCGAATAGAAAGGCGAAACTCGCCCGGCTGAGTTCTGCATTACGACTTCGGTTTAGGTGTCGGTCGTAGATGGTCTTGCGATTGGAAGGTACACGCAATCCAGGGGACTGTTGTGATTGCTGGGCTTGCTGTGATTGTTGTGTCTGTGGTCTGTCGCTCCCTTGTGTGCCGCCATTGCTGATGGATTGCATCGTGGCATGTCGAGGTGGTGCCGCCATGAGAATGGCGTTGCAATTTAGATCGGAGTCGAGAAATATTGATTTGAGAGCTTGATCTGGTCAAGTTGAGGTATCTATGGGAGGTCTGTGGTATCAACAGTGGATGCTGTACGGCGGAGCATAACTCGCTCGGGTGCAAATCCTGCGAGATTTTACTTTTATGCTGAGAAGCTACGAGTTAAGCTATGAAAGACTACTAAAGGATATGATTTGAAGAGATTTGTAGACAAAACTGTCATTGATTCGATACTGATATACTAAATATTCTAACTGTTGAACCCCCACGCCTGATACCGCACCAGTCGAAATATCTCTAAGCCGAGTTGTGCAAAGCATCGAGCACATCCAGCAACAGTCCAGCTAGCTATAGAGCCAGACACTGCACACTGCAAGCGACAATATGATATCAAAGATCGAAGCTTCAACCAAATGGGATCCTATTTCTGAGAGACAATTAGCAACTGTCTCGACTGCCAAATTTGAGACGCAAATTCATAAAAGGAACAGCCAAATAGTTCTCAGACATCCAAGGAAGATATTCCGCTCAGCGCTGCCTTGATTGGGTTCAAGCGACAGCTAGCGTGGAAACTGCGAATGTAGGAAAGTTTTCATCATCGAACGGCGCAAGGCCGTTGGCTGGGGGGAAATGAATGCAATGCAAAAAAGTCAAAAACTTACCAAGTCAGTGAAGAAGAGTATATGTGAATCTGTTCACATATACTCTGGGAGTTGTTGTCCTCCAACAGAGTTCGAAGTCAACATTAAGACTTCGAAACCGAGTCGGTTGAGGAAGATGAAGAAGAAGAAATTTCGAGCTGGGCGATGGCCTTTTATAGGGCCGAGCGGAGCCGCAGCTACTAGCGAAAAAAAAAGTAGTGTCCACTTTGGAAAAAAATAAATGGCTGGGAAAATTGTAGCTAGCTAATTTATTAGCTAAAAGAATAATGTTATTCTTGTTTTGTTTTCTAGTCTCAAATCATATCGTTTTTGTAGATTTTGAAAAGTATATACGCCCAAAAATGAACCACCCAGTGGCTGTAACCCAAATCGAATCAAATAGACACCAAATAACACCAAACATGCTCATGAAAGGGGAATAGCAAGAAAGAGCCAAGCGATATGTCGAAGAAGCATGTTCTTCACTCCAGCTACTTGAAGCTCTTCTGCTTTTGTCGCGAATTCCAATTCAAAGTCTTGGAAATGCTGTGCACCCAGCCTTCACCCTGTCCACCAGGAGGCAATACATTGGCAAAGGGATATCTCGAGGCTGACACGGTAACATAGTCACCAGGATGTAACTCGACTCTGGGATTTGTCAGTCAGTTAACAGACCCAATCAATGGTAACATGGTATATGTGACAAAGTAACAAACGCACCTCTCTCGTCCATCAAAGCTAGCCCATGAGCTCGTGCGCGCATCGTACGGCACACCCATGCGCAAGACAATGGTGTCTGGTAGAATAATCGGTCGGAAGGATAGCGTGTGGGCGCAGATGGCGGTGACAAGGATGACGGGGTTCTCGGGGTGCGAAAGAGAGCCGCCAGCGGCAAGATTGTAAGCAGTCGATCCGGTTGGGGTAGCAATGCAAATTCCGTCAGCAAGGAGGGTGGTGAAATGCTCGTCGTCCCCGAAGAGTTCGATTTGAGACATGGCTAGGGAAGATGGGTTAGCTGTGTGTCTGCTTTCGTGAAACCTAACATGTAACACGGAGGGGAGAATCGCAATCGGAAATCAGAAATCGGAAGACATACTTGGGTTTGGCCCCCGGTCGAGGACTACATCGTTGAGAATCTCATAGACATGATCTGGGGTGTGCGTTAATGTGTCCTCCCCTTCCTCTCCGATCAGTTCCTCTACTAGGTCACGCTCCGGTAGAGAGTGCGCCTGCGGATCTCTTATCCGCGCTTTGCTGCGCATGATGGTGCATTCGAACCGTAACCGTAGACTGACGAAAACGCCATCCCGGAAAGCATTATCGAGGCTATTCTGGTAATCCGCAAAGTCGAAATTGGTCAAGAATCCCAGTGAGCCCAGCGCAAAGGAGAGTACGGGCGGCACTATGCGCTGGAACAGCCAGCTCGTGTAGAGAACGGTTCCGTCTCCGCCGAGCGTGATCACAAAATCGAATAAATGCGGTTGTTCTTGCGCAATCCTGGTATCCCAGTACTTGAGCCGGCCCTCGGCGGAGGGCTCGTCTTGTATCAGTTGCAACGCACCGAAATCCGCATGCGCCTCGAGCCGTCGCTCGACGTAGACCACGTACTTATAGTCCCGGTCCTTGGAGAGTAGCCACCTTGTAACCTTTCGGGTCAGGCTTACCAGCGACTCGTCCTGCGCCTTGCTTACAATGAAGATATTCTTCACGGTGAGCTTGAGCTTGATGCTTCCCAGCTTCTTGGATAGCTTGCGCACATTCCAGGCCATATCCGAGAGCTGTCTCTTCGTAAGATGCCGGGATTCAATGACTGTGGGTAGCGGTTTGTTGCTATCGTCGACCACCGAGACCAATTCATCTGGTTGGATGCCTTTGGTATTTGCCACGGGTTTAGTCTCATCCTCATCCAATGTCCGTATCACATCTGTGTCTCCTGTGGGCTTCAGGTGGTGTTGAGGTGAGGTCCACTCGCTCGCAATGAGGGAATGGACGTAGCAGGCGGTCAACTGGTCATCATGGGATGATGGGTGAGGTTGGACTCTCGGCTTGTCCATCGTAACAAGGGAGGACTTGCGACGGTGATTGGAGTCGGGATAGAACACGACCTGGGTAATGACATGCGCTTAGTATGGAACTTTCATGGGAGTCAAACTGCTTACCTCCAGGTGATTCTGAGCGTCCGTATCGCTCACCCCTCCGTTGTTCTATGATGGCATTGGTCAGTCACTGCAATACCCCAGTCCATCCGCACTTACATCGTCCGTAACTGCCTTATCCATCGCGCAGAAGTACTCGAAGTTTCCTGTTGATCACTCTGTCATGGTTGAGATGTCTGGGTGTTGGTGGCATGAAAGAAAGTGGGTAACTGGGAACCATGCCCCACTACCTCGGTGCACCCGCAAGCAAAAATCGAGAAATTAGGTATCTTTTGTATGGTTTGCACATATAAAAGGTACATGCATATACCATCGACTCTTTACAATACTCGAGCTAGCTAAAGGAATAGTAACTGCACTAACGTATAATATAAGTCTGTTACAATTGATTTAGTACTAGGATTAGTCCGACCTATCTAATGCGAAGGAACAAGCATCATATAAAAAAGCACTATACATAAAGATTGGCGAACACCGGTGTGAGCTTGGCACGATTATGACGTAATACATATCCACTCAGAGAGCAGCTCCCAAAACACATGGCGATTTTCCGGAGTGAATCTCTTAATTGACATGATTTGTTGGAGATTTCATTTATATGGGTTCTACACACCGTTCTGTCTTGGCAGTTCAGTCTAGCATCGGAACACACGCTTGTTTTCTCGGAGATATATCGGAATGTAAGGTGATCTGATAGATTTGCATGCTAACTTCCCTCCCATACTTTACATCGAATTCTTCATCTCTCTCAATGCTGCCATCACCTCCACAGGATCCGTCTTGCCAGTTACCTTTTGGATCTCGGGGTCCTGTTCTATGTGAGCAACGGCATATACAAGGGCAAAGGACAAGGAACTTACATTGACGCGCATGAACACATTGTGGAGCTAAATGTTTGTCAGTATCGACCAGGAGTATTGCTTAGATCCAGCTCTTACCTTCTCATCACCGATGGTGAATTTCCCTTGTGTCTGCTGGTTCTTGTCCGCAAATGCCTGGAGCTTCTTGATGGGCTCTGTCTGCGAGACTGCAATACAGAACTTGACATTGGCCTTTGTGTACTCATGACCGGGCTGGATGGAGTCAGCATGAGTCTTGTATCAACATGAAAAGATAATCCTACATAAACTTTGGTGTCATCAGGCAGAGCCGCGAGAGTCTCGTTCAAGGCCTTGTGCATCTCCTTCGCATTTCCTTCGAAGAATCGGCCACATCCTGGTTTCAAGATTAGTCCATGTCGCTCCATCAACAGACGTATGGGTGGAGGTTTTGAAAACAATACACATACCGCCAATGAACAGAGTATCGCCGGTAAAAACAACACGCTGGTCTCCATCTTGCATATAGTAGCAGACGCTGTCTTGCGTATGACAAGGAGTATGCAATGCCTTGACTGAGATACGATCTCCGATCTTGAATTCTTCGCCATGGGCGGGGGTCTTGGTGACAGACGCGCAGTCCTTACCACCAATGACCTGAAGGCCCTTGAATTGTTTCAACTGGTGCAAATGTTAGCTGTAGGTAACACCCGATATCCCGAAAAGTATGCATACAATGTCATCATTACCGCCGGCATGATCCCAGTGGCTTCAGCAAATGTCAGCAAACCTGGATTTTGTCTTCTTTGTACTGGCCCATGAAAGTTCCATCTACATACTGGTGAGTGTTAACAATGGCCGTCAGGTCAATCTTTCCAGAATCAATCTGGGACTTGAGCTCCGGCGCAACCCTGCAATTCCACAGAATTAGCTCGGCTCGTGCAGTGGTTTCAACCGGATCTAAGATGCAACTCACTCCGGAGGATTGGCAGGATCAATAATAACCGACTTCTTGGTCGATTCATCTGTCACGAGGTAGGCATAGTTGTTGCCCTTCCCCGTCCCTGTAGAATTGACCTAAAATAAGCAAATACTACAATATACCAAGGTTGCCAGTTTTGATTTGTAATATATATCGCGGGACCGGACCAACATACACATAGGAATTGATTGGATATGCATGGCTCTGACTTGTGACCTGAATAGACGGGAGCTAGTTCCGAGTAATTGTGTCCTTAGAAAGTTCATCACCAACGATGAATCAAAACAGTGCGGGGAGCTCTCGAAAGAGGTACACTGCCTAGGTGGATCTCTCGGATTACCAACGTCATCCGGAATAACTATTTTCCCGCTTAGCTTGACAGCTTTTAGTAATGCCACCACTTTTGATTGGCTGTTCGTTACTATGTAGATGCAGGGATGTCTATATTGTATAGAGGATATTGGCTTTGGGTTCTCTAACGCTGCCAGCAGCGTGTGAATTTCATTTTGTAAATTGGAGATACGCCCATCTAATTACTCGATACCACACCCAAAGGTCGACTGTCCCATTTCTCCAAGAACCCCCATCCATGTTCCAGCAGCTTATCCGAAAGCTGAGTGGGAGCGTATTGCGTGTCATTTCTAACGTGTTTGGGCTTCGAGACTCGGTTCTTGACAGCGGGTCGAGCGGCAAGAACTGATTTGGGCTTGCTAGCATGCTTTCTTAACTGATCTCCCAACATCTTTGTCCAGTGGTGTGGACTTTCATCACAAGCTCGGAGAACATAGCTCTGCGGGCATGATTGTCTGTGGAACTCCCAGGAAGAAGATGTCAAGATATGCGCGATCCACAGATACAGAGCCTCGGAAGGCGCATCTTCCGATATATCTGTTGTGTTCTTAAAGGCTAGATCATTGACCAGATCTTCGGTCAAATGCCTCAAAAACGCAGGATGACTCTCTGCAACCTTTTGCAGAACCGGGTTCCATTCCTTGAATGTATCATCCAGTGATTCCCCAAGTCTAGAATTTCACAGTTAGCATGTACTCCCCGACAACAGATGCACCCCATGAAACACATCCAAGACAAAAACAAAGAAAAAGGGGAAGAAAACTCACTCCCGTTCCTTAGGCACCAAGAACCCCCGCTCGAGCAGAACAGAAGACAAAAGTCTGACCCCCGTCCCCGAAACATTACAAACCGAGACAAGGCGCATAGCGACCGAAACAGCCTGATCCCGCTTCCGCTTCTTGGGTACATCCGCCGATCCGCCGGCTAGAGGCTGCAAAGCGTCGCTTAAGGCGGCCCTGACAGACGCACTGTCGTCATGGGTCAATGCAGCACCGGAGTCATCAGCAACACCGGCCCAGTAATTGTCCCACAGCCACTCGAGCGAGCGCTGTGCAGCTTTGCGCAGTACGACAAGCGACGGCGGCTCGCGGTGGGTTGCTTCGTGGCGAAGTTCCACGAAGGAGGCTGGGAGGCCTAAGTCTGTGGCGCGTTGGAACATTGTTCGGCGAACGCCGTGGATCTTGGTGTCCACGAGACCGGTTACGAAGCTAACGGGCGTTAGTTTTGAAAAACGGGAGATATGCTATGTGAATGGGGAGAGTTTGAATTTGAGACATCATCTCAGGGAATCAGATGGGGGGTTTCTCTCCCATCAATGTAAAAACAAGAATCAGATACGGCTCAATAACTCACCGACAAAAAGCTGCGGAATATGTAGCACGAATTGAGAAGATGGAGTTCCTCTGAGCATCATCATGGAGAATAGCATCTGTCAATAATGCCGTAGCTTCAACATGGTGCGGTACATTGCCGCGTAGTTTCCAAGCTTCGACCTTTAATTCGGATATCGTTAGTAAACCACATACACAACTGACACCACTAATTTCTATCATGCATATGTAACATACCACTGCACAGCCATGGGAACGCAAATCCGGTCCAGCGTACGCAGACGGAGGATAAAACTCGTTCCGCACTTCCAACAACTGAGACTTGGTTTTCCAAGCCGTGAAAATCACCTTTGCCATTCTCGGCGCTGAGTTTGAAATGAGAAATTAGAAATTAAACTCGACGCTGGTTGGGTGACCTTTTGTTTGCTTGACTTTTCGTTGATAGCCTGCGAAATATTCTCGGCGGATTGTTGTTCCTTTGGGATGGTTTTGCCGAGGTTTATTCCTTCCGCAGCCAATCAGAGGGTGAGTTTGTATACTTCGAGAACTCGACTTAACACTATGGTTTTAATTCAACTAAGCATGGAAATAATGATAGGTAGCAAATATTGCGGTAGATTGTGTATCAGATCGTGTACGAATACACCTAAAGTAAATGTTGGTAGAGCTCGTCCTAGGGTATCCTTTCCGTGTATCCGACTCCGAGATAGAAATGATGAAAGAGAAACTCCACGCTATGCCGCTGGTAAAAATGAGAAATGCGAAATAAAAAGGCAGAAAAAGAAAAAAATTCGTCCGCTAGGCGATCTCAGATCCACCCATACCCATAGTTCATGCAAGGCTGATTGAAAGCAGCAAAAGGTTGTGCAGCAGCCATCGGCTGCTGATCCGTATCATCATGGTCGAAGAAGAAAGACCGCAGGTTCAGAGCTTGTTTGGGCTGCTTGGAAGGAAAGTTTGACTGGCGAATGGTAGCCGCAGATTCATGGTAGGTTGGTTGCTGGGGCAATTGATTCTGTCCAATGCTCTCGACCTCGTCCGACTCGGCGTCCTTATCATCGTCGGATGGGGTGAATGTTTCTTCGAGCTTCAGGCCCTCGCCCAATTTGCTCTGCGGGGCTCGTGCCAGTGTTCCGTTGGGCTGGCTGTAGAGGCCCATGCCGACGAGTTCTTCTTCGGCCTTTCTGGTCCTCGTGGGCTCGGTGATCTGGAAGGGATCGTACTGTTGAATGGGGAGAAAGTCCGGTGTCGATGGGCCACTCAGTTCACCTGGGGAAGGGACGCTGACGTAGCTTGGACATGTTGTCTCTGGTGGTGGGATGTTGGTTCCCATTGATAGCATGTCTAGGTTCCAGTTGTCGGAGGCGGGGTGAGACATTGACATATCGGTGGACATGCCGCCGAGATCCCACCCCATCGGGTCGAGCTGTGAGCCGGTCATGAGCGACGGCGTGTGTTGCGGAAGTGGCAAATCGTCTTGCATTGAGTAGACGGGGAAGTAGTCATTAGGGGAGAATGAAGGGTCGGCGGTCATGGGATATGACATGATGTTTTCGCTGTAGACGGCCGAGTTGAGATACTGATCAGACACGGCTCCCATACCGGCATAGCTATCCGAAGGGAAATCTGAGATGTACGGGTTGGAAATGCCCCGAGTTCTAGCCGATGAAGGATGCCAGCTCATCGGACGTGAGTTCCGGGCAGCCGAGGCGAGGAGGGCTTCTTCCAGGGATGACTGATATTGGGGTAGTCCATGCATCACATTTTGATTTACTGTTGATCGTCTCCTGGTTGCCGCCGAAGGACTGTTGCCTGCACTACGAGGCTTCATGACGCGAGTGTGCCTCGGTCGAGGAAAAGCACGGGCTAGATCTTGCATGGTGGATTGGTCATAAGAAGCATTGTCTTGAATCCATTGAGAGCCCGTTGAAGGGTGAGGTTGCCAAGAATAATGGGCCATATAAGAAACTGGAAAGTAAGAGATGAAGAGAGGAACTGAGGGGGAAATCAAGTCAGTATATAGTCAAATGATTAAAAGCAAATAGCTTACGTAGTGTGGAGTTAATAAAGAGTGGAATTAAAAGAGCCCTCCCGTTTAGGAAGAGTATTTAAATCCAGTGAAGATCCCATTACTAGGTAAGGTAGGTTTATAAGGGAATCCAGGGCCATCTAAGTAGGATTGACACGACGTTGACAGGGAAAACTGGAACCGAATCCATAAATCAGGGCAATTCCACCGTTTCGACCCATAGGGAATACTCCGGAGTGCAGCAAATAACAGAGTGGGGGGATCAGACCTGTGGGAACATGGAACATGCTTTTTGAGGCGAACATGGGGAATTAAATTAAATACATTATATAGTTATGTACTAGGTACTCCGTATGGTATATTATATCCTATACTATAGAATATGGGGCTCCCGTTTTATTCCTTTTACTTTATACTCCCCCCTTTTGGTTAATAAACAGCAAACTAAACCCCAACACTTGACCCTTTAGCCGGGAATGTCATGCCCGATATAAGAATGCGACCGGATTTGGATTAATATACAGGACACCTTGTCCCCTGTTCCCCCAATTATAACGTTACAGAGCCCGTTACGCAAGGGTTACAATGTGATGGGCTAGAGATCGACTACGCCTTTTGAATTTCGACAGGGGTGGAAGTGGAGCTAAAAAGATAATTACCGTCATCGCCCTTCGGAAAGTCTAGATTAAAGAACGGTCTCTCCCCTTTGTACCGTGCATACCCGGATGTGATGCTATTTTCTCTTTACCGGAATACGGAGTACATGATGCAGGAGATGCATCATTGCCATCTTTGTATTTATTCACTTTGACTTTTTTTTCCCCATAAATGTTCCGAGCCTAGAAATAGACTCGACTGAGCCAATCAATTAGGTCGGCTTGGCTGAATCGAAAACGGAAACTTGGGCCATGCGAGGCTTAGGCTACCTGCATTTGCAAAGGTCTCTATCACCTGAGAAAAAAAAAGAAAAAAGAGGGGCAACTAAAATATAGATACAAAGTAGCGTATCGATTGCCTCAACGTTTGTGGGTCTTGTTTCATCGGGAGCGTGGCACAGAAATCTATCACAGACGCCACCAAAATGGGACATGGTTGACGGTCTTAAATCTAGTGAAAAATGGGTGAGCGGGAAGGTCGGCTATCCCAAGTGAACAGTGGAGCTTTTTAAGTTCAGATCACGAAGTTTTCACGTTTTGAAGATGTTAGAATGTGATCAGTATATCTTATATCACCTGCAGCTTAACAAAGGGAAGTTGCAGGGCTAATTCCCAGTCTCAAGATTAGCGCCAATGTCTAGAACTTGGCGTGAACTAAGTAAAAAAAAATCCACCGAAAATTAAAAGAAAAAGGAGTGCCATTTACAACGTGGCCAAGTGGATCTGATCGTGCCAAAAGCCAAAAAAACAGACCAATCCCCGGCCAAGCCCGCTTTGGTCAGGGGCGTTCTATTTCCAATCTATCTAGATTGCAGGATTTGGTGAGATTTAATATATAGTATCTTAGAAGTACTCATAGCATTAGAGACATTGTATAATAGATAAAGATGCCTACAAATAATAGCCGATCTTGATGCAAAACACATCAAGTCCATCACGCGGCATCCAGAGCGCATTTAAAGACCCACTCCCTGCACTACAGGGGCCACAAAAAGGGTAAAATAAAAAAAAAGCAAAGAGGAAATAATTGGAGACAATTTTTCCAGAAGGCCAGATGTGTCTGATTTGTCTTGATCAGAGTTCTCTTAGTGGAACCGCTGACACAACCTAAGAAACTGCCGATCTTGGTATGCACTGAGCACACCGTAACAACACAGCATGGGGTTTCTTTTAAAAGGATCCTTGGTCTGATCACCCCTTGAGCACAAAGAGGTACTGGTACTCCATACTATATTGGCAGGATTCAGCTTATGTTGTAAGCAAATACGAGATTCCTAAAGGAACCCTGCATGCCGGGCAAGATCCGAGTCCCCAGTACCCAGTACCATGTTTCCTTTCCAATATAATCTACTTTGTTATAGTGAACTAGTACCAATAAGTACGGAGTCCACGGAGTATGTAAAGCGGTCACTTCCGAGAGACGCTAGATGCTATCAGTCAGCCTCTTTTATTTTATTTACAGGAAAAAGGGATTCCATATCCACACTGATGAACTTCCCATTTCATTTCCAAAAAAACCCACTCCACTATTGGGGCACAGCCGATCCCAGCTTCCATCCTTCCAGACGTTCCCAAGTCGGGGGTTCTGATTGCCCGGTTCCCCTTCTTAGCCCCAAAGAATGCAGCGGGAGCTGCGGGCCAGGTCAATTTGGCTTGCTTTAGCGCCATGTCACCAGCTCCTTACGGTGTAGCATCGGATGCAAACGTTTGGGTCACCCTGATCCCCGTGCGTTCCTCCTTTGTTCTTGTTTTGGGGCTTATGTGAAAATGTGATACTAAACAAGAAGGGATGTAAATGACAGGGATACAAATGTACCTTGAGAGAGAATAAAATGTGACCATTACCTCTAATCCAATGTATTGGCGGGGCTCATCTCGACGATCGTTGGGATTATCCTCCGACAGATCATGAAACTTACCTTCCCGATAGGCTAGGTTAGAATGTCAGAATTGGATTTTCCAAATCCAGTCCAGACCTAGACCTGTGACACAACATAGCCCTGGAGACACGTAAGGTCTAATGCAAGATGCACGATGAAGGCTGCAGCCTCACGGTTATCCTTCGTCATCGACTCCAACTGTAATCCAAATCGGGCGCAATTCAAGGCTGCCATCCTCGGATATGGGTCCACGTAAGGTCTAGGTCTAGTAGGTCCAGGTTGTGTACGGAGGAAAAACATTCCTTATCCGTCTGGAAGTTAAACTTATGACCTGAGCTGAAGTTCATGACGGCGCCTAGCGGTCAGGCCAACGTTCTCACAGAGGTTGGACCAATCACACACCTTTTTCCCTGAATCGAAAATTGTAAAACCTTCCCATTTTACTTTACCCTGGTTCCACATTCTTACTCCCTTTTGATCTCCTTAATACTCCGCTGATCTTAGGGAAAGTTGATACACGATTCTGAGGTATAGGACTATTTACACTATTTCTATTTATACTCTGGGATTGTGCCTAGTTTATGCTAGAAGAAGTCCGGTGCAGATGGCAGGGGTATATGCAACTGCTGTGAGATGGCACACCATTTCAAGAGGGAACACAACTATTGCTCGGCACTTATGTAAATTTGCGCCAATTTACATGAGATTAGAGGCCTGGTTAAACGGCACACAACCAAGTAATTCTACAAAAGGGGCTCAAGCCCTGAAGTCATCACCCGCGCTCTCCATAATAGTTTTAATAAACTAGTCCAAAAAAGGAAATGTAATTGCCCGGGCTCGCGTTAAATGCTTACACATGCTCCGATTCGACTCCGTACCTGGGATATATACACCCGCTTTGTCTTTCACCGTGTTCTCCATCCAGTACTTGCAATTTCATCGTTCCACAACTGTATGCCGAGGCACACATATGTGATATACAGTGCTTCCGCACTTCCCCTACTTCAGTGTACAACGTATGTATATAATTAATATGCACCGAGTCCACATCACTTCTTCATCCCATTCCAACTCCCCTACATATGCACCAACAACACACCACTTTCATCTCCAAACTCCATCCGTATTCTAAAGATCACCCAAAGGATCAACGGAAAAAAAAATATTACACTTAGATTATTAGTGGAAACAGACCCCCGAAAGACCCAGTTGACCAGAGTCACAACCCCCACTTAAAACGAGTATCATTTCCATATCGGACGAATGGTCTAACGGAGTCCCTCTCCCGCTTCTTTCCCGCTCCAGCGACACGCCTTGGTGGATACGACATAGAGGGTGAGAGCGATGAGCGCATTATGAGAGTCATGAGCACATTATTGGTTTCGGGCAATAGAGGGTTTTTTTTTATTTTACACTTTCGAGTGCAATCTCGTAGATCACGGATTGTGGAGTAGTGTGGGAGCGCATTAAATTGCGGGTTTGCGGGTTTGCGGCATTGCGGTGTTGCGTTGTGCTTATTTCAAGACACATGTTTTTTGCCACTGCGGAGTTCGGAGTAGATTTGTGTTGATCTAATTTTATAACTGATATATAGACAATATACACAATCTGTCTTAGATGATACTTATGTACCTCCGTAGGACAATTTACTAGGGGAACGTGCGACTAAGTTTCATTTGCTTAAATCTTATTGGTCTTCTTGGCGCAATTATCAAGTTATGTGCGACAGAAGCTCTAGAATGAGTCAATGGGAAATATGGCCTTGGCAGAGACTAACTAGGTCAAAACTCAAACTGATGAACTATCTAGCGTGGCATCAATTCCTACTCATATTTGACTTTTCGCCTTCGGGTGTGAGGCAGAGCAAAACATCAGCCGTCACGCGAGAACCCAGAGCTTCTTTCAGCATGTATCGGGAACATCTCGATAACGGCGAGTTTTCTTGTAAATTCTCAAGGTGCTCCTGAGAGCCTGTGAGGCTAAGGCCAGGATCCTCGACCTAATTGGTCCCCCTAGAATCAGCTCCAACCCGATCATACCACAGGCCCAATAATCAATAGCCCGATCATGGGGTTTGCCCTCAACCTGCTCGGGTGCAAGATATTGTTTAGTGTCGGCCCCATTATCATCGGGGATGTCCGTGGTGTCACATGCATATTCAAAACCAGTTAGCATTACATCTGGAGGATCGAAGCGTCTCATGAGGATATTGTCTGGTTTTATGTCCCTGTGCCAGATGCCATGCTGGTGAAGAAAATCGATTGTCTCTAGAAACTAAGCGAAATACTCGACTTTGTCTCTGCTGATACATCATCGGACGCAGATAATGACTGAAATTTTGTGTTAGTCAGAGGTGATATGAGGATGTATTCGTACAGAATACTGTCCATGGTATGCTGCCAGGTTTGATCCAGATAGGACCTCATCCGGGTCTATATTTATGAGATAGAGTATTATTTGGGGGAGGAGTGACTTACCCTTTCAGCCAGGGTTTGGCCTATTTGGTGATGCCACTGGAGAGTGGCTGAGAGTCGGGGCTGGATTTGATAGTCAGAGACACGGAAATGACAAGCAGGAAATTGGGAACTAGCCGGCTCCCTCCAGCCAGTTGAAACGAGCCTGGATACCAGCAACCTGATCCTCCTTTGAGCTGGGGCAGCCCTTCTCCTTCCCCTCGTATATGCACAAAAGCAGGTCCACGTCCCGGTTGTCTTGACGACCACTGCTAATCGTCCATCCAAGATCTACACGTTCAGATAATGTAGCTAGGGAGAGATCAACGTGTCTTGTTGGTTTGTTATCGAATACTGCTTTCTTTATGAACGTCTTGTGCTATTCAGAACCCAAGTCAGCTGCTGAGATGAAGAGGAAGACAAGTGGCTTTTTCATATATATAACTTTCGAGACTGACTCCCTAAAGCAAGTGTCGCCTCCAAAAACGCTCTGCCTCGCCTCTCTCGGCCATATTTATATGCCTACATGAATTCCTTCATCTCCTATCCCACAGCGTAGGGTAGGCAGATTCACTTCACATCATCGTCCCATATCTTATCCAGTCCATCACCAGAGAGCCCAGGGCTATTGGTAATGACATTCACTGCTCACGGAAGCTATCCCGTATGAATGATGACGGTTCTCCGCTTTGGGTCTTTCACCAATAATCATCCCGAAGGTTCTGAAAACTCGATATCCGCTTGTCTCACTCCCTCGTCTTTACCACCCATAACTACCTAGCATCGATCAGCGTCACCGTACACCACTGGAACCAACGCGCACTAACTAATCCCCCAAAATGGCACCGATCGAGATACCACGGACTTCCGGGATCGGTACAAAGCTCGAGGGGACGCACAACTATCATTCATGGTTTCAACAGCTGAAAGCTGAACTATGTGCTACCGATCCCTTGTACTGGCCCATTATAATGGGAGTGAACGAAAGTCCGGCCGAGCCCAAGTACCAGCACTATACTCACGAGGAAGCCATTTCTTTTGTTGCCAAAGCAGGCGAATTGCGTCTGTATACGTCCCCAACCAGCAAGTGGAGAGATTACTCGAGGAAACCATTGAGCAAAATAAGCTCCTTTCCCACAAACACGATGCCGAACCAGAAGAGTGGGAGCAGCTGAACTACCGCCTTCGCTTGAAATTCTGCTCGACTCTCGACAAAGTCCCAGCTTCCCATATCGAGCAGGTCTTTGATGCCCGATCTGCATTTCTGGTTATTAAAAGTCTTTACGATGGGCTCAATATGCAACCAGTCTCCTTGGAGTTGCAGAATTGGACAAGCATTCGGTACAAGAAAGACGTCCAGATGGAGACTTTTCTCGCCTGCTTCAAGCAGGCTGGAGGAATATCGAAAGACCGGTCTTGTCGTCGATGCTTGCACTGAGCAATTTCAATTCATACACGCGATTAAGGACTATCCTAACGCTATGTTCTTCATACAGACCTTGAACTTAAGCCCAAACAATGCGAACGAGATGGAGGCGATCTACGACATATTTTTGCTGTTTGCGTAATCTCAGTGAGTTTTCGATTACATACAGCCAAGAAAGGAAAGAAGAATTCAGTTGCAAAGACCCATCACCAGTAAATGAATCTAAGGATCAAATAATGTAAATTAGTTCGTATATTCTGCGCCATGTGAGGCCCAGTCAATATTCGAGCCTGTCCGAGCCCCATTCGGGCAATTACACTCGTAAGAGATGAATGATTCCGCCAACCTTTGACTAGTATGTGGGCACATTTTGGCATTAACCGAAGAGATTACTATAGCTACCCGAATGGCCGAAATATCCACTTTCATACCACTTGAGAGTTCGGCCACCGACTCCATACACAACGGAATTACTTCGGGGATCAAAGTTTCGGTGATGAGGTCGGAAAAGAATAGAGGCTATCATATTAGAAGTGCGAGTCGTGCTGCAGGGCTCGATTGAAGTCACGCCCATTCGAACATTGGAACCCCGAATTCCTTCAGAACCAAAATTTCTCAAGATGGCTGATGCAGCTATGGCAGCCTACGACAGGACTATGGCCCTCCCGGCAGTTCTAACCCCGGCTCTTGACACCCGTGAAGCTATTTCTGATTCACTCCATCGGTTTATGCTCGGTATGGACACCAACGATGCCGAGCTTTTCAATTCGGCCTTCACCGAGGACGTGAAATGGGACCTGTTCGATTGACAGATGAACAGTCTGGAGGAAGTTCACCTCGCGTGCTTCGAGAAAACCATCATCCACCTCGACACCACCCACTACGTCACCAGCGTCCGCATCAATGTTGCGCAGAGTGGAACGGAGGCAAGCCTCTCGTGCTTGTACAATGCGAAGCACTGCCGTCTTGGTACGGGGATTGACCCGAAAGCGCCTTGGTTTTGGACCGGCGGTACCTATTACCTTGAGATGGTCAAGGTCGAGTCTGAGGGATTGTGGAAGATCAAGTTCTACAAAATGAGAACGATGTGGATTGAGGGTGACTTCGAGGTGATGGGTCACGGTCTATGGACTTGACTAGTTAAAACGATATCAGAAAACCTCAAACATATAGCGTTGGAACATATTCTCAGCTTAATTGACCACAGCCCACAGCCAACCATCATACCCTTTCTCGCCCACAGTCTGTAGCACAATAGAATCCACACCGGGTTCTTTGCCTGCCCTCTCCACAACATCTCGACAACCTCTCAGATACGAATCGTTATCGCCGAAGCTGACCAGATGTCCATCACGCACAATATTATCAACACAGATGACAGAATTCGGCTTGGACATATCTTTCGCCAACTGGAAATACCTCCAGTTATTTACCTTATCCGCATCGATAAAGGTAAAACCAAATCCAGACCGCCTCCCCAAGTGAACCTCTTCACGCAAACGGCCAAGGACATCAAGCGCAGCACCATGAATGACCTCGATACGATCCGCCAGCCCTGAGCGATCAATATTTCTCTTGGCCGTCTTGTAGTGGTATTCATCGTACTCGATAGTTGTCAGGTGTAGCTGTGGGTTCTGACTAGTCATCCAGATGGCAGAGTAGCCGCCTAGCGTGCCGATTTCAAGTGCATGCGTCACATTGGCGGTGCGACAGTGCAGCGAAAGGAACTTGGCCTGGGCGGCTGAGAGTGCATGACTTGGTAAGCCTGCTCTATCGGACGCTGACATTGTATTCTGCAGAATCTGGGCATTGGGTCGGGTGTCTGGGTGTCCATGCGAAATGGCGTATGTGTCCACGGCTTCCCAGCGTGGGTTCCAGGAATTGTTGCTCCAGTGATTCATTCTGGCTAGAACAGGAATATTGAGGTGGTTTGACTGGTGGGAGAGGAATAATTTTTGTAATCCGGGCAATATGAAAAAAAGTGCAGTGAACAATGTAATCCGCCTCGTGGTTAATCGGTCCATGAATAACGAGTGTCAAAAGAAGATAGCTTTTTCCCTCTCGGGTTTAATCAGAATAATATGGAGAAGCAGTAAAGAAAAATGTCTTGAATCGGGCATTCATATAGTTATTTCGGTGTTTCCATTCTCAAATCTCTTGCATCGGGGGTTCTCGAGGTGGAATCGGCAACCAACGATGGCCCTTGATTGGCCAAACAATCTAGAATTATTGAATGGCCACTACTACAGCAGACCTGGAGATTAGGCCATAGTTTAGATGGAGTCATTTGGGCAATGGAACATTCGCATCTTGTGATAACCAAGGTAGGGCGTCTACGGCAGGTTTTTGGGTCCATCGCGCCAACTGGCTTTTTGCTGGCAGAAGGTTAACCAGCTGCCAGCAACATTTATAGATATATGTATTCTCTTCAAGGTCTAGAAATAGCTCGTATCAAAGGTGCCCCAGTAACAATATTACGGGATGGTTAGCCGTTATATTCTAAAAGACTCTAGGAAAGACATTAAGAAGACCGATAGAGAGATAATAACAAACCGGTTTTTTAAAAAGGGGGTTTGAAGCCTGAGTCCTATATGTCTTGGTGGTAGCACCAGACTTTCTCTACGGGGTGAACGAGCGATTTATATATTATAGATGTTCGAGAGGGCACATGTCGAGTTAATAAAACTATTTAAAATGGAGAAATAATCTTATGCTTATGAGGGTTGAGGGTTTGTACAAAGGTTGGCGATGGACGTCAGGGAGTCCAGCCCTAAGGGCTATTGACCGGGCAAGGGTAAATTACGTGAGACCTCAATGCTTCGCGTTGACTAGTACTGTTGCGGACATGCATCGCTAAAGGGACAGCATATTTCGCAGACGATAATGATATTACCTAATTTGACTGCTGTCATCTAACTAGACTATTGACGTTATTAGAGTCGAGTAAATACAAATCTTGGTATGCCAATTTATAAGAAGCTATACAGTTGAAAAATGATGATATCCGACCCCGAGAATGTAAGCTGGCCTCACACCAACTGGGCAAGCAACAAGCACAAATACTTACGGCTTTGAGGCATTCAACTTTTGGTCCATCAACACCCGCCACTGGGGTCCCCAGATGCGGAGAGAAAGGATGGCCGAAATACCCGTGACAAACGCGATCAGACCAATTAAAGTACACATCCATCCGTTGCCGATACCATCGAGCATGGGTTGAGTGGTGACGGCTCCCGTGCACGCGAGGATATTTCTCACAAAGTTTGCCACGGCGACACCGCTAGATGCTTTCTTGGGAGTGAACTCCGTCAAAGCGGTCTGTACAGTGCCCATGACCAGCATCATGCCAAGCCCGAAGAATATGGATGCGACACAGGGGACCGCCCACTGGACACCTTTTTCAGCGGACCAGCCGTACCAAATCAACGAAGCTGGGTACAGTGTCAAAGCCAGCCAGATATTCTCCCTCATACGGTCCTCGGGAAAGAACTTGAGCTTGCCGTTCTCATCGTAGCGATTGGCCTTGGTCGCCTCACGAATCATGATGTGGTCGATCCAGCGACCACCGAAAATTGACGAGATGGCGTACCCGATTGTCGGTGCCAGGTATACAAGACCCACCTCCATAACGCTGAAGTTGTAGGGAGGCTTCTCGAAAACAGATTGAATGGAGACGTTCATGATGTACATGGTGAAGAAGGCGATGACACCGGACCAAATTACAACGATGACTGGCTGAAAGCGGAGCAGGGCTAGTGCCTTGAACGGGCCAACGATAGCCATGAATATTTTGACAACAATGGTGGTGTTCTTTTGCTCTTCGGTCTGCGGCTTTGGCTCACGTTTTGCAATCGTCTCCGGCAAACATAGGAAAATCAACATCAGCATCACACCGCCAAATATGGTGAGGAACCAGAGGGTGCTTCGCCAGCCGAGACCCTGAGTCAAAGCACCACCGATCACGGGCGCCAGACCGGGCCCACAGAGAGGGCCCAGTTGGAAGACTCCCATAGCTTTCCCTCGTGCTTTCGGATCCCAGATATCCGCGACGGTTCCCGCGCCTACGGACTGGACGGAAGCTGCAGCTCCACCGCTGAGAGTTCGGAAAACAATCAACATTGCGATGTTGACACTGACAGCACTGATACAGGAGAAAACCAGGAAGAGAGAAAATGAGAGGAGGTAGATCGTTCGCCGTCCATGCTTCTCGGATAGCGCGGACCTGTACTTCATGGTTAACAAAGCTCTTGTAACTCTCGCTTCTGACTGGGTGATAGACTTTTGCAGGTCTACTTACCACCAGATAGGAGTGAAAGCCATGGCGAGCAAGTATAACGCCAGCGACAGATTAGCAACCGTTGGGGTCGTATCTAGGTCATGCGCTACCTCAGTGAGGGCCGCTGTAATTCGGTCAATGAGAAATCATTCGCAGAAAAACAAACAACATTACTCACGGAAGAAGATAGAGGAGCCCGTGGAGGATGTAATGGCAGCGAAGCTGACAACCACTGTCATCGCCCATTTGGTTCCATTGCCATACTCACGGGGGTTGGTGATCTCAGGAATGAGGGAGAACCGACCCAGCAGGCCTCGACGCTCCGAGCGAGGAACGACAACAATTTTTGGTCGGATAGTGCTCACGTTCGGTTCCACGTTCCCTAGGGACTTAATGGGCTGAGAGAGCGGAGCCTCTGTGCCAGACATTTCAACATCGCGGTTGAGGTTGAGGTTGTTGATGGCCACGCCATATTTCTTCTCGTCACCCGGCATTCTTCCGGTCAATTCAAGTGGGGATTGGTGCATAGTAGAGCTGGGCGGATGCCACGATGCTTATACATATCCAGGCATTGTATGGGTCCTTCGGGGAGATACGCAATTTCCCAAGACAGCAAAGCCGAAGAAGAAGATGCCAAGGTGGACACAGGGCATTAAAGAATGTGGCCATGATATACTCCGTGAACGAGAGAAAGACAAAGAAAAAGAAAGGGCGTCCAGCCAGCCAATTGGGGCAGACGTTTGATGCCCGGGATCCGCTACACTAGTGAGCTTGGCGGGCCTATCAGCGGGTCCGTGCAGATCCCTATTTTTAAGTCTTCCCCGGGACCTCGACGCTGAAATCCAATACGTTATAAGTCGCGATACGGCGAAGCACGGATTGTGTAGATGAGGAGATGAGTTTCCGGAAAGAGGGATTAGTAAACTGCACATAGGAAGTAAAAGTAGTCATGTGGGAACCAATATCGTACCAATGGATAACAAGCATCAGTGGCTTTCCTTAGGGGGAATCCGGCCCGGAGATAACTGAAAATGCCGAGCCGACTCTGCTGGGTACAAAAGGTGTCCACGCCGCTCAATATTGATCAATTCCGAAATAACTCGACACGATGTCCGCTTCACCCCCCACGATCCTTCTCATCGGCGCTTCGCGTGGCCTTGGCCACGCCATGGCGGCCGAATTCCTGGAAAAGGGATGGAACGTTGTTGGAACAGTCCGCGGAGAGTCGCGAACATTACTCCACGAGCTAGCAGACAAGTACAATGGTCGGGTTGACATTGAGAGCTTGGACATTTGCCAACCGGATCAAATCCAGGCACTAGACAAGCGTTTGTCGGGCAAGATATTTGACGTCCTCTTTGTCAACGCCGGAACAACAAATCGTGACCAAACCCAAAAAATTGGCGATGTATCAACCGAGGAGTTTGTACATGTTATGGTCACGAATGCGCTCAGCCCCATGCGTGTCGTTGAGAGTCTAGCACATCACGTGGCTCCGAAGGGCCTTATTGGTGTGATGTCCTCTGGACAGGGAAGCATCAGCAACAATGAAACAGGTCAGCGAGAGGTATATCGTGGCACTAAAGCCGCGCTGAATATGTACATGCGAAGCTTTGCAGCTCGTCAGGCCCCATCGCGCCCGATGGTGGTGATGGCTCCAGGTTGGGTCAAAACCGAGTTGGGGGGTGCGGATGCTCGGCTTACCATTGAAGAAAGCATCCCCAACTTGATTAATGTAATTCTTGCAAAGAAAGAACGACCCGGACTCGAATACCTCGACTACCTCGGTCGAACTGTGCCTTGGTGAAACGGCATCTCGCGTGACTATATGAGCCCTCATTTTTGTTTTGATCAGTCTCTCCTTCTTCTTCTCTCTTTGTATTTTCTGTATTTTCTTTATATTTAGATTCCAAATCATATCCACCGTGTTTATTGAGCAGTATTCACCAGAACACCAATCCAATATTGTAGCTTAGTGATAATCTCGCTGATTTTGCTTCATCTTAAAGCTACCGAGATGAATTCCACAACAAAACGGAGTTGGTTTGGAATTTAGAGTTTTCAACCTACTAATTTATATGTCTTATATTGCAGGTACATGTCTCCAAGCATTGGGCAGCCCGCCATAAAACACCCACCGGGTCATGTTGCCGACCACCATTTCTCCTCCACGCCCAACCCTTTGAAGGACCCCGGCAGCGACCTCCTTAGGCACATAATTGCCATCTTCCTCGGTCATCGCCCGCTCAATGGAGTCAATCCCCATGTGCGCAATCTTGAAGAAATCGTTCTTTGCGATCGGAAAATCCGGTCCTAGCTCCAGCGGTTCTAGGGCATACAGAGCGCGAAGCAACTTGACAGCGTGACCCTCGTCACGGTAGACATTTGCGCGATGGAACAGCTCAGACCACCCATGCGTCGGATGTTGTGGTATGTAGTTGACCACTCGGTCGGCGTACAGGGGTGGACACGTTGTACCAGCATACATCACTGCATCGACACGTGCTGTGGCTTCGAGCAGTCGTGCTTTGTCCTCGTTGGACAGCCAGTCCTGGGCCAAAATTGCAGGAAAGAATGCTGCCAGTGTGGCCGCATGGAGAGTCACAAAGTCCATGGCTTCGCGTTTACCCGGGCGCTGGGCAGCTCCCAGAATGTATGCGGAGGTGTGCATCATGTCTGATAGCTTAAGTTTGAGGTCCTCGGGCTCAGGCTTGACCTGGAGCTGGCTGAGGTAGGGTACCAGCTGCGTTGGTGTGACGCGCTTGAGGAAGCCGTCGGGAATCTTGTTGAAAGGGTCGTCCTCTCTCGTTCCTGTGCAAATATGGCTATCTGCCTGGAGGGAATAAAGGACTTGGAGCATCGATTTAGATTGTATTTCCGGGTTTGCACGCACGTATTCTTCTGTGGGGAAAAGGACGCTCGAGGGCCAGTTATCGTGAACGCAGGCTCCGGCCAGCGCTTCTGCGACGAGACTCGGCTGGTTAAATTCAATGCCACACCCAAGGTGAATCATCGGATGGACAAGATCTAGACGGGTGGATTGTGAATTAGTAAACCTTTGGCGTTGTAGAGGTGGATGTTGGCTCACCCGAAAACATGCGGCCTAGGATGTCATTCGCTCGCTCATCTCCCTTAAAGAGATATTCCTTGACAACTTCCTGCATTCCCTTGCTGGTGATTTCTTCCTCGAAAAACTTGAGGAAATCCGGGTAGCAATCGTCAATCCCCAGACACTTTTCAAAAATCTCTGGATCTTGCAGACCATGATTGGAAGATGCCTCTGGGTATCCGGGGTTCATGTCATCTTGATAAGGCGTGTTGTAATCCCACATATCCTGGATCTCAGCCGTGGTCGCTCCCAGTGCCCACATAGCAAGGAGGTGGTGAGTGAGATGATCTAAATCCAGGTTAGCCATTCACCCTAGATTAGATCAATTGTATGCGAATATACTATAAACCTACTGTGAAGAGTGAGCTTCCATCGCGTCTTGTATAAAGTATGGTTCTTAGTGAGCAATTCGGATACAATCTTTGCGCTCTCTCTTGTCAGACCATTAACATGAACATAGCCTGGAGTGGTCTCTGGAGACAAGAGAACAGTTGTTGCCGTCGGTTGGGTCATATTGCTGGACTAAGGGACACTCTATTTGCGAACAGAATATTGAAAATGAAATCAAGAAATATATCATCGGAAAAATACAAGGAATTAACTCGGGAGCCGAATATGAAAAGTGACGATCTCGGGAACCGATCGGGTTCATGGAGGATCTTGACATACCTAGTAAGATTAGCCCCAACACCGGGGATGCACTGCTTGTATAATTACTAAGGTGGATCTAGTCTCATGCTAAGAGTCATACTATACATGAGTATCCCCATCGAAACACATCCATACACCGGAATTTCAAAAACGCCATGCCTCGTATCCTTTGCCTTCATGGCCACGGAACCAGTGCCTCAATCTTCAGATCCCAAACCGCCGCTTTTCGATCCAAGCTCGATGATAGTTATGTCTTCGACTTCATAGACGCCCCATTTCTCAGCCAAGGCGCACCCGGCATAAACACCATCTACAAGACTCAAACATACACATGGTGGCCTCAAGGCACACCCGAGTCCATTCGCTTCGCCCACAAATGGGTATCCGATTATGCGCGCGAAAATGGACCCTACGACGCCTTTTGCTGCTTCTCTCAGGGATGTTCTCTCACCGCAACTATGGCGCTCTACCATGCCATGAATAGCAACAAGCCCGATTTGGAACCCCTCCCATTCCGCGCAGCCATCTTCATATGTGGCGGCGTTCCCTTTCTAGCCCTCGAAGATATGGGTCTAGAGGTTTCGCCGTATGCGCATGAAGTCAACAGGTACACTGGCGCCTTGCTGAATGAAGCAGCCGGGCGGTTGACAGTGCTAGCTCAAAACTTGTATCTGATCAACCGTGGTTTGGGGCTGTGGGAATATGCTTCAGATCGCAATTTGCATAACCCTGAGCTTAGGCCAAAGCGCAGTGATGTTTTTGGCCTTGATTTCACCAAGTTTCCTGTGAATGCTCGGATCAGAATCCCTACTGTGAATATATATGGTTCGAAGGATCCGAGGTGGCCGGCTGGTATTCAGTTGGCGGAATTCTGTGATGATACCGTCGAGTTTGATCATGGTGGTGGGCATGATATTCCTCGTTCCACGGAGGTCTCGAACAAGATTGCCGACATGGTTAGACAGGTTATAGAGAGAGTCCAAACGCCAAGTACGAAAGTTACAGAGAATGAGATGGCATGGAAGGAGCTCTCGGGTCTGAAGGTCGAATATACCACCATTAGCATAGATGAGATATAGTAAGTAGCATTGATAGAAGCAATTTGTACTCCGTAAAAAAATATTGATAGTATTTTATATGACTCGTTTTTCCTTTCCTTAGCTTAATACTGCTTGTACGAAATCTATCTTGCATTCTTCTTCGACTTATAGGAAATGTGTGCTTATTGTTAATCCACGGAAAGCCCCCATATACATTAATTTCAACACTCCTAATCCTGACATTTGTGAATATGTGTCAGGCAGAGAGGTCTATAAAGATCTCTAGGTGCCTGATCTATTCTGGGATAGTTGACTAAAGAGGCGAGAGGGGATAAGTTATAGAGACTATGAAGTTTGATAATATGACCCGAAACGTAAAATATGAAGATAACATTAACTATAAACCAAAAACCAAAAACCAAATGAAATACATACACCGTATAGATCTATCTAGTTCATGAGCTCAAAAAGCCAATCTCCTTCCAGATATGAATATACTTTCTCACAACCTCCTCACTCACAGGTCCCACAGCGGCGAGAGTCTTGGAATGCTCCAGTGTGTTTTTAACATCCAGAACAAGTCCACCACAGGACATACGGAGGTAGTTACTATCCAAGAACTCCAACAGGGTGGAAGCAGGGTTATTGCGCTGGGGCGCAGCCTTCACGCGCGCAACCCATTCCTCGAATGGAATCAGGTTCTTGATGCCCAAAGCATCAGCCAAGATGGCATTAACCTCTTTCCAGGGCTGGCCAACCGGATTCTCAATGTGGTAAATTGGATGAGGATTGTTATCGGCCAGGACAAGATCAGACAAAGTGCCGGCAATTTCATTCACCGAGGTCCAGAAAACCGTCCCAGGTGCATCGGGCAGGGCGTTGAGAGTCTGGGACGACTTGATCAGGAATCCAAAATGCTCCATGGGATTCCAGTAGCCGCTGGTACTGGATCCAGCAATTTGTCCCAAACGGACGATCATTGTGCGGAATTGATCGGGGTATTGCTGGATAGTACGGCTCAGCATCAGCTCACAGCCCCATTTGGCCTCTCCGTAGCCATTGGTCAAGACACTGTCGATATCGACACTCTCTTCTGGAACCATAATTCTTTCCTCCTTGTCACCAAGGCGGTAGTGACCCACGACACCGACGGAGGAAACCATCTGGAAGCTGAACTTGAAGGAGGCAGGACGCTGGGAGCTGCTGTCACATGCGAAATTGATCAGATTGCGCATGACTTGGAACTGCGACTCGAACCCAGAAAGCGCACGCTTGGCACTCATGGGCCACGCTTGGTGTATCAAGTGAGTGACAGAGCCAGTAAGGTTGTCGTACTGACTTTTTTCCAGTCCAAACATGGGCTTAGCGCTGTCGGTCTGCAGCACAACGAGCTTATGTTTGAGCGCTTCTGGGAATCGTATTCCCTTCCCCCGCATAGCCTTTTGCTGGCGAATTTCGGGCTCAACTCGATTTTCGCGGTTGAGACAGACAATCTTTGCCACGTCTGGAAGTTGAGCCAGATGGTAAACAAGGTTGCTTCCCAGGCTACCGGATGCTCCAGTTACCAGGACAACCTTCTCGTTGGCCGATGGTGCGATGGCTGAGGGCGAAGGGCTAGCGACAGAAAAGCCAGCAGTGTACTTGTCCACATACTCAATAACTATCTTTCTCCGAACAGCCAGTGCAATTGGGTCAAGCTCAGGATGCTCATCTGTGACGATGGGCTCAATCGTCTGCTGGATTTGAGGTACAGGGGCTGATGACTGTTCTAGAACAGGCTCATTGATGGTAGCATCGCCCACCAACAGCTGTCTCAGATCGGCCACAGTGGGGCATTCAAGGAAGAGGGACTCGTGTTGAATATCCAAATCCAGCTCCTCGCGGAAGCGACTCACGATAACGAGAGACAAGAGAGAGTCCACACCAGAGTCAGCGAAGTTGGTGTCATCAGTAAGCTCATCCATGGCAACACCACTTTCTTCGGAAATGATCTCCAGCGCACGCTTCATGTCAACCTTGTTCTCGCATAGAACAGGGGTGGTGGCACCTGTTCCTATGCTGACGGGTGTGTCCATACCGGCATCACTAGACACAGTTGAGGATGGAGAGTGATGAGCCGTGGGGCCAGAGCTGGATCCGCCCAAAAGTCTCTTGAGATCACCAACGGCCGGATATTCGAAGAAAAAGGCATTGAAGTCAAGGTCAAGATCGAGCTCCTCCTTGAAGCGGGCTGAGATAGTGAGACCTAAAAGGGAATCGATACCAACATCACCGAAAACAGTACTATCTGACAAGTCATCGATAGAGAGTCCACTCTCATCCGCAATAATCACCAAGGCTGCTAAGAATTGAGAGGCCTTGGGCGCAGGGGCACTAGCTGCAATAGAAGCAGGAGCACCAGTAGAAGCTGGCTTTGCCTTAGCTGGCTGCTGCGGCTTCTGTGACTTGACGCCGCTCTCAAGAGACAGGATAACCTTCAACACTCGGCGGGGAACGCCTTGGATCTAGATATGTTCAGTATATGTGCATGGTAGATGATGAGAAGGGATAGGGAGCCTACCGAGATTTTTCCGAAGAAAGCAACGACTTTATCACCGTCAAAAATGACAACGTCACCATGCCACAACTTATCCGCGCCTTCCTCCATGCGGGTGTAGGTGGTGTATGACTTGTCAAAGTCAATGGGCTCAAAGATCTGGAGCGAGCCCCAGCCATGGTTCATGAAAACCTCGTTGTCGAGGTCTGTGCGGTCATTGCAGTTCATGGTAAAACCGCAGGACTGTGTGAGGGAGTCAATAATAGCGGGATGAGTGTGATATTGACCACCTCTCTTGACAGTGCCATAACTGAGACGCGACGAAGCCTCCAAGGTGGAGCTGTTGAGCACGACCTCATCAATGGCTCGGTAGTCGTCGTGGAAGCGAGCGAGAGGACGGATAGCGCGATATACCATGGGACGGTTGAAACGGGCAACTGTCTCACGAGCGATACCATCACGCAAAGCTTGCATCTTGGCTTTGACTTCGCCGGCGGCATTCTGGAGAGACTTCTGAAGACTGCGGTTCTTGAATCGGATCACGCAGCGGGAGTGCTCCTGAAGCTTGCCCTTGCTCTGTGTTTAGGTTAGCATTTCTTTCAAAGTGAATGAAGGAGAAGTGGAGAAGGAACACTCACGTCGAATGACATGAATTTGACCAGTACGGTTTGAGACGCCCAATCCGCCTCACCGTGGGCCTGGAGAAGCTGCTCTGTTGCTCCATCCTTTAGGATCAGAGCCTTCGAGATAGTCATGTCCGACACGTCGACCAGATTGTCCTCTTGGGTGGGATGGTAACGGTTGAGAAGATAGGTACCCAGGGTCAAGGCAATATCCGCATAGACCGATGGCGTGCAGAGAGGAATTCCATCAACTTCATGGCCCTGGACCAGCGGGCTGAGATCCTTGCGTGCGATATCAGCCTCAACGACAATCTTAGTCTTGGTTGAGTCGCCAGACTCATCCACGATGCGATGGATTGTTGTGCTTTCCAGGCTTGGCCCAGCAGTAATTGTCATAGGCGGATCACCCTTGCGCAGCGACCAGTCATTCACATACTGCAACCAGAATTCCTTCAGATCCCAGCTGTACGCCGGAATACGAAGAACCCTGTGGAAGCACTTGAAGTCACGCTGGTAATCAGCCCAATTGACATCGGCACCTGCGGTATAAAGAGTCTTCAGTGCGGTCGTGAGGACCTGCGACACTGAATGAGCGCGCTGCGCAGAAGCAAGAGTGATCATCTGCGATCCTAGAACAGCCTTAACCATGCCAGAGATGGCCGGGTGAGGACCAATCTCGACTGTTATAGTTTGCTCCGTCAGAAGACCGCTGCTGTAGCCAGCCTGGAGCGCTTTGAACATGTTGACGGGTTTGCGGGCATGAAGAGAAAGATAGGCAGGGTTGAACTCGTTTTCTGTAGCCACAGTTCCCTCCAATGGACACAGAACTGGGATCTTGGACTTGAAGAATGTCACGCCCTTGGCGACCTCCGCGAAATCGGCCATAATGGGATCGATCTGCGAGGAGTGGAAGGCATAGGGGACCTTCAGCAGAGTGGACCTCATGCTGGCATCGGTAAGGGCTTCCTTGGAGGTAAGTACACTTTCCTTTGTTCCAGCAAGTACAGTCTCAACGGGGGAGTTGATGCAGGCCGTCTCGTAGTCTTGATCTTTGAGGACTTCGGCAATCTCATTTACTGACCCCCGAACGACAAGCATGGCATGAGTGTCGCGCGTGCACTTCTCCTGAAGCATCTCGGCCCGCTTTCCAACGAGATAGATGGTGTCTGCATCCAAGAGCACCCCTGCGACATTCAGAGCAGCGTACTCGCCGAGACTATGGCCGACAACAGCAGTGGGGAAAATGTTCCACGATGCCCATAGTTTGCTAAGCGCGATCTGCATGCAGACGCTGGCCAGCTGGACAGCAGTCGGGTCAAAGATACCGATGTCTGTCTCATCAGACTGGATGACAGGCAAGAAAGACGGGAATCCCAGACGCTGCGCGATCTGGTCGAGTCGGGCTATCTCAGTGCGGAAGAGAGAGAAGGTTTCACACAAGTCCTTGCCCATTCCCGGGTACTGCGCGCCCTGGCCAGTGAAGGTGAACACCACCTTTGGGGTACTCTTTGGCCGGGTCATTCCTAGGTTATCCTGAAGTGCAGTCTCGATCTGAGTACAGATATTAGTCATATTTGAGCCAGCAAGCATGACACGGTGTTTATGATGCATTCGACGGGCTGTGGTAGTGTATGAAAGCTCACCCAAAGAGACTTCAGGGTTCTGCTTCAGGTAGGCAAGGAGAGAGCGCAGGTTGCCCTGGAGAGAATTTCCGGCTTTAGCCGACACGGCGACTAGATGCACAGTTTTGGGATCAACAGTGGCAACGGGCAGCTGCTCCTGGACTGGGGCGTCTTCAATCAAGAGTGCTGAGTTGCCGCCAGCCGCGCTGAAGTTGTTCACGAAGACGCGGCGAGGCTTGGAAGGGTCGGTACTTCTCTCCCACGCCATTGGTTCCAGAGCGATATTGACATTTCGCTCTGCGAGATCGGTCGGGAACTTGGAATTGATCTTGGTCTTGATTCCACAGTGCGGGACAATCATGTTCTTCTGCATCATCAGGAGCACTTTGATCAGGGCCGAGACACCGGAGGCCGCCTCGCCATGGCCAATGTTTGCCTTTGCTGAGCCCAAGTAGAGAGCTTGCTCCTCTGTCCGGCCCTTGGGGACCTCCGAGAGCGCCGGGGCAAAGGTGTCCAAAACACTGGTCATTTCGCCGGCATCACCCGCTTGAGTACCTCTGAATTATAGTAAGTATTGTTTCATAAAGCGGGTAGAGGTGACTTACGTTCCGTGCATTTCCACATAGCTAACGCTATACGGGTCCACAGCGGCTTGGTTCAGAATCTTTTTGAAGATTGCGCGCTGGGCTCCAGAGTGAGGCCGGGTAATCGACTCCGACTCGGCAGAATGGTTTGTGGAAGCGCCGAGGATGACACCGAGAATAGGGTCCTTGTCGACGATGGCGTCGTCAAGCCGCTTGATGATGACTGTTCCAATACCCTCACCACGGCAGTAGCCGTCGGCCTCATCGTCGAAAGTCTTGCAGTTTCCAGTTCGCGAAAGGAAGTGACCCCGGTCAAGACCAGAAGTGAAATCTGGGTTAGTCAGAACATTAGTCCCGCCGGCGATAGCAGTATCAATGTCTCCTCTCCAAAGCGAGTTACACGCCAGGTGGATACCAGCCAGGCTGGATGAGCAGGCGGTGTCCACTGCGTAACTAGGGCCACTGAACTTGAAACAGTAGTTGATCCGGCCGGGAATAAATGCTCGGTTTCCACCGGGGATGAAATATGTATCAATGTTCTGTGCACTATTCGTCTCCATCCAATCGTTACTGGTAACGCCGTAGAAGACACCAACACGATCACGTCGGGTCGAGGAAGTAGCATCTGGAACAAGTCCAGCTTGTTCGATTGCTTCGTACGCAGTCATCAGGGCCAGTCGTTGGGCGGGATCGATCTGAGGCGCCTCGCGCGGAGAGATGTTGAAAAAGCGCGCGTCAAATCCAGCCGGATCATCAAGCCAGCAACCAAATGGCGATGCGCTAGTATTCTTGGTCTTTCCAGTGGGGTCGACGTGTGTGTTGACATCCCAGTGAGAAGCTGGGACTGGCTTGTGCATGTCCAGGCCCTGGTATAGAACGTCCCAGAATGCCTCGTTGTCTTTAGCACCAGGGAAGCGCCCTGACATGGCAATGATGGCCAACTTAGACTTCTCCTGGGAGGCATTGAAATTTGTAGGAACGCAAGCCGATGTATCATGAGCCTGGGTAGAGGGCACCAGGGTCCGTAGCGACGTCTGCTTCAGTGCAGTGTAGATCAACTGGTGAGCTGTGCTTCCAATAGGAACAACACTAAATGACTGTGGGGTCGCCCTCTGAAGATAAACCTGAAGTTCCCCGAGCACATCACTCCAGCTAATGGTCTGCAGCAAGATCTGCTTAACAGCAGACTCTAGGAGCGACCCAAAATTGCGTCCGGTGGCTTTGTCTCCAGTGCTTGAAAATAGAGGAACCTGTTCTGAGCACTGAGAAACCTCGTCGGAGGCAAGTTCACCAATAACGTCGGCGACGTCGAGCATAGAATACAGATGTGGCGCATGGTATGGGGCATAGATGGGGATCTCTTTGAATATCAGATCCTTGCCCTGCTTCGATTCCTTGAGCTGTGCGAGGGACTTGGGTGGCCCACTGACGGTGATACCGTTGGGAGAGTAGGCGCTGATATACGGCTTGCTCGTCAATGGCATAGCCTATAAGAACCATATAAGCTTTCAAACTTCAAGCTTAGGCGGGGGAAGTGACTCACTGTTTGCGCACAGAATTCATGAATGGCCTCAGAGCTCTTAGAGCCAGGGATCAGGACTGACCAGCTCTGAACCGACTCTTCCGGGGAAGCCACGCGGTGGGCAACTTCATTGACAAGCACGCCGGTCTTGAAAGCTACCACAACAGCATTGACTGCCAATGGGACTAGGTCCACAACGCTGTGGCTGCATGATACGGCTGCTGCTGCTAGAGATCCAGTGCAAAGACCAAGCGCAAGAGCCTTGCCCGCGAAGAAGTCCCCAGGGTCGGATTGACTGATGAACATTCCAAGCTGATAGATGGAAGTGACTGCCATGTCGAGAGGAACGAGCCTCTTTCCATTTTGGTTCCACAATATCAAATCATCGACACATGTAAACCGCGGATAAGCATCCCTGATAGCGGGCGGGAGCTTGTAAATCTCGGCACGTACAGCATCATAGGATTTGACGAGAAAATGTTCGACGACGGGGTTGTTTCTCTTCTGAAGCAGGTCTCTCAGGTGTGTCTGAAGATCGTAGGTCTGGTCTCCGAAGAGATATAACTTCAAATGGTCCGCCATTATGGATATACTCGAACTTAGCACGAAAACCAGGGGGGCATGTGGGTGGTTTTGAAAGGAGTTTGCGCCGCAACTGGAGGACGACTTGAGATATTCCCTTGCACGACTTGACTCCTTTAAAGGAGCCGGTGCTCATCAAGTGTCCGGAATTATGCATGGAAACCAGCCTCATCTCGGGGTCAAATTGAACGTAGCCGGGTATCAAATCTGCACCAACAACAATACACCTGTATCGGGGATCCGGATACTTCTGCATTGTATATGAGGTCAACAATGTCATTTGCTGACGATATGAAATGTGGAGGAGCATGAGCCCCGTATCGCCAAACAAATATAGATATTCCACGTGTGGTTAGGAGAAATCCCCTGCCGATCTATCGGGCTCACGTAAGAAGTGGGCAAAACCGAGACCAAACCCGAGATAAAACCCGATATCCATTTGTCCGTTATGATTATCGGGACCTATGTACATTCTATGTGCAGAAGGCTCTGTATCTGAGACATTCGTGTACACTACGTTCAGAAAATCTAGACAGTTTCAACGGGAATTGCATTCCACGCCTTCCCCTTTAGATCGCTCACTGAGAATGGCTACAATATAGATACGGAGAATTAGCCCAAGACAATGTGCAATACTGTCGGATTCGGCCCCGAACCAAATATTATACATGGAAATGTCGTTTTCACATTCGAAGCCATTGTTACCATATTATAAATTTGGCGTTCTTATCCTTCTAGCTATAGCACTGAAAAATGGAAGAAATATGTAAAAAGAATTACATCTAACAAGATAGGCGAGATGACATCTAAAAGGATATCTAAAAAGACATCTAGGAAGACTACCAAAAAGACTTAACAAGGCCGCGTAAAAGTGGTTGATGATGAAGCTATATAGATTCTGTGGTAAGATTTGTCAAACAAGTTGATACTGCAATCTCTCCAACACAAATAGCCCATCCCTGCTTCTACCTGGCAACTGGAAAAGCTCCTCTCACCTGATTAAGAAGTGCATTGGAATCATCAGGAAGTGCCTCTCCCCGCCAAGCAACCATTCCATCCGGACGAACCAGAATAAGCCGCCGTTCATAGAGCTTACCAAGCTCAGGCTCATTGAGAACAACCTTCTCGAGCGGAACACGCAGCTCCCGTGCAAATCGCATGATTTCACCGTCTCTCTCGGCCTCCTCACCAAGACAAAGGAGGACGAAGCCACGCCCGAAGAGATCAATCGTCGAGCGTCCCTTGCTCAGCCAGTAATGCGGTGCACGATGACCCGGGCGAGCGGTTTGGGTGTACATATCCGGGTCATCCAATGGCGGAGGAGAACCATCAGGGACAATGAGCGGTGATTCAGGGTAACTGTACCCCAAAGCCAGGCCTAGGGACTGAAACTCCTGTCGCATGTTGGCGGCCATGTTCTTTCCCAAATTGTCTCTCTGTTCATCCGCGTCCAATCCTTCGTCAAGGACCTTGTCGCGTCCATTTGTGTCGAGCCAAATTCCGAAGTTGCGAGTGGATCCTGCTCCATTTCGAAGCGCGATGGGTCGTCGTTCGGCAGTGTATGCGTCAATCAGACCAGATCCTCCCCATCCTTCGAGTAGGGCTTGCAATACCCAGCTAAGGCCCATCACATCTGCAATGCCTGTGTTCAAGCCGTGGCCGCCAGTGGGAGACATCGTATGGGCGGCATCTCCAGCAAGGAAGATTCGTCCTTTGTTATACGTGTCTGCGGTATACTGGCTTCGTCGCCACTGGACTGTTTTGATAATTTCGTATCCAGGCGCATCGCGCCCAAGAGCTTTTTGCAGAAGGGCATCCATGTCAATGGTGGAAAGATCGACTTTCTCTTTACCACCAACAATGGAGAACCGCCAGAGCGACTGACCGTCGATTGTCGTGAAGTTTCCCCAGGTACCGTCGGGACCGATGAACATAAAGCGCTCTGCGGGAGTCCAGGAGTGGTATTTCAAGAGATCAACTCGCACAATTGAGCTGATCGCATACCCAAGGCTCTTGCCGTGGAAGGGAATATCGAGCTGCTTTCGCACCGTGCTACCAGCACCATCGCACGCGACAACATACTGTGCTCGCACATCCTCCAAAACGCCATCAGCAACCCGCTTGACGTGACCGACCACGTAATTGTCATTTTGGTCACATCCAACGAGCTCCGTCCCGTAACGAATATCTGTCATTCCTTGACGATGCACAGCTCGCGCAAAGACCGGATCAAACCAGATCTGCGGACAACGTCGCAGCATCTCGGCAGACTGTTCTGGGACTTCGCGTGTCTCAGCTGAGGGCATCTCGAGACGGCCAATATAGTGACCGTTCATCGCTGTACAGAAGACAGTATCACCGGGAAGGTCACCGGGGTAACCTGCATTGGCAACATCGTCACGAACGCCGAGTAGCCGGCAGAATTCCATGGTTCGTTCATCGATTACGCTTGCTTTGGCTTGCAGCGTTTCTTCGGCGCTAGGATTGCGCTCGACGATGGTTGAACGGATGCCACGTCGACCTAGGTCTAGGGCTAAGGCGAGTCCGACGGGGCCTGCGCCCACAATGAGGATGTTGGAAGGCTCTAAGCTACCCATAGTTGGTTGAAAGAAATTGAATTTTTTCTCACTTGATAGGGTATTCTATCTGAAGAAGCTTAACTTAGAATGTTTGAATTTATTTGTATTTACCGAGGGCCTTGCATGATCGATTACATTCGACCTTCGGCCGGCGCAGCAGCACATTGACCCGAACTCAGTGGCTTCTTCAAGGGGAAACCGCGGCCAATGCGTTGTTAATTTGCTTGTTCTTATTCTTATTATTATTGGCAAGTTGTTTCACGTTAGCCTGACTATCCACCCCGGTATTTGTATTGAAACCCGATTGAAACCCGGTCAGTACGGAAGATATCACAGGCCGACGCGAACATCCCGACAGGGACCAGGCTAGCCCTAAGTAGGAACAGGAAAAATGTCTTTTTATTCATCAAGTGGCTACTATTTTCATGTCTGAAGCGCATATAATGGTAATCCATTTGATTTAGCATAACCTACCATTTGTTCTCAACTTCAGAAATGAATATGGACCAAATACTCCTTCTTTACAGCAATCGATTGCTTGTCCTTTTTACCACTTCTGGGCTTTTCATCGTTTTGATGGTATGGTTCCGCCGGGATCGAAGACTAGACTCCATCCCGGGGCCCAGAACATACCCGCTCATCGGCGTGGGCTACAAACTCCCACCCAAAGCGCCCGCGTTATTCCGCCAATGGGCTCAGGAACATGGCGAAGTGTTCAAAGTCCGTGTCGGTTGGTACAACTGGGTCGTGCTCAACACCCCTGAGGCGGTACGGGAGATTCTCGAGAAGCAAGCCGTCAAGACTTCCTCCAAGGCGCCTTCTCCTATGGGCCATGACATCGTGACCGGGGGTAAACGCATGCCAACTATGCCTTACGGACCACATTGGCGGGCACAGCGATCGGTGGTGCGCCAGGTCACGACTGTCCCCATGACAGCAACATTTGTGCCCAGTCAAGAATTCGAGACAAAACAGTTGCTTTTCGACCTTGCCATGGACAATGACAACCAGCGAAACTTCTATCAGCATATGCGGAGGTATGCATTTAGCATTATCATGACCAACACATTTGGCACGCGCGTGAAAAACTGGGATCATCCCGATGCGCAGAATGCAGTGCGCAGTCAAGCGATCCTGCGGCGAACATCGAGGCCTGGTGCTTTCCTAGTCGATGAGTTTCCACCATTGGCTCTTCTGCCAAACTGGCTTCAGCCTGGACGAAAGGATGCGATCGAAGCCGCCAAGGGAGTTCTTGATATCAAGATGGGACTATGGCACCGACTGGAAAAACAATTTGAGGCTGGGAAAGCGCCTCACTGTTTTGCACGAAGCATCATCGAAAACAAAGATTATTGGTATGCTCAAGGCCTCAATGACGAGGACCTAGCCTGGGTGGCTGGTGGCCTTGTCGAGGCTGGATTTGAGACATCCGCTGCGACTTTGAACAGTCTCGTGCTTCAACTTGCTGCAAACCCACGTGCGCAAAAAGCTGCCCACGATGAGCTGATGAGAGTGGTTGGCCCAAATCGCCTTCCCAAATTTGAGGACATGGCGAATCTGCCTTATATCCGCGCTTGTGTGAAGGAGATGCTTCGCATGAACCCTATCCTCGCCCCGGGGATCCGTCACTATGCAGACCAGGACGTCGTATATAAGAACCACGTCATTCCCAAGGGAACCGTGCTTCTTGCCAATACGGCTTTCCTACACTATGATCCGATACGATTCGAAAAGCCTTTCGAATTCATGCCGGAGCGCTTCCTTGAGCATAAGCTATACAGCTCTGAGTATGCAGCTATGAGCGACCCGTACAAGCGAGATCATTTTACCTTCAGCACGGGTAGACGCACATGTCCCGGTGCTCGTCTCGCAGAGAGCTCGCTGGACATCGCCGTCGGTGGCATGATGTGGGCATTTGAGATTCGACCGCCAGTGGTGGATGGCGTCGAGGCGGAAATGGACTTGAGTGACAATGCGTATCCCGATGGTGGCTTCACCATCCCTAAGCCTTTTGCTGCTAGATTCGTGCCCAGGAGCGCAGAGAGGCTTAAAATTGTCAAGAAACAGTGGCAGGTTGCGATGCAAGAAGGCTACGAGTTGCGTGGTATTCCGGTTGATGTGGACGGAATGGTTCAGCAATGAAAAGGGGTAATTGACGACAGTTGGTACTCGTGTGGAGTTCTAGGATAGCAGAAGTACGTGACAAGTATATACGCAACATCGATATTGTATAAAATACAGAGAGCAAAAACAAATTCACCAAAAATATACACCGAAAAGTACCACAGGAATGCGAGATTTATGGAAATAGAAAAGCGGGATTCGGAGGGAGTATAAGATCCGACCAGATCACGTGTAGAAATAGCCCATGTACCGCCTTCCATATCCGTCATGCCCGTATATCGGATCAAATATTTACCGAAGCCAGCGGATCAAAGAATTGGATCCGGACCCACCAAGGCGGATCGGGACGGACCCGGATACGAGAGCGGATCTTCACCTTCCTCCACTTCTATCCCTCAATCTCTTCATCGCTAATCGGCGCAACGTCATCTACTTTTAGGGCCTCCTCATCTCTAGTGCCTTGAAGGTCTCACTCTCTATGAATTCGCCAAACGACTCACTTGCTAGGTCTTTAAAGGAATTTTCACTGAAACTAACGGACCGGAATGGCTACAAAACTGGCTAATATAGGCATTGATTCTAACATCTATCTAAAATGCCCAGCTCCTTCAACTCCGATTGCATCATATGCAAAATCCTTGAATAATCCTGCTTCAGCCAGGAATTAAGACTCAAACAAAGGCCCCCGATTTGCCCCGTCGCCGGAGTTGAGCAGCCGGTTTGTGAACCAAACTGGTCAATAACATCCTCCACTCGTTTCATCTCGCCAGATAATAGGTGTATATTTATCATAGTCTGGAGGCGAGGATCATCCACATTGAATGTCCCAACCATCATTCGTGACGGTGCAACCGATACCTCTGGAGGCTGCATAGGTGGTGAGCATGCACCTCTACGAGAGTCGCTGGATGCTAAGATACTCCCTGCTGCCGTACTAGGAAGGCTGGACAGAGAGGAAAGTTGTGTGCAAGCGGCAGCCTGCTCGTACCATGCCAGGATCCGGGAGATGATCGACGCATAGAGTAACGCAACAGAGGGAATTCGCGCACAGGGGCAAGAAACGAGTTCAATGAGACGCTCGGTTGCCTCGCGGTTAAGTTGGAGCACCACATCTAGTGGCACTCCATTGACCGTGGTCTCCGTTTTCAGGGCGAAACCAGTCGGTGGTGGGAGTCCTTCGTCGGCCTCGGACTTGCTGATGTTGTGGACGGATATACTTTCAAGGATCTCGTGGGACTTCTGCTGACAGTCGTGGCTGTTGGCCATTTCTGGCGATATTGACCCTTGTTCGAGATGTGCACTCGTGTCCCATTGCCATTGGAAAGTCATGGACGATAAATCTTCCCCTTGTATTGGAGATTGGTGAGAGGATCGAAGAGGGAAATGGGTATTGACGTTCGTTTGGTCCGACATAGCCCACTCGCTATAATCCAAGGGCAGGTTCGGTATCATCGGTATTGGAATCTCGTGGTTCAAACTTCCTCCGGCATCTAGGATGTCTATGAATGTGTGACTGTTGTTGTCTTCATCCATAGGATCCCAGGTATTCATATCAGTGCCGGAGGAGATATCCAGATCCAGCGGCATGCCACCACTGCTTGTTTCACTACTGCTTTGGGTGGTTGTGACGGTGTCGCTCGTGGATTGAGATAGACTGATACGTCGTGGAGGCTTTCCCATCTTACGCGAAACCCCATAGACGCATGGTACGCCATGTGAGATGCACCGCCCACATTCCGGTTGTTCTTTATCGCATTTCACTTTTGCCGTACCGCATCGATCACAGCTTGATCGTAGTTTTTCCCGTCGAGTGCTTCGGATCGAGTCTCCAGCCATTGGGATTCTCCGAGGTATATAGAATGTAATTGTCAAGTTGAAAAGACAAAAGAAAACACATACTGGACACGAGTATCTGCGGGATAGGGGAGCATATGAGCTAGCCTCATCAATGTCTTTATCCAATCGAGGGGCAGGGCATCTAATCCTGAAGGATTTCAGCCCCGACTCAAGCCTTCGCCTAAGCCTTTTTGCCCCATCTCAAGCCATCCACTCCTAGTGGGGATGACTGGCGTGGGCCAGTTAGATGTGCATTAAGGAAAATTCCGTATTGGGATGTAAGCAATGGATTCTATCCCTGTTTGATTTCTATCTTCATTTGTTTTACTGCTTACCCACTAGTTTCCCTTCCATCCTAAGAAAAAATCTCCGCAACACACCACGGCAGAATGAAACTGGATTTTGGCAGTTGATGAGGGTTCGCTTGACCCGGTGGCCATTGAATCCCTCGGCCAAAATAATACCATTTGAGCTTTTATATCTTGTACTTATGCGTTGTGTCGCATCGAGCATTTCTTCAACTACTTCCAGGATGGGCTGCAGTGTTATTGAGACACTGATATCGAAATGCCAACAACTTCAATGGCCGACCTTTATTGGCTTGTATTGAGATGCAGGATCCCGTTATTATGCACGGTATATTACAGCGCCTAGTTTCCACTATCACATTGTCAACTAGCCTGAATACGTCGAGTATTATGCAAGTTGATACCCGAATCACGGCTGACCGCTATGATCAGCTTTCCCCCTGATTTTGCCTGTATCTCCTATTCAAATTGTCCTATATAGTTGCTCTGGATCACATAGATATGAAATCCAGAGATCTTGCACTCTCATTTCTATACTTCTGGTATTATTCCTCATCTTGTATTCGTCAGATTGAATACGACACACTAATATCGCACTTTCGACGCCATCTGGAACTTCATAGTCCACATAGATAGCTTGAAACGAGTCGAAGTTTAGGACACCCGCACAGGATTTACAGTGGAGTAGCAAGATAACTGCTACCTAGAGGCTTAAGCACAAACAAGCCTCGGGGAAATCTCCGTGCCGTCTATGCATAATACCTGACCAATTGGATTGCTGCACACCACATATCCACATTGGTGCATGCATGTGTTCATAGAATAGTAATTTTAAACGAGATGCTAGGTAACTGTAAAAGGCAGGTGGGCTTGACACCACCGCATGATGACTGTGCTTATCGGTAAACGGCTACGGAGTACGGAAGACTATGCCAACCGAATGAGATGAACTTCGCATCTCAGCTTGGGCGATGTACATAATATTCAACCCCACTTCCCGGGTCCCCCTCCACCAACCCGGTCCAGCCCTGGAGGCCCTACGGGCACCAACCAGATATGATATCACCACACACAGGCCTCTAATAGTAACCGGACTTGGAAGTATTAAAAGATATAGACTGTGGCTAACTAATAAAAGATCCTCATATAACGTAGGTAAAAGGTAAAATAAGTGTAATTTGTAGGATAAGTAGACGCTCTGCTACTTATCCACTATGGTGTTTCAGACATATATGTACCTAGTTACTGCAAGATCCACGGCTTCCAAGGTACCCGAAAAATTGTCGCAGTAACAATTCAGACATGGTATAATCAGCGCAACAGGTGAAATCGATCAATGGTGAAGGGACGACCCCACTCTAGCTGACGGGCAATATGTTTGGGCTTTTAGGAAATATCCGCTAATATAAATAATATAGGGCACTCCACGGAGTACTCCGTATCGATAGTGAAATTACATCTATATTAAAGTAGGTCGGTGTTCAGAGAGCGATTAAAAGCCGTAGGGGGTTAGACGCACTCTTCAAGCGCTATTCACTATCGTCAGGAGAGTAGGATTTCTTCATCTAGCACGGGCAATTCTTAAAAGGTAAACTAAGAACGGTGGATACTAAGTACTAATATTAGATATAGCCACGAGTATACTCAATACATAAATATACTATCGAGTGCAGAAAGTTATAACAGACGCGTTCCAAGTATACTATTTTTGTTAGAACCCCTCTATCTGTGGCTTTGATTTCGGGTTTGATCGGGCTGTGCGCTCTCTTAGAGTGGGGCAGAAGAATATAAATTGGAAAGCTGACATGGTGATCCTTAAAGCCGGCCGCTAGGGTACCATTTACCCGTTCTGGTCAGTGGCGCAAGGCCTACCTGCCTTGAATGGTTTTCAGCGTCGCATATACAGTGTATTTCTATATCAAGGGAGATATACGGTTTCAGGAAACTGGCGATCAACCGTCTACATCTGGTTACAACTATGGTTAGTTCGTAAGAATACAACCGCAACCGTTATCTTAAGTTTCAGTCCCCTGAGATCACTAACGGTAGGATAGGAATAGTGGAAGAAAAAGCCAATAAAGTCAAAATCAAGATCGAGCTTTTCGTTAAGTGGCAACAAGCATCGGGGTACGGCAGTCTATGACTGATAGTACGCCACTGCAGACTTTCCCATAGTCGTTTTAGTTGTCTTTTTAGTACCTAATGTGGTGGGCACTTCCTGGGACATCAATTATTATTGCATTCCGAGTCGATCAAGATGTATCCAATACCAAAAGATCCGTTGTGAAAAAGCGACGCCGTCAAATTCTGCTGCGCTTTGTCATAGCGTAGTGATGGAAATGATCACAAATTACTTGCAGTATATCGAGAATGCTGTCGCCACTGTGCGCCATAGTAGAAAACTAATATAGGAATGAGAGCAAAGACCAGACCGAGCCCCCCAAGCATAGAAAAGCCTCCGCCATACCCGAATCTCTCAGTTACATGCGATATTGAGAGCGGCAATAAAGCCCCAGCTAAGCATCTCATTGATATCAGACCAGCCATTGCAGATGCAGAATAAAGCCCACAAGCATCCACAATGTACGCCGTCAAAGGGGACAAGGACAGCATCATAGAAGTACGGAGCCATATCATCGAAACGATGAGCACACACAAGGGTAGCCTGTATTCGGCGCACCATCCATACAGAATCACCGCAGGGGGAGGGCCAAGGCTCCAATGATACTGAGTGGTAGGCGGTATTCGGGCAAGCCATCTCCGTTATTTCGCGCGCGGAGCTTGACGTATATTTTGTCTAACAAGAATTTCGAGATTATAAAACTGATGATGGTGCCAACGGCTTGAAAATATATCATTAGTCCATACACTCGAAGGGTATCACGCGGCAGCTGTAGCAATCTCACCATTTGCAATGAACACAAGACCTGTTGCAGTTGGGGATAGTCCATAAATATCTTCCAAAATCTCTGGAAGAGTTGTGGTTACGATGTAGAAATGAGAGAAAGTGTAAGATCCAAACAGTATGAGAGCCACCAAAACACCCGAGTTGAGTAGAACTACTGCTGGGCGCATGATCGAGTTTCGCAAGCTCGCCAAGTCCACCGTAGGACGCTTCTTCTTCTCGAAGCCCCCAATCTCAAGAGTCATCCAAGCCGCCCTCCGGTGCAGGATTTTGACCTTATATGTTTCTTGGAAGAAGGTTAAGAACAGGATCTGACAAATGCTCGCCATCACAACGCTAATCCAAATGATAGCGCGCCAGCCTAAAGTCTGCAGAATAGCACCGCTAATAACCGGACCCACGGTACCACCGATGAGGGGAGTGAACATTATCAGAGTAAGGGCAGTGCCCCTTTGTTCTGGAACGAACATGTCACCGACAATGGCAGGGCTCAGCACGTTGCACGCTACTGAAATACCCATCAGGGCGCGTGAAACGATAAGCAGTTCTGCGCTGGGCGATAAAGCCGCAAACAAGATAGCCACAATGAACATCGTGTTCATAGTCAAGTAAAGGCGATAGCGTCCAAATATCTCAGATAGCGGGGCGATGAAAAAGGGCCCTACTGCCTCGCCTAGCTCCCATATTGTGACAAGCATAATAGTGGCAGACTTGGCCCCTTTACTACCATTGAGATCATCAATGATATGGGCTGCTATGGGGGTTACCGAGATGCATGTGAATGTACTGGATATCATTAGCTACAGGCTGGTACCTGCGCAGGACTAGGATCGATACGCACACTGTGAAGCCCATAAAGGACAACAAGGCAACGATCCCCCATTTATAGAAGTCGGACCACTCGAGTGGATTTTCCGGGTCCCCATTTCGGTCGAAGTCCACCGTGTCTCGTGAGTACTCGAGACTACTGCGATATCCACATTCTGATTCAAGCAACAAAGGATTGGCCTCTTCTATATCTGGAGATCCAGGCATTGTGTCGGTGATTTCTTTTGGCTGGGAATATGCTTGCGATATAGCGAAGTGAAATGGTGTCGAAGAAGGCCCTAACTAGTCGCGTCATCTGAAGAATGATCGCCTGGGAACCATGCTGCCCCTACGCCGGGATGATAACCCTCAGGCATGCAAGGGGGTGGTGATCTGCAAGTCGATGTTCAACAAAAGCTATCTTAGAGAATTAGAGCAGGAAAATAGTTCCGATTTAAAGTCAGTAATTTGGGATGACCGAAGACTTTTCTCCTACGCTGATTGTGGACTGAGTGCACAATGGATCTGATCATTCTTTGAGTAATCAGCGATCAGTGAGCATTCCTTAGACCTTAAGGATCCATCACATGGCACTAAGCCTAACGGGAATCAAGTTTTACTGCGCTACTAGGTGTTAGCCAAGAAAGCTATCATGTCGGACAAATTTAGTATCATCGATTCGAGAATAGCTAGATTTATCTCTTATTCCTCCTTAGAATGTATACTCCTTCGGGCCAACCTTATAAATTGAGAAGGGGGATGACTAAATTACTGGCAATATTATCCAATGAGAGAGTTACAAACAGATGGCACACTTAGTCGCCCGTACACCTCACCTGTGTTCCAACCTTTCGATAACTTTATATCACATACCTGGCCAACCAATTATTTAAAACTGCACCCGATTGGCACGTAAAATGGATCCACTTTAACGTCCCCACTCGTTATGGAGACTATTTTAAACCTTCAGGTGAAACTCTCGGACTTTCCATTTTCCCGCACCGCCTGGCTGTAAGGAACATGAACAAAACGCGGACTCGCTGTCTTTATGCTCCTCCATCTCGCTCACTTTAGCACCTTGATCACAAGATTCGTCCATTGCCACTCCGGAGCTTTCCGGTAGGGCATCTTAATAGACCAACTTTCCACAATGCCTCACTGGTCATGCGAATGGGAGAGTTGTAAGAAACCAGCCGCGCAGAGAGCGGGGGATTGCTTGCTGTGTGATAGACACTTCTGTCGCACGCACCGCCGCGAGCCGTGGCACAAATGTCCAACACCAGAGGTCTATGATACACCTGCTTAAATATCAGCCATAATACAAATGCTCATGCTCATCTAATAGGGAAACTGGGAATCCTACTCTGCTCAATATGCAGCTACAGAGGCTCGTCATATAGACGAGCTATGCCTTCGAATAGATTGTTCTAAGTTATGTTTTCGTGCGTCGACTCTCAGAGAAGGCATCTCGTGTACAGTTGACTTGTCTCGCAAGAGCTTATCTGCCATGATGGGAAACCAGAACTGCCACGCCGAGATCACCTTCGATGATAATGTCAAGTGGCTCGCACGTTTTCGCCTCGTAAGAACCGCATCACCGCCGCGGGAAGTCCGTGATTGGATACTTCGAAGCGAAGCTGCCACTATGACTTACCTTCAGCGGTATACTTGCATTCCCACGCCTAAAATTTTTGATTGGGCATGCGAATCCGATCTAGGAAACCCACTTGGAGTTAACTATATTCTAATGGAAAAACTAGACGGAAAGTCTCTGGATTGGCAGGCGGCGACTCCCCAGCAGAAAGAGAAGGTTATGCAGCAGTTGGTTAACATTTCCCTTGAGATTGATAGACATCCTTTCGAAGCAATGGGATCACTTGTCTCCACGGCTGGAGATGTTATAAACCTTCAAGGTCTCGCACATCAATCGACGTTCCGGATAGGAAAGGGGCCACTCGGTCCATTCTCTTCCTCGCTCGAGGGCTCTCAGGCTATCCTGGAGTCCTACCTCGCAATGATAGCTAGCGGCGAGATTGACCCCTATTATCCACTAGACACTTACCTCGTCCATCGATTTCGCCAAGATATTGTTGGCGCTCTCTTTAAAGACGCCCCACTAAGCGACCAGTTCTTTCTCAAGCACCCGGACGATAAGGGTGACCATATTCTGGTTAATGACTGTTTTGATATTGTGGGTGTCATAGACTGGGAATGGACGCAAACTGTCTCCAAGGTGGAGGCCTTCTGTTCCCCGTGTATGATGTGGCCGGTGGCTGAGTTCTACAGCGGCTTTAATGAGCTAACCGCGGATGAATTGCGGCTAGCTGCCATCCTTCGCGAAAGGGGTCGTGAAGATCTTGCCATCTGTGTCGTTAAGGGCAGAAAGGCCCAGAGATTTTTCTTCGCTCTTGGGCTTGAGAGCTCCTTTCTAGATATACAGACATTTCCGCATATCTTCGCAGGACTCCGGCGGGCCTTCAACCTTGAAGACGAGGAGTGGGAGGCATGGAAGAGCAAGGCTCTCAAGAAATGGAAGGATGATGACTTACTCCTTGGCTTGTTGGAACTAGAACAAAATGAGGAAGGGGGCGGGGCGAGGTGAGAGGGCTTTAAGCAGAATAGATTTTGCAAATCCCATTCGGTATAGGAATACAACCTTTTTTTCGAACAGAAGCTGTGTCGCGCAATTCGTTTATTGTTTGATGAACTAGTTCAGTGGTGTAAGAATAGTCGTCAGATAGGCACCTGAAGCAATGAGATCAGTTGGGTGAATATTTATTGTTCTAGCCGTGGTATTTGTGACCGTGGTATTTGTGAGGTGGTCCCAATCTAATGTATACTATCCAGGGGTGTTTGATCCACCGTTGGCCGCAATACACCAATAGAAACAATCAGCAACAAGGATACTGCACATATTTCAATTGAGCGATACGTAAAGTACATGGCTAGGCAGTGTATGTATTGTCCGTCTTAGATACAATCGTCGAAATACATGATTCCAATGGCGATTGTCTTGTCTCTTAGCTGCTTGCTTGCCTGCCTTTAGGCTAAATCGAGTAGGGGGTTCAGACAGCCTTGCTCTTCTGACTGTCACTTGCGAAATCAGGAGCCCGAACCCGAGCTCGGTTGACGTCGAGTTCAATGACAGGTTTCTGCTAGGATCCAGCAGGCTTGTCTTTACTTGTGTCAGGAGGAAATTGAACACTCGGGGGCTGAAGTTATGCTCACGGGAGCAGATGGTCTACTGTTATACTTTAATTGAGATGGGTCACCGGGGCAGAATCACTGGAATCGGAGATGAAAGGTATTCCAATGTTGCTCATAGCGTTCAATTTGTCAAAGCTTCATGCAACACCCGATTGCCAGTACGCAAAGCCATCGATAATCGTCGGCATGGTTCCATTAGTGCTGATTACTAAGTTTCTGCATGGCAGAAACCGCATTGTCAAATACTGCCGTACGCCGGTGAGATAGTAGTTGGGTGGGTGACCACCGTTGAATGTTGATAGAAATCTGTGGTACGAACAATGTACGGTAAAAATGATAGATATTGAAGACTCTAACTAAAATGACAAAACCCGCTCTTTTCACAATCTGTGCGGACATAGATGACTAACTGTAATATGCACCCGTGGACCTTTGTATGGTATCCGAGGTACCAATTGTCATATGATATTCTGGGTAAATTACCCTGTCTCTGAGTATATAGTTTCGATCTTGTAGTTTATTCCTGAGCTATACTAAGCGACTGATGCTGCGGCGTCCTGTGGTTGCAAGTTCCACCTTGGCTCGCCTGTGCAGGCTGGACCGCATTATGTATATTTCAAAAAGCTATCTCGAACTTGGAAGACTTGAGGAGTTCGAAGGTAATCATGGATAATAATACATAAGTAAAAGCAAGCGTGGTACCAGAATGATATGATATGACTACCCACCACTCGTGTCTCCACGCATCATAGGGTCCCCAAACAGCGACAGCAGCTCGACATAAGGTATATGTTCTGACTGGGGACATTCCATAGCAGTTTCGAAGTCTAACATGGTCACGGCTCCTGTCTCCCTTTGATATAGAACGTTGTGCTTTCCAGCATCGGGCACGTGGATTGACAGAGACCGAAGAATGCGGATAGCCTTCTCACATTCCTCACGGACGTGGGTTCGCTCGCGGTTGCTAAGCTCGCTCCAGACATGGGCGAGCGTCTGTCCATCCTTGTAGGGGAGGACAAGCGCCCTTCCGTGAGGGAATAAACTTGAGCACATTATGTTCCCAGCAAGTATCATGTTCGCGAAGACACCGTAACCCCTAGGTCGTGAGTCTGACAGACGCTCATAGACAGCACATTCCGCATTCGACCTAGACGAATACACATGGTGAGATAAGGACCAGGATAATAGCAATCGGAAATGTACTTACGCCCGATCCTGTCTGGGACTCCAGCACTTCACGATATGGCGTGTCCCTTGGTGTTCAACCTCGAAGAGAGCCTTATCTGTCTGGCTAGGGGGTGAAATCCTCCGGGACACGTTTAAGATAGAAAGCGCTCCTCCCTGGTGGCTGAGAATGATTGTATTCGGGGTAACGTTCATGTTCAGCCCGGTCACTAGACTACCTTCAGTGGTATGGTCTCTGAGCCCAGAAGGGTGGAGAGAAGCCTGTAGACCATTTTGACCTCGAAGCTGACATTCATGTTAGCGGTAATTTGCTAACACCCTTTGAATATAACTTACTCGCTCTGCCCTGAAGTCTGAACACTCGATGTAGTCATGGCCCTGTTCAGCAAGGATACAGAACCCCGCAAAACACTGCCGAACAGACAAATTCGTATCCTGGTCTCGAACCGGTGGGGAGACACAGAAGGCGAAGTCAGCTGTCCGCTTGACGAATACTGTCCCCGGTATGTTGACAGAAAGCCGTAGCGCAACCCGAATTTCCTCATCTGCGCCACGAGTTGACCTATAAATATGTGAGTGATAGTAGTATGACGCTAGGATAAACTGCATATACCAAGATGGGGTAAATACTGCAGAAGAATCACGGGGTCGGACGGAGAAAATCGATCGAGCGCGACAGTCCAGTAGGTCTTGACTCCGCCGACTATCTTGACCTGTGCTTGGGAGTCGTTGCTGAAGAGAGTCACACCTATAGATATATATGGGATAACGTCCGATGTTGGAGCTTCAAAGGCTTGAATATCTCCCATCACCATTGCCGGCTGTGAGGCGTGCACAAGAATCTTGGCAACTGGCTCGCAGACATTGTTGACGAACCGACCAGATAAGCCGATTTCATTTCCGAACAGGTATACCTCGCCGCTAGGAGAGTCGATGTGGGCAATCTGGAAGTTAAGGTCCAGCGATGAGAGGGCTGATTGTATCTCCTGGTCGAATGTGGTCCACTGGTGGATAAACCTTTGGTCTAGCCACTCGGTGGAGACGGTGGAGACTGACGGGTGGCTCGTGCCACGGGCTTGTCGTATGAGGGGCAAAGGACTTGCAAGAACTTGACCGGCTGTCTGCATTTTGATCGATGATACATAGCCAGATTTGAATGAAGATTCGAGCGGGATGAGAAGAATCAGGTAAGAAGAAAGAGAAGAGTCGAGGGGAGGAAGAAGCAAGATCATACAATTAGCTTCCCACCACTAAACCTTTTCTGGTCGTTCATGGGTGCCTGGGGTGAAGAGGCTTGAGTGCCTTATAGTTCGGGCACGAACGCGGCTATCTCCGTCTGAGCGTGGATCGGTCTGGCTGAACGGCATTATTATAGTGGAGGATGGATTGTTCCTGGGGCTAGATGGATTTGACGGTGTATGAAGACCGGCATACCGGAGGATTCATTGATCCTACATGTTTTATAATTAATATTATGTGTCAGAAACTAAGGTCGAATATATGGTGGAGACAGGGTAATGTGCTCCTAGACTGCGACATCGCCCATGGACGGGCGGGTAGGCATTGCCCACGGGCCTTATATAAGCGGGAAATGGGCCCTATAGAGAGGCCTATAGACGGGCCCTACCCTTAGGGCCCACGGGCCTTAGGCGTCGTAGGCGCCTATAGGCCTTTTTAGTAAGCAGAATTTCTTAACCTCGTGACCTACATTATTTGTGCATTTTTTCTCTATATTTTTGAGTAATTCGATTATAGGTATAATGACTTAATACTACTATCAATTTTCTAACCTCGGTTAGAAAAATGAACTATAGAAGCCTTTATACAATAACTTAACACATTGTCACTTTTTTAACCGGGGTTAGAAATAAGCCTTAGAAGCCTTTACATAATAACTTAGGCATTTATTATAGTTATATATTCACACTAATACGATATAAATTAATTATTATTAGGTTTACTACGCTTCCTTACTTCTCTTAAACTAGGGCGCTTTTAAGTGCTACCCTTATCTCTATAATAAGGGAGATAAGGACTACTCTTATCTTCGCTATCGACTAGCTCACTTCTCTATCGCTTCCGCGTACTTAGCACTATAGAAGGACGAGGAAGCTAACTCTCTATTATTAACTCGTGCTCGATTAGTCTAATAGGATTATTATCCTCGGAATCCTCACTATCGCTAATTAGTTTAGGTATATTAGTGGTAAGCTTAGCCTCTCTCTATTCGTCTACTTCTTATATTAAATCTAAGGACGTATCCTTATCGGGTAGAATTGCTATTTACCTAGGCGCTACCGGAAACGGCTGCCCTCTAGCTAGGTTTCTCTTATAGCCTACTCGCCTATACGTGATCTACTAACTAAATTATTGGTTAGCTCTTAATAGCCTATCTATATACCCGGTAGGGCCCCGTTGATTAGTGACGGGTAGGTCTATAATATTATCTCCCCCTCTCCTAGGGTTTCGTCCTCGAAGCCATTTAAAGCTAACGACCGCCCCTTAGGTAAGTGATACTAGTTATTTTTTCTATTTTCTTATTTTTCGATATTATCCCCTCGCTATACCTATTTCTAACGAGGTGCGTAAGAAAAATAGATTGCGTTAATATAATACTATTCTTACCGTAGGTTTAATTATCGACACCCCTTATAAACACTATTCTAACAATTTTATCGACTATATTATAGACTCGAAGAGTTAGAATTATATAGAGTGCACTTATCGTAGGCGTAAGTGCGTAAAGCGTTTTTATAATAATCGTGAGTGGGAATCGCTCGAGCGCGATCGTAAAAAGGTAGCGTTAGAGTTAGAGTAAGCCTAAAAATAATAGCTTAAGTACTCTTAATAAATAAATTAAACGATATTAAAGATACTTCGCCTTTAGAAACAATAATAGTTTCTAAAGGATCGTGGTAGTTAGATATTAAATTATAACTCGGTGGTAATAGAGTAGTTAGATACTAAAGATCCTCTCGGAGCTAAGGACCTTGCTAAGCTAGATCGTCTCGCTAACGCACACGATACTCAGATTCTTACCGCCACGTTAGAGAATCCTACTCTAACTTAGATGTTTAGTCCCCTATCCCCTTTAGTCTTAGAGGGGGTGGATTTATCCTTCCTTATCGGCGATTCTTCCTTGACTTCCGCTATTTAGGAGTCTACTTCGCCTCTACGTAATAATCCTAGACTAGTTGGTAGTAGCCCCTTAGGTTCGCGATAGGTTCCTATATATTTTCTAAGGTAGGGTATCCTTTCCACTTTACTAAAAGTTGTTACTAATTATTATGCTATCTATCCGATAGGATTCGTTCGACCTTATATTTATCTTCGGTGTCCTCGAGTTCTATATTTATTATAAGTTCGGCGTTTTCTAGTACGGGTTCGAGTAACGAGATATAAAACACTATATAGAGTTTCTATATACTTTCCGGTAGCTTTAAGCGATAACTAACTAGTCCTAATTTTTCTTTAATTTTAAACGGTCCTAATCGTAGGTGGTCTAATTTATTGCTAGGTCGCTTAGTTTTGATATTGCGGCGTAATAGGTAAACCTTTTCCCCCTCTTTTAGGTTAGGTCCCTCTCTATAGTGGTTATCGTAGTATTTTTTTATACGTAGGTTAATAAAGTCAATATCTCTAGCTAGTTATATATATAACTTCTTTAGTCCGCTAGCTTTTAGCCTTACTAATTCTACTATAGTGGTTCTATTAAGTGGTTCTCCGTATACCACTAGGTTATACCCGTAATTCGTAAAGAATAGTATCTCGTTAGTTATTAAGTGTGCTATATTATTGTATACTAGCTATGCCGTTAGCAATAGTCCTACCTAGTCGTCTTACTAGTAGTTCACGTAGTGTCGTAGGTACTATTTTAATATCTAGTTTACTCTTTCTATCTATCTATTAGTTTATAGATAGTATACTATAGAGAGTCTAAGCTTAATACCTATTTAATCCGTAAATAACTACTATATATTCGATATAAACAACTTATCTCTATCTAATGTGATTTTACTTGGTATTCCGTGGTTCGCGACCATCTATCGTAGTATAATGTTTACTATTTATCCGGCATTAATAGTTTCGGTAGTCGGAATTATATAGGCGTATTTAGTGAGCCTATCGACTATAACTATGATTATATCGTGTCCTTCGGAGATTAGTAGCTTTATAATAAAGTCTATCGTAATCTATTCCTATAGCTTACTTAGTGTCTCCGATAACTATAATTCTCTATATAGTACGTGTCGTGCTAGTTTATTTTATTAGCACGTATCGTATACTCTAATATAGAATCGGACCTTTCGCTATATATTTAGAAAATAGTAATTTCGCGAAATGTGTTCGATCGTCTTTTCTACCCCTAGATATCTATATATAATATCGTCGTAGTGTCGTTTAATGACTTCGTTTCTTAGCTTAGCTAGAACATAGATTAATCTATATATATAGAATAGTCTAGTCTCGTCCTTAGTGAGCTTACCACCTTTCTCGACGAGTTAGTTGATTATGTCTTCTTCTATTACGTCTCTGATTTATTATAGGAAATCATCGTCCTTTAGTTCCACTATCGCGGCTAATAGCTGTTTATTGTACGAAATAGTGCTATCTAAGTTTTGTCTTAAGACTACTAGTTCCGCTACTTTAGTGCCTAGTTCGTAGTCTAGTTATCTACTTAACGCGTCTACTTAGCTATTTTCTATTCCCTTATAGTGTTCGATTCTAAAATTGTATTATACTAAGGTCTTAGCCTATCGCGCTTATTATCGTGTAAGAACTTTAGTTATTATAAAGAACGTAAGGTTCTTATGATCGGACTTAACTATCACTATATATTTTACTCCTTCTAGATATACTCTCTAGACTTAGAATACTAACACTATAGCTAGTAGTTCCTTATCGTATATATCGTAGTTAAGTTCTACTAGGATTATTTTTCTCGACTAAAACGCGACTAGTCGGTACTTCCTATCTATTCCTAGTTGCGTTAGTCTTACTCCTAGAGCGTAGTCTAAAGCGTCTATTTCTATAATAATTAGTTCGTCGTAGCTAAACGTAGCCATAATCGTTCCTTATCTAAAGAGCTACTTAAGTTATTAGAATAATACTTCTGCTACCTTATCCTATTCGAACTTTTAATCTTTCTTAGTGAGTCGATAGAGTCCTAACGCTACCTTAGCGTATCCGTCGATAATCTTTCGATAGTAATTAGCGAGACTAAGAAACTATTATACTTCTTTTATTGTCTTAGGTATTAGCTATTCTATAATACTCTTAACCTTATCTTCCTCTATCCCGAGTCTATCCGGGCTAATATAATATCCTAGGAACGTGGTTTCCTAGACGTGGAATTCGTATTTCTTAAGTTTAAGGGTGACTTCTACTTCTCTTAATTTCTATAGTACGAGCTTATTATATTTAATATATTCTTCGAGTGTTTTCGAGAAAACTAGGATATCGTCTAGATAGGCGATAACGAAGATGTCTAAGTATTCCTTAATCGCTTTAAAGATAAAGCGTTAGAATATTGCTAGTGCGTTAGTAAGGCCGAAAGGTATAACCTTATATTCGTAGTGTCCGAACTTAGTTCTAAATACCGTTTTCTACTTATAGCCTAGCTTAATCCTAATGCGATAGTACGTATTAGTAATGTTATACTTCGAAAAGTACTTCGCTCCTCCGATCCTATCCTATATTTCGTGAATCAAAGGTAGTGGGTGCCGATCTTTAATAGTAATCGAATTTAGATATCGATAGTCTACGCAAAGCCTAAGGTTCCTATCCTTCTTTAGTACGAAGATAATTGGGTATCCGGCTAATGATTTCGAGGCTCGGATATAACCTTTCTATAGGTTCTCGTCGATATATTCTTTAAGTGTTTCCGACTCCTTCTAAGATAACTAATAGATAGGTTTAAAAGTAGGTTTAGTACCTTCTATCGTGTTAATCTTATAGTTAAAGGGTCTATGCTTAGGTAATACTCTATCGGCCGGTGCCGTAAATATATCCTAGAACTCTAGGTATTTATCCGGAATCCTAGGTTTATCGCTGACTACGTATAGCTTTTCTTATTTAATTATTACGTATTCCGCTAGTTCTTAGTCGGATATATCTAGTGATTGTTCTATCGTGTCCGGGGCCGCGCCTATAACCGATACCCTAGTCCGCTTACTCCTAGACTAGTGGTTACTACCTCGATTTCCTAGAGCAGACTTCTTCCGACGTATCTTATACTCGTCGTACTATTCTATACACCTATACCTATCGAAGGTGATTTATCCCGATTACTAATCGATGTTCGGGTTATACTTCCTAAGCTATAGAACGCCTAAGACGATATCGTAGTCTCCCGTTTTTAGGATATTAAATTTTATTAATTCTAGATATCCGTAGATAGATATTAGTAGGGTGATAGTTTCCTTACTAACTCCTCCGGAGAGTACTTCTCTATCGAGTCCTGTAACTAGAATTACGTGTGGTAGTGGTTTAGTGGTAACCTATCGGGTTTCCTAGAATCCTAGGTTTATGAAATTGTTAGTGGCTCCCGAGTCGATAAGAGTCTATGCTTTACCTATCGGTAGGATTATATATAACTTAATATAGGTCCCTAATAGTGTTACTACTAGATATATTATCGGTCGATCCTAGTGATCGTATATCTAGCGTCCGTTGTACTAAATTCCCTGATATTCTTACTTCTATTGTGGCTTCTTTATCCACCGTAGTGGTCTTAGCTCGATGCCTAAATCTAACTTACCGGACCCGTGGGTGGTATATATCTTATTATAGTATATAACACTAGCTATCTTACCGTGTCCCGGGTATCGTGCGTATCCTTTGCACGCGTAAGTGGAATCTTCGTAGGGGCATCCTACTAGGTCGTCGCCTTCCTTAATAGCGTTAATAAGGTGCTAGTCTAGTCTACTAGGCTATATCTTTCCTTCGAGGTGCCCTATAAGCTTATTATTAGCTTCTTTATCCTTTTAATAGTATATTAGACTTCCTTATAGTGTCTCGGGGATCACTTAGTCCTCTCCTAGGAACGTACGTATTATTCCTAGACCACTAGTGGTTCCGGGGAACGTAGTTAGTGTTCCTAGGAGCCCCACTTCCTATTCCTAGGAATCGCTAGACTATTCCGAGGAGTAGTTTAGCTCCTAGGAAATATACTAGGTCTATCCTTAACTTTCTATATTATCCTAATCGATTTCTAGGTAATCGCTATACGGCTCGTCGGCTAACCCTTTAATATATAGGTTGCCCGCTATTATCTCTTCTAGGCTTAGGTTTTCCTATCTTACTAAGAGATCTTCTAAGGACTCCGTCCTTAGGTGATTTCTTCTAGATTCTCGAGTCGTACGTAACTCTTTACGTGTTACTTATATATACTACCGTTTCTCGTACGGTTTCTTCTACTTATATTCGAATACGCGGTGTCCTAGTTTTCCGTATATAAAGTAGAGATTCTTCTATCGACGCTCTTTTTACTCGTCCTAAGTGGCGTCTAACTCTATTAGCTTCGGGCTATATAGATTAGGGTCGCGTGGTACCCTATCGCGGCGCCTATAACCGAATCGGTTAAATCTATAACTCTTGCCCTTTTTCCACTAGTCTATTTCTCGGCGTTTATACCGTCGCTCGTTAATATAGTTATCGATCTTAACTACGATCGCGATAAGTTAGTCTAGGGTTTCTAGCCTATCGATTTGTGCTAGCTTATCCTTAATATCTAGCTTAAGTCCTACCTCGAAGTACGGAATATACGCCCGGTCGGGTAGGTCTAGATAGGATATAATTTGTTAAAACTCGGAGGCGTAGACTAACGCGCTAGTCTATTATCTGATTTTCTATAGCTTACGTTTAGCCGTTCTAGTTACGTCGATATCTCCGAATATTCGTTCTAGGTATTATCGGAAACTACTATAGCTATTAAAGATATCGGTGGTCGTGCTTAACTAATCTTCCGGTGCTTTCTCGTAGTAGTCCCTAATATATGGTTCGAGCTAGTTCTATACTTATCCGCGTAGGTAGGTTAATATAAAAATCACCCTACTTACTTCGGATAGAAGCTTGACTTTGTTTATATTAATATGTATATCTATCTAAGTGAGGAATCCGCGAAGCTTGGTTCGGTTTCCCTCGAAGTACTTAGCCTTAGGTAGCGTCGGCCCTTAGATAGCACTAGCTAGTGCGGAAGTAGTGACTTAGGTATATATCTATACTAGGTAGTCTTCTACCTAAGCGTTATACTTCTTCTACTCCGCTAGTTACTTTAGTAAAGCTTTAACCTATTGTTAAAGTTCCTAGGTTTTCGCTTCTTAGGCGTCTTCCTAATTATCCTACTCCCGTCTAGTCGGTGCTTTAACCACGGGTGTCTTACCGGATGATATATTGATTTATAACTTAAAACTTGATTTAAGACGGTCTTTAATATATTACGCACTACTAACTAGTCATAGTTAGGTTAGATAGGTCCTAGGTATACTTACCTTAATACTCCTTAGGTATCTAACGTTAACGGTCTATCGTAACTAAGCTATTACCTATTAGGTCTTACGCTAGCCTAAGTCCTATTAAGAGATCGGGGAACGATGCTAGTGAGAGCGCCGAGTAGATCTATACCGTAGTATTAGTCTACTCGTGAGTGTTATCGAGTTATAATTAAGTAAGAAAGTTATAGTAGTTCTAAAGGTAAATATAAGTAATAATATAGGATTAAAGACGAAGAACTAAACTAAGTATATAAACGAGTGTCCTTATATATCCTTCGTTCCCTACTCCCTTAGTGACTCCCTAGGAGTCGCCGTTAGAGTCACTAGTGACTCCCTCTATATACTCCCTAGGAGTAGATTCGGGGGTCACGGTCACGTGATCAGACGGTCTAGGTATTCGTAGTTATTATCGAGTAGAATTGCTATTTACCTAGGCGCTACCGGAAACGGCTGCCCTCTAGCTAGGTTTCTCTTGTGGCCTACTCGCCTACACGTGATCTACTGACTAAATTATTGGTTGGCTCTTGATGGCCTATCTATGTGCCCGGTGGGGCCCCGTTGATTGGTGACGGGTAGGTCCGTAACAATATCCCGTACTAAGTTAAAAAGACGTTTAACTCCAGCGCCTATTATAGGAATAGAGAGAATATCGCGAGTGTGAGTAATTTAGCAGATAGAATATTATAGCCTAATAGTAGGTTATAATATTTTATAGAGGAAGTAATATCTTATATAATATGATTATATAAGATATAGCATTGAAGGTTATACTTATCCTAAATAGGAGATAAAGATATATGTATATGGATGAGAATATATTAAGAAGTATATTATTATTCTATTAGAGAGTAGACTGTCACCCTTTTTATAGACATTTTAGGAGGCAAATATAAGATAATATAAGATATCATATTATCTCACGATTTATGGCGATTTAGAAGTGAATCATTCTTGGTATAATAGTATATTATAGTAGAGTATAATGGTGTGAAGGATATCATATATAAATTACTGGTAACTATTACTATATCTAAGGATATACTAATAGTGGTAAACTATATTATGATTCACTTCTAAATCGCCATAAATCGTGAGATAATATGATATCTTATATTATCTTATATTTGCCTCCTAAAATGTCTATAAAAAGGGTGACAGTCTACTCTCTAATAGAATAATAATATACTTCTTAATATATTCTCATCCATATACATATATCTTTATTAGAGTGCGCCAAAAACCGCAATTGGGGGCAAGGTTTGCCCCCAAAAACCAAACCGCAGTGGTTGCGGTTTCCAACCACCCAAACCGCAACCAAACCACAAACCACTGCGGTTCCCCAATGGGGCCCCAACAAAAACCATTTTTGTATAAAATTGAGGTCTTGGCATACATAAACTGGGTGACTCATGCTAATATATTACTGTTATTTAACCTTGTATTGGTCACAACTATACTTTATATCCGCGTGGGCGGTAGCATTTGTTTCTAACCTCGGTCAGAAATATACTACGTGGGTAGAGCCTAAGCCTTAACTAGTACTAGTATCAGCCTATTATATGGATAATAAAAAGGAGAAATTGTTGGGTCTTAGATGTTCTTCTATATTTTATCGCGGAAATATATATTCAATATAACAGTTTAATATATATCTTTCCCTGATCACTACAGTTTCCCTACAACTTTTTAAATAAAGGTATTATAATATTATAACTTATATTAATCAATTACGAATTATCCTTTTTATAAATATTATCCTATTTCAATAATAACTCCTTAGTTTATAGACTGTAAAATTAGTTTAAAGTCACTTAGTTATTTAGTTGAGACTTTGATATAGCTGCTGCCTTAGGCTCAATTTTCGAGGTAGCTTTCGGCGGAAAAATGATTTAAAGTTTCTTGCGGTTTCTTGCGGTTTTTTAATGGTTTCTTACGGTTTTTATTGGTTTTTTGCGGTTTCTTGATGGTTTCTTGCGGTTTTGACCCATATAGTAAGCTACTGTTATCCAATTAGCGGCTTAGTATACTAATTAAATCGCGATATATCCACTTATTTAGGAATCCTTTGTTGTCCTGTCAGTCGCGTCTATATAGTTAGTTAGAATCTGTATAATTTATGTAAGTCTGACCCTTCCCTCTTAGTATTTACCATTAGTAGTTGTGTTTTCATACTCATCATGTCTCAAACCCAGCAATCTGCCTTCTCCTCATCGATCTACGATAGTGATTTCGACAATTATACTCACAATCATCCTTTTATATCTGATCTATCTGAGAGTCAGGAAACATTACCTTTATTCGAAACGGACTTCCTCCGACCGTCCCTACCTCCATCAATCCCTTCAACATTCACACGTGTTGGCCCTGGTCGTAAGAAGGTCTATTTTCTCTATGACGAAATGCTCCATAACGACTGGGTAAGTTGGTGGCTAGAGACAGGCTTCGGTAAGAAACAACATATATCCTGGGACGCGAAACATCAGTCTAGTACCTGGGACACATTTCACCAGGTCGCCCATAGCTCTGATGGTACTGCAAAGGTTATGTGCAAGCGCTGTGGACAGATTCTTGAGCACCCAAACTTTGTCCGTGAGACAAAAGATGGGAAGAAACAGCGTCAAGGAACCTCAACTATGAAAGGCCACCTTTCTAGCGCAGGGTGTATAAAAGCTACCCAAGGTCAAGGGACAGATATCACTCGATTTTTACAGCTCAAGGTATGTTTCTCGTCTATTATTATAATTAGTTCTAGTCTAATTCCTAGACTATAACTAGAATACGCCGATCGCCAATGAATTCAGTCAAGAGATATGGGAACAAGAGCTTCTTACATTTCTTACGGTCGCGCGTCTTCCCTTTCGGCTGATCGAGCATCCTAAGTTTCATCGCTTAATCCAGATAGCCCAATCTGCACCGAGGGTCCCGGATATCCCTTCAGCAAAGACTATACGACGCCGGCTACAATCCTCCGTACAACAACAACAGGAAAGAATTCTAAGAATGCTCCCAGAAGATACAAAAATATCAATTGCTCTTGATTGCTGGACCTCGCCTTTCACATAGGCATTTATGGCTATAACTGGCTATTTTATCGATAAGGACTGGCAATACCGTGAGGTTCTTCTCGGCTTTGAACCCCTTTACGGATCACACTCTGGTGTGAACCTAAGTTCTGTACTCCTCGATATACTTTTGCGACATAAGATCGAAGATCGGGTCTTCGCAATCACGACTGACAATGCATCAAATAACCAGACATTGGTTGATACACTACAACAAGCAATATCAGAAGACACTACCCTTATTAGGGTCCCTTGTCTTGCCCATGTGATTTAGCTGAGCCTTAATGAGCTTCTTGGGTATATTAAGGCTTGCCCGCTCAATGAATCAACGGAGACACGGTGGACAGAGCAGCGATCCCAGTCAGCGCGTATGAATGCAACTAAGCAAAATATTGCCAATACACTATCGAAGGTATATATTTATACAATCTAGAGTTTTTATATTATACTAACTACGATATCTAGATTCGAAACCTTGCGATCTATGTGAATGCAAGTCCCCAACGACGGGAAACCTTCTACAATCTACAAGGCGAAACAACAAAGCTTATGCCTCTTCAAGACGTTAAGACACGCTGGAATTCTACGTTTCTAATGCTTCGACGTGCAAAACGCTTACGATCGTTTTTCCAGCCATTTTGTGATGAGTATAAGCGGCCTGATATAGTACTCGAGGACGAAGAATGGCGCCAGGTTGACTACCTTCTCTTCATTACCCAGCCCTTCTTTGATTTCACAGTTGAACTTTCAAAAACCCGGGATGCCACTACACATCATGTATTTCTGATTTATAACAAGCTGTTTGAGCACCTAGAGCTATCAATCACCCAGCTTACGCGGAAGAAGACTACCTGGAAGCGACAGATGCTTCAGGCGTTACAAGCTGCGCGAAAGAAGCTTGATGAGTACTACTCTGAGACAGATAACGTACGAGGGCATCTTTATGCAATCACTACAATGCTAGCTCCAGCGAACAAATTCTAGTTCTTCCAAACAGATGATTGGGATGATCGTTGGCGTACGATATACAGAAAGTCTCTTGAAGAGCATTTGGCTGTTTATAAAGAACGTCTTGCCCAGCAACCGACGTCTCCTCTATCTCTTTCGTTAGGGGGAGGAATATCGCGCCTAGACTCGATGGTAAAGCCAAAGCGTCCCCGCTCTGCTGTAGCAGGCGATGAGCTTTCGCAATATCTTGATAGTGGTATGTATCCTTAATTACTTTGCTTTATATGATATTAATTATCCCACAAGCTACTATAGATATAGCGCCTTTAGTGTTTTAGAGGGAGAATGCCTATCGTTTCCTAACTCTTGCAGCCCTTGCACGAGATATGCTTTCAGTCCCTGCGACTGGTGCTGGTGTTGAACGACTTTTTAATACTGCCCGAGATATCTGTCACTATCGCCGTGGAAGATTAAGTGCAACAACTATCCAGGAGTTAATGATGTTTCTTTGTACTTCAAAATTCGAGATCGAGGAGGAACAGGCAGTATTCCTACAGGAATTCTTTACTCGCGACGAGATCGAAGCGGCAAAGGAGGAGAAGGAAATCACAACTAATACAGTGAACGTCGATCCGATTAGTGATACTGAGGAAGAGCAAACCCAGGAAGAGGAAGAGGTGCAAGGTAGGGAGGATATACAGGTTATGATCGATCATGATACTGACCCTCCCCTTCCTTCTAATAAAGATAAAAGCACTCAGATACGTGCTTCTGTAAGAGCTCGGAAACGGATCAGACATGACGAGGATCTATACCAGTATTATTAGCGATCAACAGGATAGCGAATTCAATCATTACACTAATTTCTGACCGCGGTCAAAAAGCTAGTACTATAATAAGAGAACCCTATATTTCTGACCGCGGTCAGAAATCAAGTGCCTAAGCCTAAAGCACTTATTTCACATATATCATATCTTCGAAGTCAAATACCCTAAGAAACAGAGAAAACCCGCATAAATTATACACTGACAAGGACCCACCCAGTTTGCATTGTTTGCCAAACCATTGGGGCCCCAAGAACCATTGCGGTTTGGGCCTCGAAAACCAAAAACCGCAATGGTTTCTGAAACTGGCCCCAAAAACCAAACCATTTGCGGTTTGGGGCGGTTTGGTTTTGCGGTTTTGCGGTTTTTGGCGCACTCTAATCTTTATCTCCTATTTAGGATAAGTATAACCTTCAATGCTATATCTTATATAATCATATTATATAAGATATTACTTCCTCTATAAAATATTATAACCTACTATTAGGCTATAATATTCTATCTGCTAAATTACTCACAACGACTAAAACGACGCCGAAAATGGCTCCCTTTTAGCTGAATTTAAGTCCCCTCTATTTTCGCCCGGTCTATTCAAGCGCCTATAAGATACTTCGCCTTCCCTCCTCTCCGGTGTCTTTATACCTCCTATCCTCCTATCCTTGTTACCTACGCTTTAAGACGACCTCGACTTTATCGTTTCCTATAACACGAATTTTCCACCCTAGTCTTTAGGCCTTCACAAGTCCCGCCGCACCAAGGTAATTTTGGTGCTGCGATATGGTGCTACGAGGTGCTAGACTGCGACATCGCCCGTCCATGGGCCCCTAGGAGGGGCCTAAGGCCCATCCACGGTAGGCCTTGGGCCTTTTGACTCTTGGGGGGCCCGTCCAAAAGGCCTAAGGCCTATAGGCCCGCCCATGATAGGCATTACCTAAGTGCCTATACATGTATAAAGTCACCTAAAATGGACGTATAATCTACTAATATAGCAGAATAAATTACTATTTTTTATATGCGTTTTGCCAACTTGATAGAAAATGTCATTATTAGTACATAAAATATTTGAATCTAATTAAAATATTTTGATATTTAATAAATGGCTATCCTAAATATCCGAGAAAGATAAAAAAAACCTTTTAATACTACAGAGGACTAGCGTCTGAATTTTTTTTCATTTCTTTCAAACAACATCACTTTCTGACATCCCGAGGGGTAAAATGGCTGCTGAAGGTAATAACCAACAAACCGTCTCGTGGTATACCCAGCTAACATGCTAAAAGACGAAGAACGAATTGCGCCTTTGTCAGCAGAGTCTCTCCAGAAAGTCAAAGCGTGGCTGAGCCCCACAGACTCAGATACTCCAGCCAGCGAGTATAAAAAGCATCTCAACTCTCATGCCGCGGGAACCGGCGAATGGATATTGGAAACAGACCAATACTGCCAATGGAGTCAACCCAAAGTTGGAAATCTCTGGATCCGAGGCATTCCTGGCTGTGGAAAGTCAGTCGTTGCGGCGAGCTTCATCAGTCGCTTTCGACGGATAAAAGATGGTCCTGTTTTGTTTTTCTTCTTTCGCGAGATCATCCAGGCAAATCGATCCCCTCGGTCGCTGATGCAGGATTTTTGTCATGAGATGCTGGAGTATTCCCCTTGGCTCCAGTCACAGCTGAGTCAATTACAGACGCAGCACTCATCCGTTGAATCGGTGCCATATGAGAAATTGTGGAAATGCATGGCGACCGCTATGGGATCCATCGGAAAGGTCCACTGTGTGGTTGATGCACTGGATGAAATGGAACAAGGGAATGATCAATTCTTCCAAGATCTTCTCGATCTAGGCCGCCCATCTTCCGGTTCAATCAAATTGATTCTTACCAGTCGCCAGGTTCCACATGTGGAGAAGCATTTGAAGGGTACCTCTTTGGTTGATCTACGTCTCGATCGTCGCAATGTGGATCGCGATATTGCTGTTTACATCACACAGCGATTGAGAGATGCCCATCTAGATCTTCCCCAAGAGAAGATCCAGGAAGTTAAACAAGCAATTTGCGATAGGGGACAAGGCCTGTTTCTCTATTCCAGACTCATGTTGGACCAGCTGTTACTGCACCCGGAGTCCATGTTAGTCAACATCAAGACCCTCCCAGACGGTCTTGGGGACATGTATACAGAGCTTCTTCGTGACCACGCCGCTCGCTCGGGAACCTCGACTGCATTCCAACAGTTTATTCTCCAATGGATCACCCATTCTGCCCGGCCGATGCGCCTCCTTGAATTAGCTGTCATGGTTGATTCTCTTCTCGACCGTGGTGGACTCAGCGAAGACCAAGACGCAAAACTTGCTATTCGAACAACATGTGGCCCTCTTTTAGAGATTTGTGAAGATGGGGTAATTCAAATTATCCACCATTCACTGACTGAATTCGTTCTCGATCGAGATGTGACCCATACGCAAATGTCCAACAACGAGCGCGAATTTTCTGGATTCCATGCTCCTACAGTACACGGAATGATAACCAGGATATGCATCAACTATCTTTCCAATGGTTGTCTAGATGAGTTTGACACCAAGCCGAAGCGGCCCAGTGAAGACGATGAGTGGTCCAATAGAGAATTCGCACTGCGGTTCTACTTCCTCCGCTATGCAGTTGTGGAATGGCCCCTTCATGCATCCAAAGCAGTCGAATTCGATGGTGAGCTGCTACCTTTCCTCGACGAGTTCTGCACAGATGGAACTCACAGCTACGAGGCTTGGAAGGTATTGTGGCCATTCTTTGACCGCCATGTACCTAAGAGAGGAACATCCCTACACAATGCTGCATATTGTGGAATTCCTGCCTTCGTCAGATACCTCATCCGCAAAGGAGTGAGTCCTGACTCCGTTGACTTCAATAATACTGCGCCAATTGAGTCTGCTGTGGAGAGAAATCACGCTCAGGTCATCACTTTACTGCTGGAGCATGGGGCAAAACCTGACATGGGTCGTCAGAAAGACCTGGTGCTTTATGCAACCAAGTTGAATCACCCCAAGTCCTTGCGCGCACTGATAGATGGAGGAGTTGAACTCAAGACTATTCCTCTGGGTCCACATAGATCGATGGAGAGATTTGAATCTGACATCCTGGGTAACTACGTGAGCTATGAGGGATCACGTAAATTGACCACGCCGTTTGAATTTGCATGCTACGATGGACATGTGGAAGCCGCCCAGGAGCTGATGAATCATCACGATTCATCATACCTGTGCGATGGCTTCCTTCATCTTGCCTCTAGGGCTGGGAAATCACAAGTGGTGGCTGTTTTGCTGGAAAATGAGGAAATTAGGCTAACGATCAACCGCCGCGACCTCAATGGAAATACGCCTTTATATCTAGCCGCTATGCAACGGGACTATGAAACAGTCAAACCTTTTTTGGAGCACGGAGCAGATATCAACTTGAGGTCCATGAATCTCAAGTACCCCCGCGAGCCGCCATATAACTTGGAAAAGGATGATCAAGACAAAGTATGGCCAAGCTACTCCCCTTTACACGGGCTAGCCACTGGAAACCTCCCTCATGTCTGGAATGGGCCTCAAAGGTCTACGTGGATTGAGACACTGGACCTGCTCTTGAGTTCAGGCTGTGACATTGACGCAACAGATCATCGAGGGCGCACACCTCTCTTTTACTGGCCGGAGTTTCCCACTTCAAATCACGGCTCAGAGTCCCTCGATTTTGTCACCACTCTTCTCTATCGTGGCGCAAATGCTGCTTTGCTTGACTCTCAAGGATATTCGCCACTCTACTCCACCCAACTTACTTCAAAGATAGCAGAGGCTCTAGTGAAAGGCGGGGCTGATATCAACTCTGCGAGGAACTCAGATGGTATGACACCCCTCATGTTCATGGCTCCGTGTTTAGATCGCATCGAGCTCTCTCTGTGGCACGATATGAAAGCGGATTTCTCACAAAACAGTCACAACGGAAACACAGCTTTTCATTACAGCTTTCGTTCACGAATCTCTAATGCAAACAAGAAGGATATAACCCCATGGATCAAGACTTGGTGTTCCTTTGGAGACTTGCATGCTCGGAACAATGCTGGTAGAACACCCCTCCTTGAATTCTTGTTTCGACAAGGCAACGAATTTGCTCGACAGTCGCACAGTATTGAGATTCTTCAAGAGTTTGTCAAAAATGGAGCAATGTTGGAAGATCGAGACCTTTTGGGGCGAACGGCTCTTCTTACTACATTGAACCACCAAGGTTTCTTTTGTTTTTCTCTCGTCGATGAGATCTTGCGTTTGGGTGGCGATGCGAAAGCCGTGGATAATGAAGGGGGAACAGGTGAGCAAATCAGCAATCAATATGCTTGCAACATCAGTATTAAACAGACGTTAGCATTGCATTACGCCTTCAAGGCAGACCGTGATTCCTTCAGGATGCATCCTGAAAGCTCTTGGTCTTTCATCCAAAAATTGATCGAATCTGGCGCGAGCATTCATGCAACTAATCATGTGGGAAACACCATTCTTCACGAGCTTGTTGGTGTGAGTAACTGCTTTGAAGCGTGGAAAGCGCTAGAGCCCCGCGCCAAGGGACTCGCTGATCTCGGGCTCTCTTATCATTCGACAAATTGCGAAGGTCAAACTGTATTGCATCTGGCAGCCAGCAACAAAGTGGGAGAACTCAAGAAGAAGGAAGAGAGAGGCCAGGTGCTGGACTTTCTCCTTGAGTCTTCCAAGGGGCTCGATATCAACGCTCGCGATAATGACGGACGCACGCCTTTGCATTTTGCATCTTCTGGATCAGATATCTACGCCTTCATCTTGATTCAAAATGGCGCTAATATTCGAGCTGAGGATTACAAGAAGCGCACACCTCTGCACCTCGCCGCTGAAGCAGGGCAAAGCAACATCGTGGGTCTGATTCTTGAGAGCTATAAGAAGAGCCAATGGTCAGTGAACGAGTTGTGCTCTAGCGGGCGATCCCCATTGCACGAGGCCTGTCGAGCGGGCTGTCAGGAATCCGTTCAATTCTTGCTTGATGCTGGCGCAGACCCTCAAATCCAGAATGAAGACGGCCAAACACCCCTGCATGCAACTGCGGAGTTTCTGTGTAAAAAGACTGCCAACGCAAAGCAAGACGAGTCCGTTTCAATCGTTTCTAACGATTGGGACGCGGTTTCCCAACCGCAACTTCCTGACCAGACTTTCAGGGACATACGTCAAGTTGTTGCCCTACTTATTTCTGCTGGGGGAGACCCATCGACGATAGACAGCAACGGTCACACGGTGTCAGATGTGGCTGCCACTCTGGGGTGTTTTCCTGTCTTCGAAGAACTGCAAACTATGGCTCAGTGCGACAGCAAACTCTCAACTACGCCATATCACTCTCCGTTGGCCTTCATCCGCAAGCAGGCTCTTACAACCCGAACAACTGAGGCCTGGACCCTTTTGTTGAAAAAGATTGTGTCAACAGGCGACGCACGCCTAGTTGAAGATATTTTGCGTACCAATAATCTCAAGATTTCGGGACCCGATGGGGAGTCCTTGATGTCTCACATTGCAAGTTGGGGCCTGGCATCCATGATGGGCCGCATGATTCCTTATGTGGAAGACCTTGCTTGCATGGGAAGTCGGCTTTTGGAATCTGCGACTCGCCAGCGATCTTGCAACACTCAGATGGTGAAGGTCCTTGTCAACGAACTGGCCGCCGTTGAAGATGAATCAATTTTTGCCGCATCAGTGAACCATTTAGCACAGCACGAGGCATGGTGGTACCCTCGAGCACTTTCAATCCTCCTGGGTGCGGGTGCTGACCCCAACCTTGGAGTTCATTCACCTCCCCTGTATATCTGCCTCAACTTTGGAACATCCAAAGACAGCCGCCGAAGGTCTGAGAAGTGGAATATTTGGGGCGCTCAGGTACTCGAAATTCTTCTACAAAACGGGGCTGATCCTAATGAATTGAAAATTGCCTTGGAGGCCAAAAGAGACGTCAACATTCTGAAAATGCTTGTTGACCACGGAGCTGATCTATCGAGAGGTACAGATCTACTTTCTGTCACGCTGTGTCCCAATGGCACCGACCCGGAAGCTCTTGAGTTCCTTCTGGAGTCGGGTGTCGACCCGAATGGCACAGATTCAACTCGGCCCCTATTTTTGGCTGCCGGCCAGTACAAATGCCAAAGGAGTGTTGAAATTCTCGTGAAACATGGTTCTGATCCACATGCTTCAATGAAGAATGGGCAGTCTTCTGTGTTGCATGAGGTTTGTGAAAAGGGTGGAGTTGTGGGGCCCATGTTAGCAATGGGGATTGATATCAACACTCTTGACGCTCAAGGCAGAACACCTCTCATAAGAGCTTGTATGTGCAGAGAGGATTGGCGCACCAAGGTTGCAGAGTTGCTTCAGGCAGGCGCTCGTCCGGATCTCGTTGACGATGCGAACTCAACTGCATTGCATCATGCTGCCCATGTTGGGAATGAGAGAGCCGTGAAAGAACTTTTGAATCATGGCGTCGATATCTCGCCACGAAACTCTGCCGGCGGGACACCCTTATGCAATGTATTGGAAGAGCTTGCAAAGTGGTGCGGAGTGAGCTCTCCTAAGTACTTCGCAATAATCAAGGCCCTGCTGGATGCTGGCGCAAACCCCCTCGATGTGCATCCAAATGGCCGAGGAGCACTTCACTTCCTAGCCGTGCCCCTCATGAATGCCAGCAATGAGGATCGAGAGGAGGAGATCCATCAGTATTATGGAAAAGATTATTTCAGCCTAACTTCTGGGCTTTATCAACAATTCTTGGAGGCTGGGTGTGACCCTGAACTGCGGGACAATAAGGGCAGAACACCAATCTTCTACTTTGTCGACGCCAACAAATATCAATTTGGGGATTTCATCGACCGCGGGCCCTCCCCCTTTAACCCCGAGGACTGTCAAAAGATGTTTGCCGAGCACGACATCCACAAGATTGATTACAATGGGGAAACTCTTCTCCATGCCATTGCACGTCGAGATGATGGTGAGTGTGATGAATGGGACCATATTGAGAAGCTCTTTTCCATGTTGGTGGAATTGGGGCTTGATCCGTGGAAAGAGAACAATGAGGGACACACGCCACTGGATTTCTCAGCAGTCCATGACAGATCAGAAATTTTGGCCCTCTTTGCAAGAGAAGATTAGTCGTTGAAAACAACTAGCATGTGGCCACACCTCTTAGCCTATTCCTACACTACGCCGAAGAACCTTGGAAATGACCCTTTTGATACCTCTATCTTGTTTCCACAGAACTCTGTCTTATAATTCAGCGTAAAATAGTACTTTTGTGTTTGGTACTGCACCCGTCGATAGTGCTGTATCCACCGAAGACACCGCATGTACCGCGTTAGAAGCACTGATGACAGGTACTGACAGAACTGGCTAGGTTTGAACTCTCAAAAATCCTAAAAAAAGCCTGAATTTTATACAAAATGCTATGTTCGTTACTTTACACAAAAAAGGACTGAGCATGAACATGACCACTGGCAAGAGTGAATCTTGTGCCTGAAATGTAAGGCACCTTTCTGCTTTTCTCAGCCGGCCTGGCTAATCGGGGCTAGCGTGCACGGGCCTTCTCTCCACATTTCAATCTCTCGGCTGTGCGCTAGCCCGCATTAGGCACATAGTTTCTCTCCCGACCTACTGAATGATACTTCGCCTATAAGCCAATTTCTATTGGTAGGGTTAAACAGAGTCTACGTGGTTTTCTGAGCCATGTATTTCTCAGTTTCTCATCCGGGCTGACATTTTGGGGATGGTCTCTGCACGGTGTCATTTTTACTTGACCTATAAGTGTAGAAAGGTTTCCTTGATTCACATTTCCGGCCCTGAACAATTCTCAACTTCTTTGAAAGATATTTCACAATCGTCTCTCCCCCATAATGTCAGAGTCAAAAGTTACTCTTACCCGGCTTGATGCCAAGGATCCATCCACCACTCCAGGAAAAGCAATTGATATCATGCAACGTGATGGTGGTGTCATCATCGAAGGATTGATAACCAGTAGCTTGGCAAGACAGATTCAAACAGACTTGAAACCTCACTTTGACGGTGACATCCCTGATAAGTCAGGGTTCTTTCCGTTAACCACACACCGAGCAACTGGTTTAATGGGCATTTCGAAATCTTGTAGGGAGCTTGCATGCAGCCCACTGTACATCGCCATTGCAAATTCCCTTGTTTCTTCCAGTCATACATTTTGGAGAGGTGACCTCCAAGAGACTGTGAGTGGGAAGCCAATCATATCTTCCACGGTTGGGTTTCGCGTGAACCCTGGCGGCCGACAGCAAGTTCTGCATCGTGACGACAAGTATGCATACCACCGAACTTGTGTTGAGACACCCAACTGACATGGATCACTAGCGACTGCCATCCTTAGCCGGGAGATGCCCCGACGATGATCGGTTGTGTCACAGCCTTGACCAAGACAACCAAGGAAAACGGTGCAACTATCACAATTCCCGATTCTCATCTGTGGGGGCCAGATCGACAGCCTTTGGATAGTGAGGCTGTTCATGCGGAGCTTGAACCTGGTGATACTTTCATCTTCTTGGGCAACACCTATCATGCTGGGGGCTCCAACATCACTCAGTAAGTCAACCTGAAAGACCTTTCCGTCTTCTACCATTAGCCGAGACCAGTGATCGCAATGTTGCAATTTTGCTGATACAAATATTCCCGCTTTTCACAGAGATCAATATCGTGAGACAGTCGGAATATTTCTCTGCAAGCCGATCTTGCGCCCAGCCGAAAACCAATTTCTGAAGATCCCACTCGAAGAGGCGAGAAAGATGAGCCCACAAGTTCAACGATTGATGGGATATGGCGTCTGCGGTCCGGGGGTGGGCTTTTTGGATTACCAAGATCCCATGAGGGTTCTCTTTGATGTTGAAGATGACGAAACTATCAACATGTGATATCTCATCCGGCATCGGACGATCATGTCAGTCTTTCCCAATTATGAGACTGTGGATTAGAAAACCACGAAGGAGCCGATTTTAAGTTCATTCCTGCGGGCAAAGGTGATCCAGTTCACTGATTCGCCTTCACTTGAATTTTTCCAAAACGCGCGTAGAAACCTCCGCGCGGCATCATTGCACCAGAATCCACTTGCAAATATTGATTCTTGGAAGAACTTTCCAATTTGCTGCTGTCTGACTTCGTCCTTCTGGCATTCTGTGCCTGCAATGAAAAGAGGGAAGAATCAATCGTGAGCAAATGCGGACTGCGGCTCTAGGATAGCACACTTTATTGACTCAAGCAAAGTTTCAATAGAGGGTTTCCGGGACTTGATGTTTGAACCTCTGGAAGGCTTCAATGCTTGATAGCAGTATATTGAAACTGCATAGTAGTGCGCTTTCACAATGGCAAAAGAATACTGCCGTTGAGTCTTTCCGGACGAAGGTAACCAGTCCAACATTTTGGTGGCTTTCTCATATGCTTCATCAAGTTTGATGTGCCAATCGTTCATGTCCACCGAAGGTGGGCTTCGATTTTGGACAAAGGTATCGTACCTTGATCTTTCGGTGACTGTGATTTCGTCTATCAAGTTCAGGAAGCCCCAGGACTGATTATCCGAAATATTGGGGCGATATGGCGCGGTGGAATACTCGACATGTCGCGAAAATATCGAGAAATTGCCACAGGCTAAGAGATCAGAAACCTCTTTCACGAGGAAATTTATGAAGTCGTTTTGCTTTTGGACTGCATCAGTCTGTAAACTGTGTCTGTCGATTATAACTCTACAAGCTTGAAGATGAAGTCCCCACTCTTTCGAATTCGGAATCAATATCTCGCTGTAGCAGAGGGCAAGCATAGATGCTAGAATCTCAACCATTGTGAAGACACCTGTGTTGCTGTTACACGGGTATGATTTTTCAAGCATGTGAGACCGCATCTTGTGGGTCAAAGTATGCAGGGTTCCCTCGCGGAGCTGCCGATTGGCTTGTGAAACCGCTGCATTCTGTTCAATGCGATCAGATACTGCGGTGATATGAGCAGATGAAAGGCACATTATAGACAGTCGAAAGCAGGTAGACCTCTTCGCCAGTGGCAAAATGAGACCTCTCCAAGGGTTCTGCGGACTATCAAACCAAGTTAGACGTGGTGCAACATTTGAAAAGAAATGCCTTAGCAACAGTTGGCAGATCGAAGTCAAAACCTGATGACGCGCCAGCTCTAGATCTTTCACTGGAGAAGAGGAAATCGTCGAAATCCAAGTCTGGTGGTCAAGAGGCCGCACATAATCGTTCCCTTGTGGTTTTGGAGATTTATGTTCGCCCAGAAGAGGCAACTTGCATCCAGTGTACTTCCCTCTGCTGGCTATCCCTTGGTCCCATCTCAGACGAATAGATGGAAAACCAGGACAGGTAAAGCCACGAACGCCATATTTCTGGCATTGAGGCAAAGTTCTATCGCATATTATACGGCGCTTCTGACACGTACGACAATCTGCTTTTATTAGCGGCTGGATTAACTTGATTAGAGCAAGTAAATTACCTTTTTGTGCCACTCGTCGATCAGCCGGCAGGGAATCATTGATTTGATACTTGTAAGTGCCTTTCTGTCGTGATCCCACGACTCTAAACGGGTCAGTAAGCTCTCAGAAACTGTAAGCCACTCGTTGTCTACTAGAATAGTCTGGACTTTTCATCAAAAGGGAAAAAATTGAAATTACATCATTGAATCCCTCACTCCTCAAAAATGGGCAACGCCCCTGAGAATAATCAGCATTCAATGATCGGTATCAGTAGCAGCTATCGCCGGTGTGGAAGCGTCAGAGCACCCCTAGCCATTAGGTCAACAGAAACAATTCGTGTGCAAATAACCATTGCGTTGATTAGTGCTACATCATACGAGCTAGTCTCGCATGTCTTAAGTATTGATTAGGATGGCATGTTCTACGTGGCGTCCGCCAAAGTTCGCCGCTGTTTCTTGAGCGTCGTGCTCCAGTACACCTGTATGGACCATTTGCTTCTTCCAGGGAATTTCTGTGCAAAAGGTTTCGTCACCTCGGACCACGCGCTTTCTTCCGCGGACTACGGTAAGCCGTTCCTCGTAGGGGTAGATTGCGTATCAACTAGTTCGGTGTTTTGAGCTTGGATAGTCGTAGGAGATCCTTGCCAGAAGAGGGCCATGGCGAAGGGACTGTCTTCAAAGGGCTGCTTAGCCTGAGGATCAGCGTCCATATTAACAATGGCTTGACGTTGCCAATTTTCGAGATTTCGTGCCATTTTGCAGCGGGTTGGGCGTTGATGTTGTTGCTGGAATGGGGACGCTCGTTTCAGAGCGACATCGTGGTGGTTGTAAGTATCCCTAGGGCTGTAATGATACATACACAACTTCCTCATCGTCGTATTCTATCATTTAGCATTATACCATTCAACCTTAGAACGAGAATCTCAGATACAGCTATAACCATATTTGGCTTAGAGTGTCATGTGATAAGGATTTCAAACTCTTTTACTAGGTTCTCGAGATAGGGAAGCTCTCATAACCTAATTATAGGATAAGCTAATCTAGATATAGAAAACGTGTAAATTATCTGGTTCAAACCGAACAGGGGAATAAATAACACGAGGTTTACGATACTAGTATGGAAGGTATAAGGTCTGGAGGCCTATGTGACTGGAAGATTCGATGCAAATCGAGCAAACATGGCGATCCTGGAACAGGCAATCTGTCTACATTTCCCATCCGCACTACATACGAAAAGAATGATTGGTTGTGAGAGGATTTCGCCTCAGCCTCACTTGTCAACCCCGCCCCTCTCATGAACTCTGGCATTTATTCTCAAAATCTGGGCTCTATAATGTCTTTCTTTGTCTTGTATTTTCGAAGAACTCAAAAATAGGCTATTCAGTCTTCATTTAATCTTCCGTCATGGCAGCTAGCGCCTCTCGATCTTATAATGATTACACGGTCGGGTGGGTATGCGCTTTACCTCTAGAGATGGCAGCCGCAAAGCTTATGCTAGATGCAATACACCCAAGCCTACCTCGCCCGCCAACCGATCAAAATACGTATATTCTGGGAAATATTAGGGATCACAACATTGTTATTACCTGCTTACTAAGTGGCGTATATAGCAATATATCAGCTATAATGGTAGCGATATAGTTGCTCTCGAGTTTCTATTCTATCCGGTTCGGTCTAATGGTCGGTATCGGTGGTGGTGTACCAAGCAGTAGCGCAGACATTCGACTAGGCGATATTATAGTGAGCCAGCTAGCGGACTTATCTAGAGGCGTGATCTAATACGATCTTAGTAAAGCGTTAAGCGGCGGTCGATTCTAGCGAATAGGGATACTTAATCGGCTACCTAAGGTTCTACTAACTGCCCTCGCTACACTATAAGCCCACCACTTTATAGAAGATAGTCGAGTTCTTAAATTTATCTCTAACCTCTAGAGCAAAACGACTCCGCGTAGAGCTGTAAATTTCACACGACCCACCGAAGAGGACCGTCTATATCAAGCAGAATATAACCATAGAGCATCTTATATATATATCGATTGTGATTAGTCTAATCTGACTTCACGGTCTTTACGAGACCATAACGAACCAGTGATACACTATGGACTAATTACCTCTATAAATCAGGTAGTGAAAGATAGCAGGCGGCGAGATTAGCTAGCTTAGGACTTAGGAGTGTACTATATGGAAATAGAAGCGGCGGGGCTTATAAATGACTTTCTATATCTAGTTATTCGGGGTATTTATAACTATACTAACTCACACAAAAATAAGGCATGGTAGGGATATGCGGCAGTGGTGGTAGTAGCCTATACTAAAGAGCTCGTCTTAGTGGTTCCGATCGATTAGGTTGAAACTACTCTAATAGCACGAGACACTCTAGCAGATTCTGGTGAGAGATTCTAAATTCTAGTCCGTGGTACTCCATACCTAGTTCGCATCGATGACTAAATAAAGTTTCTCGTTTATAGTTCAGCGCTTCAATGTCCCCCTAGACCTTACCTTAGTTCCTGTGATTAAGAACTTCGTGGGCCGACAAGACGAGCTAGACAACTTATGGTAGTATTTACAACCGACAAATTCGTTGTCACGGAAAGTTACGATTCTCTATGGGCTCGGCGGAATAGGAAAGACGTAGCTAGCAATCCGCTTTACGCGAGATCATAAAGATAATTTTACCGCTATCTTTTAGCTGAGTGGCAAGGATCGGGATACGCTCTTACGATCGTTAAGCTTTGCCCTGAATCGAGTACTAGGACAGCCCGTGGAAAGCGGGGCGACCGATGATAGAAAAGTAGAGCAACGAGCCAAGTATATGCTACGGTGGCTATCGTTAGAGGGTAACTCGCGCTAGCTAATCATTTTTAACAACATTGATCAATACTCACCCTTAAATAGCACTATTGGTAATGGATATGATATTATAGAATTCTTCCCTATAGCGGACTATAGCTCTATCCTCATCACTTCTCGACTCTAAGGGTTGACTAAGCTAGGAGAGCCTTTCCCGGTCCGTAAACTAGACACTTATCACACAATTCGGCTAGTCTAGCAAAGCAGCGGTTTATCAGCCAAGAACACTACAAGAAAGCTTAAAGGCGACTCAGGTACTTTGGTGCTTATTTAAGATATGATATAGATCATACTAACAAAAGTAGATATATTTGCTCTTACGGGTTATCTAGATGGATTGCCTCTAGCTATTATCCTCGCTAGGGCTTTCATACGTGAGACTGGAACTAGTATTACCGAGTACTTGAAGTTTTACCGAGAAACTTAGTCCGAGCTATAGTTACAATCAAGTCCTGGTTATCAGTACTAGCAAGGTAACGTGCTATAAACATAGATGATATCATACCTCGAAATCAAGAAGCGGGACCAGAATACAGTAGCGCTACTACTACTACTACTTGCTCGATTTAACAATCGAGATATCTGGTATGAGTTGGTAGGAAGTAGCAGCCATTACTCGGATGTCCTATTTTAGCTCGAAAAAGCCCTTTGAAGCGGCCTCGCGTTCAAAGTTAGTGTGAAGACTCTGGTCGGATTCTCTCTTCTTAAGAGCAAGCAATAAGAAGGAAGTTATACGATGCCCACTATTGCATAAAGTCACCTAAAATGGACGTATAACTCGCTGACTTTGTATAATAAATAACTGTTATTTACACCTATTTTGCTAACTCTATATAAAATGGTAGTTTTAATCTACAATATCTATAAATTTTACTGAAACATCTATCTATATAAGAAACTAGTATATATATTATTATGGGGTCTACGCTGTAGAGGCCCGAAAGTTAGGAGGGAGAGAGTTGTATTGGAAAGGGAAGACGAAACTCCCAAACTATCTATCTATCCGAGGTTGATGCCTGAACCCTAAGGCACCCACCACAACACACCCCCTCAGGTATAAGCACCGAGGGAATCCTCCTATTTGAATTTCAATTTGCATAGTAAAAACCTGCATTTCTTTTTGTGTTTTTCATCGTTTTTCTCTTCAAATCAACGTTAGTTTGTATATCACTTTTTCAGTATACATGACCGTAATTCAATTTACTCCTTTCGCCATCAATCTTTCTCTTATTGGTTCGAATAGTTCCTTTGAGAGCGGCTTCGTTATCGCATCTACGACGTTCTCCGCGCTTAAAATTAGGACTAATTATATGATCCTATTGCGAACCGCTTTACGGACGAAGTGGTATCTCTTGTTAAGCCATTTAGCTACTTTCGTGTAGGTATCGCATTTTATAATCGACACCGCATTGTCGCTATTAGTGTACAACTTAATAGGCAGGGTTTGCTATTCTCTAAGTTGCTCTAGTATCTTTAACAGCTATAGGCATTCCCTGACCGTAGTATCATATGCTACGTATTCCGCTATAGAGGTGCTTCCTACCACAACGTCCTCTTTTCTCGAGGACTAGCTAATTAGACCTCCGGCGTAGTAAAATACATAGCCTTTAGTACTCTTTCTATCTTCGTAGTCTTAAAACGAAGCATCGACGAATCCAATAAGCTCTTTAGTTGGTTCCTTTCCTAGCAGAATTCTAAGGTCTATCGAACCTTTAACGTATCTATTTAGCTGTTTTAGCGTATCTTGGTCCTCTCTTCTAGGTGCTGCAGATCTCCGTTGAAGCTTATTTATAGCAATAGCAATGTCTGGCCGGGATTTATCTAAGAGCTATCCGAGTTTACCGACGTCTTTAATGTATGCTTTAACTTTAGTAGGTAATAGATTAGATTCATCAAATGGTAGGTTATCGTTATCGCCGGTCTTTCTCACATCTTTTTCCGTTCGATTTCTTATGATTTTAGGCGGTTTGTAGCTTGATTTTATCGGTAAATAGACCTTACTTACTTCCTATAAGCCTACCTTAACGATGATCTCTTCGGCATAGGCCTTTTGGCATAGAAAAATGCTATGCACTCCTCGCGAAAGGCTGCTTCCTAGGAATCTTTTTAGCTTTCCTAGGTCCCTATGCTTGAATGGAATAGTATTCTTAAACCATTGAATATCTCTTTTATCTATTGTAGCAATTAGGGTGTTATCAACGTATAGTAGTAACTAGATCTAACGTTGTTTGTGAATTAGGATACAAGGTTCGTCGATCAATGCTTCGAATCCCATGTCCTTTAGCTATATACTAACTATTTTGTACTAGAGATGACCTGCCTATCGAAGACCGTAGAGCGCTTATAGCACCGTATATACTATGTCTCCTTTCTCAAATCCCGTTGGTTGTTTTATATAGACACTTCTGTTATCAATTACTGCATTTAAATATGCTGCTATATAGTCGACTTACTCGAGAATCATTCCTTTCTTCGCAATAATGCTTAGAAATAGTCTTATCGTTTCTCCGCGAGTAATAGGTGCTAAGTTCTTAATAAAATCATATCTAGGACGTTGACGGTTTCCGTAGATTACCCACCGCGCTCTAAATTCTAGTACGTTGTTATCTTTATCTGTTTTTAGGTCGAAGACCTATTTTCCTAGTAATATAGTGCTACCCGCGGGAGGTTTTTCTCTTAATTCGAATACCTTTACTACTTTTAATTTGTCGATTTAGACTAGCATCGTATCGAACCATTCCTTTTTAAACTCTGATTTCATAGCTTCGGTATAGGTGCGGGGGATTTTGATTCTCTAGGATTTCAATGGTTGCTCTATCACCTACGTAGAACCCTATTTAGGGCCTATCTCGGTTGATGACATAGCGAAGCCGACTCTAAAGGGCGAGTTCCCCTAGTAGTTAATTGGCATTAATCCTATTTAATTATCCCCGGGTCCACCACTTACTACCAATCCTTCTATAATGCATTGTGAACCTCCACTTATAACTAATCCTACCATAGCGCATTGTGCTCCTCTATCTCGGTCGGGTTCTCCGTACTTCTTCCACTTTAAATCGTGGTATCTCTCGGGGCTTCGGCCCTTCGTAGATCTCGGGGATCGACGTATATTCGAGGTATCGGGTATTTGTGTAGGACGTAGAACCTCTAGTGGGTCTAGTCTCGCTGGGTTTAGTAGCGGTGTCGTATATCGGATTATATCACGTCCACGGTCCGATCCTCCTTCGTCCTATCCGCGATCCGATCGTGTCTCACTTCGTTCGCGTTCCCTTTCGTTCTCGATAATCTATCTCGTAAGTTAAATCTGCGATTGTGAGATTCCCTTTACTACTAGTGGCGAAGGCGTTAGCGACGGGGTATTCGGTTGACTTAGTGGTAGTTCTAGGTATTTAACTTGCCCTTCCTATTAATGAATAAGTTGTCCCGTAAACGGAGGGGAAACCTATTAGTGCTCTCTACGAGTGGGGGTTCTAATAACCCTACTCACTTTAAGTGTATCGAGTCGTTCCTCTAGGGTCCCTTCTTCGGTATTGTAGAATAGCTTAGCTTCGTCTATATTAATTGAACCCACTAAACCCGCTAAACCTACCTCTATAGAGTGCTCTTCGACTATGTTATTATACTATTAACCACTAGGTTTTATTCTACCTCCTAGGTCTATTTCTACCTTTCGGATCGATTTAAATAGAGGTTCTCCGACTAAGAACTCGGTTCTCTTTACTAGCGGGCCGTTAATGATTTCTTCGATTTAAATCTTAGAGACTCTATCGTAGCTTTGTGCTAAACGTGGCTCCTAGAAGACAACGTCTCTGTGAATTGACACCTTCTTTGTTCTTAGGTTATAGATTCTAAAGCAATGACCGTTGTCACCTTCATATCCCACGAGGTATCCCACCCACGCTCTAGGGTCTATTTTTGCACTTTAAATCCGTGTTTCTTTAGGCTTATAAACATAGGCTTTAGAATACTATACCCGTAGAAATGATAGGTTTGTGGCTTCATCACCGCGAAGCTTTATTGCTTTCCTCTATCCCACAATTAGCGCTTCACCCCCTAACCTAGTTAGTCGGTTTGTGATATACGCTATAGTATTGACTACTTCGGTCCACAGCTCTTTTAGTGCATTTACATCGATGTGTATAGTCCTTGCGATTTGCATAATATAGTGTCCACTGAACTCGGTAACACCATTTTATTTATGAGTATATAGAACTGACGGGCTGATTATCATTGATTCGCCCTTAGCCCATGCCATAAATTGTAGAAACTCCTTTGCATTATCCATTCTCCACTCCGTGGGATAGTATCCTATCCGGTCTTTGAACTAGTTTATCCATTTCTGGAGAGTAGGCGAGGAATCACTCTTTTTAGCAATGTATATCACCGTGCGGAAACGTGTTACATCGTCGGTGATAATTAGAGCGTATTCTCGATTAGCCTTGCTATCAGTTTTATTGATTCCTTTCGGTTTAACTGGGTGGAGATCAACGTGAAGCAATTATCCGACTGTTATTGCTCGCGCCTATTACTAACGAGACACAATTCTCTTTAACTTCCCCTTTCTATAAGGTTCGTAGTTATAATGTTCTCCTCCGATATCAATGCCTAGTTTATCTTTATTAACTCTGCCTTTGTAGCTTCCCGCATGGCTAAGCCGGCGGTGGGCTAGCTCTATAGAAATAGTGACGTACCTAAGTCCTTAGTTATTAGAAGGCACTAGGTTTAGTTCGTTAGTAAGCTCGATAAATGGTACGTTCTTTGCAATAAACGTGTAACCAATTGCTTACTTATCCTACGAGATTATTATCGTATCGATGCTCTAGCCGATTCCGAGGTCTTACTTTACCTTTATTAGGCCTAGAAGGTTGAATTTATTGCCGGGTTTATATTCACAATAGATTCGTAGTTCGTACCGGCCTCCGTTAGGTTTTCTGATCGGAAGAATAATATCTCTATAACCCTCTGCTATTGCTACCTAACCATTGCTTCTATCCTATCTAGTTGCCGTTCCTAGTTTATAGGGTGTATAGGTCATAAATAGCTTCTTATTTATACAGATATGCCACGATAAACCTAAGTCAAGCACCTAGTTAATGCCTAAGCGAAGTTAACGGGTTGTAGCTATTGTTGCTAAGCCGACGAAGCCGGTCTCTTTTAAGTCTGTCTCGTCTTGTCCGTGTCCTATCTTCGTCTTATCCGAAGATATATCTTCGTCGTTGTCATACTTAATTGTAACTCCTACGAAGTCGTATATTTCTTCATCTTTAGTAGTTGCCGAGGTTACTACTACGTCGAAATTTGCTTACTTTATTTTCTCGGTTAGTTTACCGGTGAATTACTAGCTTTTATTCTCTTTGAATTCCTAATACGTCTTGTAGTACCATAAGCCAGGCTTCGGTTTCCATACCGAGGGTCGATTTTTGCGATCAAGATAATAGCAGTCCTTTGCATTATGGCCCGTAGTGCCGTAGTAGGAATAGGCTCCGTTTAACGAGCGCTAAACCTTATGGTTTCGCCATTCTTTAACGTGATCTTAGGCGCTTTTACCGCTTAGGGGAGCATTCATTAATCTGTCTTTCTTGCCGTCGCTTTGCTACTAGGGCTTTAACTTTTGTTAGTTATTGCGGGCTGTTCCGCTTACTCCGAGGCCTTCGTCGAGGCCTATTTCTTTGATTTTGTCTATCATTTCTTGGCAGTAGGTGAAGAAGTCGTTGATTGTTATCGTTTCTATAGGGTCTTTAATGGATTTCAATTCGTTGTTCTTAATATCAATTGATCCACGGAGGTCTGGGATCTCTTGTAGTTGGCTGACTATTATAACAATGGCTTAGTAAGGTGAAATCGCAGCTTTCAGATCATTTACTGCCGTAAATCGAGTCTTAACACCCTAGATAAACTCCGCCGTCGTTGTAAACTCTGCTCGTTTAATGTTAATAAATCGGAGTATAGCTGCACTAAGCGCGCTATAGCCTTCTCCTCTTATTTGCTTCTTACAGACGTGTATAAAGTCATCGGCCCACGTAGTTCTCTCGCTAGTTAAAGTGATGTTTTTAGCGATTTCTAGGTCGAGTCCACAGTGTAGCCATACTCTGACCTATATACTGATTTTTATCCACTTCTCCGCGTTTACGGAGCTTCGATTAGGCTTCTCAACCTCTTTGTTGATTAGCCGGTGTAGATTGTGTCCTCGGAGGATCTTTGTTACTATATCAAGCCAGTTATCAAAATCCTCTCTCTCCTTTAACATAGGTTCGATCTTATAGAGCACGAAGCTCCCAATCTCTAGCAGACCCTCTCCTTAGTCTCCACCTAGTGTTGTTTAATCCGCATCCTCAACGACTGTCCAATCATTTCCCGTGGCCGCGCTAGGCCCCTATAGCGGAGGCTGCGCCATTGTTGATCAGTTGTTTCGGTCTCTTATAAGGGAGGGAAGGAAGGTTTATATTAGGGTAAATGGCCCCGTGAAATTTGTTTTAGTGTAGGGTATAAACCCTAGGAAGAAAAACCTATTTGTGGGATTTTTGGTGTCGAAAATCGACTACCCACGAAAAAAGAGAATAAATCGCGTTAGCGAGATGTGGTTCCCTCACTACGCCTGTTGATCTTTTTAGATAATTAACGATAATGGTACTAGTGGAGTCGAGTCTCGGGATCCCCACTATAGGCCTTGCTCTCGTCCAATGAAATCCTCGTCTAAAGTTCTCGGCGCGACTCTCTCTACGCTACCGAGTAATGAAAGTAATAAAACGTAAAAAGCCTCCTATTTTCAAAGAGTGAATCGCAATGAAAGCGGTCCAAGCGAGGTGCTCATAACCTATTGTGGGGTTTACGCTATAGAGGCCCGAAAGTTAGGAGGGAGAGAGTTATATTGGAAAGGGAAGACGAAACTCCCAAACTATCTATCTATCCGAGGTTGATGCCTGAACCCTAAGGCACCCACCACAACATATATGATACGACTTAGAATAAAATTTTAATCGAAATATATCATATTGTGTGGTATTTTTATTAACTTATTAAATCATACTATAATAGCTTAAAGATATATATTTAAGTTAGTGGTATATGCCTAGTATTTTCTGTGAGTAATTTAGCAGATAGAATATTATAGCCTAATAGTAGGTTATAATATTTTATATTTTATAGAGGAAGTAATATCTTATATAATATGATTATATAAGATATAGTATTGAAGGTTATACTTATCCTAAATAGGAGATAAAGATATATGTATATGGATGAGAATATATTAAGAAGTATATTATTATTCTATTAGAGAGTAGACTGTCACCCTTTTTATAGACATTTTAGGAGGCAAATATAAGATAATATAAGATATCATATTATCTCACGATTTATGGCGATTTAGAAGTGAATCATAATATAGTTTACCACTATTAGTATATCCTTAGATATAGTAATAGTTACCAGTAATTTATATATGATATCCTTCACACCATTATACTCTACTATAATATACTATTATACCAAGAATAAGCTATTTAAACACCTTAAGAAATCAATCTCCTAGCTTACTAACAAACGAACTAGCTAGAAGCGATAGATATTATAGGCCTTATAAGCATCCCGGAAGAAGCTTAGTTAGTACTACTCTAAGACTAATAATATTCGGGGATATCTATATACGATTAGTACAATACTTAATCCTATCAATAAGTTCTAGTTCTTTTAAACTAACGATTAGGATAATAATTAGCGAGTAATATACCGACAAAGTCTAGAAGATCACCTATCTCTATATAAAGAGCGCCTAAATCTCTAGCTAAATTCTTCCGAAGCGCCTTTATCAATAGGATTATAGTCCCGCCTTACCTCTATATTAAAGCCTAACCGTCTATATCTTGCGGTTTCGGGTGATAAGATTACATAGTACTTAGATAGTGGTATGTCCTCGCCTCTACTTTTACCCTTTATTCTATTAAACTAACTAATCTAGCTACTATTAATATAGCCCCTTTAGAGTTCTAGAGGACTAATACACCTCGCTTCCCCGCTCTTTTAGCTCTCGCTCGGGATATTCTCTTAATCCCTACTACTAGTGCTAGTGTTAAACGGTTATTTAATACCGCTCGGGATATCTATCACTACCGCCGTAGTAGGCTATATACGTCCACAATCTAGGAATTAATAATGTATCTATATATATCGAAGTTCGATAAAGAAGAATAGGACTCGGCATTGTTATAGGAGTTCTTTACACGGGATAAGATTAAAGAAGCTAAGGAAGAGAAGGGGATTATATCTAATATGGTTGATATTGATCCAATTAGTGATATAGAGGAAGATACTAGTCACGAAGAAGGGTAGGATATAGAGGATCTAGATAGTATAGTTGATATAGTGGATCACATAGCTAAACCTACACTACCTTCTAATTCGGAGAGTAGTACTCAACTACGGGCTAATTTACGAGCTCGTAAGCGTGTAAGACGCGATAAGGATATATATGATTATCATTAGGGAGAGAATACAATTATACAATCTTGTTTTTCTATCAAAATAATCTCAGATATGTAAATGAAATATAGAAAAATTCAAGAAAAATTGTATAAATTGTGAAGGTCACATGCTCTATAATTCTACTCCACTTTAAAAACCAATTGGGGCCCTATAAACCATTGCGGTTTACAGACCTCGCCCCAAAACCCGCCCCAATTGCGGTTTGGGGTGGGGCGGTTTATAGGTTTTGCGGTTTATGGCGAAGTCTAATCGGGTAGTTCTTCTTATAAAAACTAGTAGGTATATACCACTAACTTAAATATATATCTTCAAACTATTATAGTATAATTTAATAAGTTAATAAAAATACCACACAACATAATATATTTCGATTAAAAAGTTATTCTAAGTCGTATCATATATATATTAGTTTCTTATATACTTAGATATTTCAGTAAAATTTATAGATATTGTAGATTAAAACCGCGATTTTATATAAAGTTAGCAAAATAGGTGTAAATAACAGTTATTTATCATGCAAAGTCAGCGAGTTATACGTCTATTTTAGGTGACTTTATACAATGGTGGGCGTAGTGGGCATACCCGGGATAGGTATGCCCGTGGGCCTTAGGCGTTATGGACGGGCACTCGAAAATCCAAATAGCCCACCGCCCACCGTGAACGGGCGATGTCGCAGTCTACTATAGACTAAAGAAGGTAGAGGGTTTCCCGCTTAGGAGAACGAAACCTAGGATAATAGGCTAGCCTTAGCATATAGTTTATATTAAGATATACTCGAGTTATAATTACACTAAAATAGAAGAGGGTATATGACATCAACCTACCCATGCAAGACATCGGAATCGACTCATTGACGGCGGTTCTGACGCGCAACCACTTAGCGGAGCTGACTGGCCTGACACTTCCGGCCAAAATTGTTTTCGATCACCCTAATCTGAAAGCACTCGGCCAGTTCCTGCTGCCGAAGCTTTTAGAAGCAGCTACAGATCTGTCACCGGCTCCTACAGTTGCTGTAGTGGAAGGCAGTGTCGCAGCACCCGTTATTTTCGGTTGGAATACAGCCACAATCGAAAAGGGTTGTCTCGACCCCCAACTTCGATTTGATAATGCGATTCAAGTAGCGGCATGCCCAAAAGCAATATTCATTACCGGCGTAACTGGCTTTGTTGGCGCCTTCCTCCTGCATGAGCTGCTCGAGTTAAATATCATCGCTTACTGTCTAGTGCGCGCCGACGATGTCATTCAGGCCACGCAGCGGCTAGTGAGGATACTGGAAGGCTACGGTCTCTGGAAGGAGAGCTACATGCCATTGATCAACCCGGTGGTGGGCGATCTGACGCAGCCCTTGCTGGGGCTAGACGAGGAGGCCTTCGAAAAGTTGGCGGGCCGAGTCGACGCTATCTGCCATACTGGCGCGCTTGTAGACTGGATGCGTCCGCTGGAGGACTACGTTGGCCCAAATATCATCAGCACGCATGAGGTTCTGCGCCTAGCATCGCGCGGCTGCTGCAAGACAGTCCATTTGATCTCCACCGCTGCCACTTTGCCAAAGTATTTGGGCTATGAAATCATGGAAGACGATCGGGAGTATGGCTACATCACCTCGAAATAGATTGCGGAGCAGATGGTTGCGGCTGCGCGCTGGCGCGGCGCTAAAGCATCGGTGTACCGATTGCTATTCGTCACGGCATCAACTCGTTCTGGCCACTTCCGACTTGATCGTGGTGATTTTCTGCATAACTTGATCGTTGGTGGTATTGAAATGGGTAGTTTCTCGTCCCTCAATGCCGACCTCTCGGCTGTGCTGCCGATCGATTACCTGTGCAAGACCATTACCACAATGGTGACGAAGGGTCCAGCGACAGTTGGTCGTGAGTACGACTTCATTAACGCAAATGCGTCCAGCTTCAATACCTTTTTCAAGCTGGTCAGTGCCGCTAGTGGCGTGGGAGAAATTATCCACTTTGATGAGTGGCGGGAACGGGCACTGGCGTGGGCTGCTGCGAAACCAACTAGTTCCCTCGCCCGAATCAGTGCTGTTGTGGATAGCCTCACGGAGGAAAGCGCAGCCACCATGTTTAGGTGCTTACCAGTGGATGAGCACGTCTTTGACACCAACGATTGCTGCAATCCATTGGTCGATGAGCAGTTCGTTCAGAAATATTGGCAACGCATTAACGCAGTGCGGGTCGTTTCATAGGATTTTCAAACATGTCAGCCAGAGATACCCCCGGGATAGACTTCCGCAAAGCCCAACTTTTATAGTTCCTAGTATAGAATATATATCCTAATAGGTATTAACTTATAAGTGTAGAATATTTCTAATAAATTAATCTATATAGTTATAAAGCTTAGTTATTATACTAATATATCAAAGATAAATATCTATTTACTAGAATTTCTAAATATTTCACCTTCCTTATTATAATAATAGAGGGGGGGGCCTAACTAGCACCCCCCCCCCTTCGAGGCGGTGTCCGGGTCGAGCCTAAAAAGTTCGACCCCTAGCTCGTTAAGGGTCAGGTTTCGAGCCGGACCTTAGGCCCAAAGTTGGGCTTTGCGGAAGTCTACTCAGAATGCTTGCGTTTAGGCCCCTAACGAGCCTAAGCCTATTTGAACCGCACACCAGCAAATTCGACGCTAGCTAAGCCGCTAAACTTGCTATTAATTTCTATTTTTATATTGCGCCTGGTCCTCGCAGGGGTTTTGGTTGGAACTTCTACCAACCCAATTGGCCCCATTTGTACCCATCCGAGCAAACCCTGGAAGTGCCCAATTCGGTTCTATTTTAAGAGATCGGAAGATCTACTGCAACCCGAATCACATCACATCGTATTCAAGAGCGGCTATAGCGTTGGGTAAAGCTTCTAATATAAAGTCATCCGTAGCGCCCGGTTCTAGTTTTAGAGGACCCATTACGGCCATCCCTTCAATAATCGGCCCAATTAGCAGAACATCTAGCCATCTTGGTCAACGTCACATGCAATGCCCTCTAACAAAGATCGGATATATGTCGTTCTCCATGCACGAGCAGGCAAATCAACCATGCCAGGCAAGGAAGACTCGTGAGATTACCATCCATGATGTTTAGCTGAAGCAGCCAGCAAGATTAATACGATATCTTGCCTAGGTACCATTGGTCCCTGATTGTAGGGCCCAAAGTTGAGACAGAGAATAGCACTGGTTTCTGTTACCACGCGAACGAGAGCCCAAAGCTGGGAGGGGGCTCGGAGTGGCACTTCGAAGAGCTGGAGTGTTCACTTACCGCTACTAGCATGTTACTTGTTCGTATCATGATTGGGAAGGTATTGGATGGATATCATACAGCGGAAATTATGCGCAATACGCCTGTCCGAAAAAATCGGCCAGGGTGGAATTGTGTCGAGTGGGTAAAGGAGGCGTTGGAAACGCTTCAGGCCGATAACAAGGCTTTAGGCACGAGCATGCTTGAGTGGAGCATAGTGCGGAATATAGCAATGGCTTACTGCGAACGCAAGAAAGAACAGCACCGTTTTGATGGTCAGGGGAATTTTGATATGAGGAAGACTCCTACTTATGATTTGTTGGAGCAAAGGGAGATTATTGCTTGAGTTATCGAAGCAGATTATGTGCAATATATCCGATATATCAAAAGCGCAATTGACGCAACGTTGTTCCTCCTCCAACGCTGTATATTGGAAATACCTGTACGTTGGCAACTTGAAGTATCGTTTTCTTATGTCGACTAGCTGCATATGAATGTAGCTGTAATAGTAGAATAGTCCTAAATAGGAAATCACCAATCATCGTGACGTCAATCCAAAGAAACTTGCATCAGGAATTTATATTCAAGTACTAATTCCACTTTGTGTCGTTTCTAGATTCCATTAACAATTCGCGAATACAACCCTAAACCTCATCTTGAAATCAACATACGGCAAAATGTCAGACGGCAATAAGAGCTCCTGCTGCAAGGGAAATGAACTCCCAGGAGATCCACGAACATTGAAGAGTCGAGTCCTCGAGACCGGAGCTTCATTGATCCAAGACTTCACGCCAGTGAAACAGATCTGCGCCCATCTCAATGCATTCCATGTTTACGCCAACGATCCAACCCGATGCGTCGAGGCCAATCACTATTGTACTCATTTAACAGAGGGTATGTAACAATAGCCACGTCTTTAGCCAGACAACCGAACGACCACCCGTGGACATGCCGGAAATTAATACCTCACCAGATATTCGCCAATGCCTAATCTACGACTCACCCGAGAAAAACGCACGCTTCATCGGCGTTGAATACATGGTCTCGCCGCGGATTTTCGCGACTCTTCCCGCTGAAGAGCGTAAGCTGTGGCACACGCACGAATTCGAGGTCAAGAGCGGTATGCTGGCCATGCCAGCACCGGCTGGGGTGCCCGATGCTGTATGGGAAGCTGCGGAGACGGCAGAAATGCACGATGTTGCGCCTGTCTATGGTAAGATTTATCATTTCTGGCAGGTTGACCGTGGAGACCCTGTGCCTATGGGGGAGCCGCAGTTGATGGGTAGCTTTCCATCGGAGGAGAGCGTGAAGGTTGCGCATCCTGCGGGGTTGGATTCGTTGTTGGAGGATCGGAATAAGAGGTTCGGGGTGGATCATCGACAGAAGGCGAAGAAAAGGGAGGGTATTGAGGCGGTTGAGAAGCATCCTGGTATGTATTGTTTGATAATTGGCTTTGCTTGGATTTTGACTGACAAGGTTGTTAGATGCTGATTCGATGTGGAAGTCAACTTGATTGACCCATGGACAAGTCCCAGATGTTGACCATAAAGGTTACGAAAGAAATCAAGAGAGCACAAGAAATAAAATGATGATAAATTGTCTAATTGAGATGTCTCCCCGCTACACATGCCTCAAGAACCCAGTCCCATAATGAAATGGGGTCATATTGAGGCACACTGGAGGACAGCGCATCTGACAAGATAGGCCGGTTGTTTTCATATTGCTTCAGATCTTCTACACCTGCTTCGTCCGTATATATTTTGGCGACGGCAAGCTCTAGCTGGAGAAGCGAATATTCCACAAGGAATTGGGGATTGGGGCAAGGGGAGTATATGTAAAGGATATCGCCGCATCTCTAATGATTGTGGAGATGCTCAGAATAATCGAGGCATGGATGAAAACCCAGGTCCTTCTCGGCCCAGCACCCAATCATTAATGGGCGGCTGATATAGCTGGAAGGCTCCTGGATATCGAAATCCAACGCGACGGCGATATTTCCTGGTTCAAGACGCAGGACATATTGGATGATGGGAGAAGAGGAATATGTGGAGCAAAAAAATGGATTTTAAAGGCACGATATGGTCACATGACCATTCCCGACCGCGGAATGGTTGATGCAGCTCGATCTGGGCAAGACCAAGCTTCCAATTCACTACACATGGAGCAATTAGTCCGGTCGTTAATAAGGGGTTTCAATCTGCGTACGGTTGGCCGACTTGCGCTCAATGGCACCAGCACGTTCTGCGCCTGCGCGCTGATCTGGGAGCACCTGATCACCATCCAGCTCAGCGAGGGCCCGTCGATGTACCCTACCTTCGATGTGCGAGGAGACTGGCTCCTGATATCGCGCATGCACCGCAATGGCAAGGGAATCGAGGTCGGAGATGTCGTGCGATATGGTCATCCAAACTTTCAGGGCGTGCATGTGGCCAAGCGGGTAGTTGGCATGCCTGGGGATTTTGTCTGTCAAGATAAGCCGCTTAGTACGGGTATTGGCAAGGAAGGGAATATGATTCAGGTGGGCTGTGTGCTTTGGTCTTGGTTGGATTCAATTGCTGACTTGTGATGTTTGTGCAGATCCCCGAAGGTCATGTCTTTCTGGCCGGCGACAATCTTCCCTGGTCTAGGGATTCCAGGAACTACGGTCCAGTGCCCATGGGTCTCATTAATGGGAAGATAATTGCCAGGGTATGGCCTCTGTCGAAGATGGGGTGGGTGGACAATCCGTTGCAACCGGCGCAACTGGAGGGCCAGAACATTTGAGGATTATACAATGTACATTATACCAAACAGGGAGGGTTACAGTTTGCCGATGCGTGGCAGTCGAGTTTATTTTGTTTAAGCATACACATGGAGTTTGGTTGAAAGGGATTAAAACAGTGTGCATATTCATACATATATCAAATTGTACAATACAAAACCCGGCTTGAACATAGAACAGGGGAGACAAACACGATCAGCGGAACGAAGAGGGGTTACGTCTCTTATAAGGCAGAGGCTCGACTCTCTTGCGGCGCAGCTCCACATTGGCATTGTCGAATCCAATCTCCTTCATGACCTCCAGGGTCGTGTCGTCCCACTGGGTACGGAACAGGTGAGCACCGATGGCCTTGAGGTGGTAACGGGACTGGAGAGAGCGAAGGAGGGTGGTGTCACGGTTGTTCTCCTTAGCCTTGAAGGCAGCAAAGTCGAGAGGCTGGGAATCCTTCTGCTCCATGATGAAGAGAGAGAGACGGTGGTAGGGACTTCCCTTCTGAGCGACAGGTGGGAGCCAGGGGAGAACCACCTGGGAATCCTCCAAAAGCTGCGCGAGATCGACCTTGGTAGAGGTGGCCGAGATGGGAACGTTGATGGCCAGGAAATGTGTCTTATAATCGAAGTTGTTGTTCTCAACGTTCGGGACATCGGGGTCGACAACTGCAATAGTGACCAGCTTTTCACCACCCTCAAAGATCTGCACGTCGAGTTTAGGCGCGCTTGTGCTAAGGTTCGCGTCGACGAATTCACCGGCTTGGACTTGTCGCTTGCCGAAGTACAACTTTGTGTCGACGACGGGGTCGCAGTGAGGCAGGACGTCGGGAACGACGTTCATCTGGGTGATACGCTGGACCAGAATCTTGCGGCGGTATTCGCGCCATTTGCGGTCGGCCAAAAAGCGGTAGATGGGCTTGGACATGTCACCTGAATTGATAGAAAACGAACCATTAGCCTCAGCCCAATTTGATCAGTTGACCTAGATATCATTACCTTCATTATCTTCAAACTTTCGCTTGACTGCAGGGTCGTTAATATCGGCCAGAACCTTAAGGCGCTCCAGGTGTAATTGCATCGCAGTAACGCGGGACTTCTTCGCCTTTGCTCCTCCAGACTCCTGGTCGGTCAAAGCCTCCTGCTTGGCAAGCCGCTGTCTCATCGTCTCAATCTCCTTCAACTTCTGTTCGCGGTCCGCAAGCAAAATCTTCCGGGCTTCTTGGAAACATTGGTAGGGCAGTTGTTCGAAAGGAAGGTTCTCGGAATCTTGAAGGGCGGCACGGCGACGACGAGATCCGATGGGGGCGGTTCCTTGTCGCAGCAGCCGTCTTTCAAGACGGGGACTCGTCACAAGAGAGGGATCGGGTGCCTTGTGGAAAGGTTGGCTCGGAGTTTCAGCTTCGGGCTCTTGAACGCTGGCGGTAGACTGGAAGGCTCGCTTTTGGAGTTGGACTCCAGCCACGCTCCTAGAGTAGGTATTGCGAAGGCATTGGAGCAGAGGCTTCGAAGCCCGTTCGCAGTGGGCCATGATTCGAGGAATTGGGGTTATGATGGGCTTGGCCTAAGGATCCGATGTTGTTGTCTTCCCGGGGAACTTTTTCTGTTCGGACCTAGCCTATCACGTGACCTCTTCTAGTCCTGCATTATGTACTCCATACTAGGTGGGCATGGGCATCAACCTCAACCTGGAACCTTGCAAGCTTGAAAACCTCTGGTTATACACACAAATTCTGTATGTGCGGTTTATAATTTCTCCAGCATTCCATCCTTTTACCTGTTTGATACCGAGAAGGGAGGAGGCATCCAGAAAGACTCAAAAAAGGCATTGTTGTATGTATCTTGGATATAATGTCCAGAATAGAGGTTGTAGAATCGACGACTTTTCTTGTAGTGAAATTGATTCAGATCAGCTTCCTTCTCTTTTTCCTTCCTCGTCTTCCTCGTCATGTTCTACCATACCATTGGCCTTTATAGGGCGCGGCGTCTTTCTACCTCGCGTGGCTCATTTACAATGCCAATACAGGCTTCACCAATATGGATGTAATATTCTCACAACACAATCCACACTAAAAGATCCCTCTCAAAACCTGGCCAGGGATAATACGAGACCTAGATTGGACTACTTGTGTCTATACTTAGTAGCGCCAATATTCTGCTGGCACCCACCGCCCGTATCAACTTTTGCTCCGTTCAACACTCCGGACATCACCAACTTATACGCCGATCACGCAATACCTTTCACAATGGCAGGTAACGATGTTATTCGGTCGCTGAGGCTGCTCTCACGCAGCTCGGGCGGACTCATGTCAGGCCCCAAGCAGGTGACGGTTAGTGCACTCCATGGATTCTTCTCGGTCCGGTCCGAGGACGCATTTACTGACAGCGCGTCGAATCATACAGCAACGATGCCTTACACGCTCAATGGCAACCGAAGCCAAACCAGAACCCCCGGTGGTGACTCAGGATGCCGTCCAGGCCGAACAACCACAACGTCCAGGTGGCCAAACCCCTGTCCAAGTCATGACCTACCGCTGGCCTGACCTGCAACCCGAGCGTCTGGTCCACTACTCCCGGAGGCTACTGCAGATGCCCACTCGTCACGATATTCTCCACCGCGCAGTTATCTACGAGGGTGACAGCACCCGACAAGGTTCAGCCAGCACCAAGTGGAGGGACGATGTGCACGGTAGTCACAGGAAGCTGTACGCGCAGAAGGGTTCTGGTCGTGCGCGTGCGGGTGATAAGATGTCGCCTGTTCGACGAGGTGGTGGTGTCGCTTTCGGACCTCATCCTCGCGATTTCTCGACCGATCTGCCACGAAAGATCTACGACCAGGCCTGGCGCATTGCCCTCAGCCACCGGCTATCACGCGGCGAATTGATTGTCGTTGATAACAGCATCGAGATGGATGAAGCTTCCAGCCCGTTCTTCATCAAAAATCTCATTCAAGCTCATGGCTGGTATCAGAAGGGCCGGTCTACATTCATCACATTGAAGCCGAATGAGATGCTCTCCGATGCGGTCGAAAAGTTCGGCAACCACGCACGAACAATCAGTGTTGAGGATTTGGATGTCAAGAACGTCTTGGAGACAGCAAGATTGGTCATTGAGAAGAATGCACTGCACAAGATCTTGCTTGCGCATACGACGGACTTGGCGAAGGTGGACACTCTCTTTTCGCCTTCAGTAGACGGAAAAAAGGTGTATCCGCTGGACTTTAGCCGGATGGCGTCTACATGGAAGAATGTTTAATTGCATCATTTTCTGTTTCTTCTTATTTTTGGCATTATCTAGCTATGTACAAATAGACCATGTATACTTCGAACGTTATCACTTCTCCGAGTCGGCCTGAGGGCTACAACATAGTAGTTTAGCAGCTTTTTCAATTAAATAACAGTCAAACTATTTATTTCCATTCGTACTTGAAAAAAAAAGTACATCAATTGGGGTATCCCCAAAATACCCAAGGCTGTCGGTTATGGGCGGAGAGTTGACCCTCGGAGCGGAGAGAAAATCCAGCGAAAAACTCCCGAGGTCAAGAAAGCGGAGAAAACACCTGATTGTCACCACATAACCCTCTTCCCCGGTTCTCGTCATATTCCAGTTCTAATGTTACTTCGACAATTCAATCGCGTCTCCTCGCCGAGCTGGATCTCGCGCGTTCCTGCAATGCCTCTACGCGCCAAGGTGACCAACCCTGCCTTTCGGGGAACAGCTATGGTATACACCCCGTTCGGAGAGAAGCCCGATATTCAATGCTTACTATCGCTAGATGTCGACCTCATCTGATATCCCCAAAGAGCTCCCCGGCGATGAGCGCGACGATGTCCTGTTCAACTCGATCTACGGCCTCCGCAGCGTTGAGCTCAACCGACCCAAGAAGCTCAACTCTCTCAACGGCTCGATGGCTCGCAAGATTCTCCCTCGATTGAAGGTTAGATTGGATACTCGGAACTTCAGAATATACAATACTAAGCGTTGGATAGGAATGGGAGAAATCTCACCTTGCAAACATGATCCTCATCTCCGGAGCTGGCACCAAGGCTCTCTGCGCTGGAGGCGACGTTGCTGCCCTGGCACTGCAAAATGAGAGTGGAGCGAAAGGACAACAAGCATCGACAGACTTCTTCGGACTCGAATACCGCCTCGACCACCTGATCGCTACATACTCGAAGCCCGTCATCTCATTTATGGACGGAATCACCATGGGTGGTGGTGTCGGCCTCAGCATGCACGCCCCCTTCCGAATTGCGACTGAGCGTACCTTGTTTGCTATGCCCGAAACAACCATTGGCTTCTTCCCCGACGTTGGCGGCTCGTTCTTCCTCCCCCGTCTCGATGGTGAGACCGGCACATACCTGGCTTTGACCTCGGAGCGCCTGAAGGGTGTCCAGGCTCTGTATGCAGGAATTGCTACACACTACCTGCACTCCAGCGTTTTGAGCAGCGTCGTGCAGCGTCTTTCCGAACTGACTTTCCCCGACCACGTCGAGCTTCCCGAGCGTTTGGAAATCGTCAACAAGACCATGGCTGAGTTCTCCCTTGGCCTCCCCCGCTCGATGAGGAGCCTATGCTCATGGCTGGTAGCCTGCGCACTGCGATTGACCGCTGCTTCAAATTCAACACCATGGAGGAGATCATCCAGGCTTTGGAGAAGGAGACCGAGCACAAGGAATGGGCACAAAAGACATTGGAGACTCTGTCAGGCCGCTCTCCCACTTCTCTGAAGGTGACTCTGCGCCAGATGCGTCTTGGCAAGAAGTGGTCCATCTCGGAGACCTTCCAGCGTGAGCACAAGGTCGCTGCAAACTTCATGCGCCACCCTGATTTCGTCGAGGGTGTCAAGGCCCGTCTGATGTCCAAGCCTGCCCGTCAACCCGAGTGGCAGCCCGCTACTCTCAAAGAGGTCTCGGATGAAACCGTGGATGGCTTCTTCAAGATCGCCGACCACGAGTCCCGCCTACCACTCCTGAGCAAGGGAGATTACGAAAACTACCCTCACGCCCACTTCGCTCTTCCCTCCGAGGAAGAGATTGAGAAGATTGTTCGCCAAGGCCACCCATCACGGAGACCCGTGATCGATTACTTCCTGCAGAAATACGCCCACCGCGAGGGTGTGCGCCGAAAGGTCGTCGAGGTGATTGCCCGCCGGACGACAACATCATCTCCCGAAGGACTCAAGTGGGTGAATTAGAGAGAGAGATACCGTCTATAGCTTGTAATTTTTATTGTTGTGTATTAGAATTTATTGGGAATTGGGCCCATATACCATATACTATTTATTGCATTTCCTGCAATTGTCTTCAAACACAAAAAGCACTGTAATATTTAGATCGACTCAATACAAATAGCACGCTAAAATTGGTCCAAGATACTCAGCCCACCCACGGCATTGTAAATCCCGCCCCAACATCCCAAAATCCATAACCCAGACCCCAGACCCCTGCACACCTGTAAAATCCCACGCTTCAATATGGTGCCTGAGAGCAGCTCCCCAGAACCTAGCCATCTCTTATCAGAAAACATCACCAATTCCTCCAACACTCATCTACTGGCATCGGCGAATGATACTTCCCGATCCCACAACAATACCCCAGCACCAGAAGCCCGCTCAGTACTAACACGTCTATACATCTCACACACACTCTCAGCATGGAACTCACGCATCTTCGAATTTGGCGCCGTGCTCTTCCTAGCGTCGATATTCCCGGGCACACTACTGTATGCTTCGATATACGCTCTCGTGCGGGCGTTTTCAACCGTCGCGCTATCGTCCTGGCTGGGTGCGCAAGTTGATAGCTCAGATCGGCTTGTGGTTGTGAGGCATTCGATTGGTATGTTGCGAACGTCTTTCACTTTGTTATCATGTTATCATTCCGGATCAATGGCTAATCGAATGAATAGTGTGGCAAAGACTCCCTGTCGGAGTGTCGTGCTTGTGCTTTATAGCGACTCTGTCTACGGACTCTTGGGCACTTACGATTGTCTTGTTCGTTATTCAGGGCTTGCTGGCTTGTATAGAGAAATTGGCCGCTACGGCTAATACAGTGGCCGTGGAACGGGACTGGGTATGTACGGGAATCGTATATGGATTGTTTGATTGATTCCACGCATCCGAAATACATTTTATTCTGAAGACACACCACTGATAATTCGACAGGCAATCGTGATCTCGGATAGTATCAATGTCCCTCGCCAAGGTAAGAAAGCCAAAGCGACCTAAATCTCTACAATATCTAACTTCAATCGAATAACAGACCTAAATGCCTCAATGAGACGAATCGATCTCATCTGCAAACTCCTAGCACCAGTATTCATCTCCTTGATCGACAGCATATCAACTCGATACGCAATCTGGACAGTCTTCACCCTAAACACCACATCCGTGCTGGTTGAATACATGGCCATTGCCCAGGTCTACCAATCAGTCCCAGCCTTGACCAAAACAAATCCTATACCACAAGCAGATGATATAAATAGCGAGAATGAGGGTGAGACCCCTCACCAACATCCATCTCACACACCCCTCTCCTTGCCAGACTCATCACTAGCACCCTGGAAAGAATACATAGCCAGCCCCGTCTTCCTACCATCCTTCGCCCTAAGCCTCCTCTACCTAACAGTCCTATCCTTCGGCGCAACAATGGTAACATACCTGCTCCACGCGGGTTTCACCTCACTACAGGTCAGTTACATGCGCATCGGCTCCGTAGCCGCCGAGCTATCCGGCACATGGACAGCGCCTATGATAATGAACCGGATCGGACCGATTCGGTCCGGGCTTTGGTTCCTCAATTGGCAATTTGTCTGTGTTTCCGGTGCAGCTGTGGCGTTCGTTGCTTGGGACTCGAGTTCGAGGTTCGTGGCGGGGACGCTGATTGCGGGTGTTGCTTTAAGTCGGGTTGGACTTTGGGGATTTGATTTGTCTGTTCAGTTTCTTGTTCAGGAGGTAAGTGGTTTCTTCTGGATTATTGGATTGTGTGGTCCCGTGTATACTGGGTTGCGTTTACTGATCGAATGGAACACTGTTATGTAGAATATCAACGAACATGCACGCGCCCGTTTCTCAGCGACTGAAATGGCCCTGCAGAATGTTTTCGAGATGCTTTCTTTTGCGTCGACGATTGCTTTCCCGTTGCCGGCTCAGTTCGGGTATCCCGTGATGATCAGTGCTGGTGCTGTGGCGGTTGCTGCTGTTTGTTTTGCGACGTATGTGCGCAAGGAACGGGGTCATCTACTTCATCGATCACGGTGTATGGGTGGTGATAAAGTGTTATATCGAGCGATTGGGTCTGGGGAAGTTTTGAGCGTTTGAAGTGGTTGTAAGTTCTTGTATCATAATTCATGAGAACATCTCTATACGATCGAGATCGTCAAAACCAACCAGAAAGCAAAGTCGCTAGATATATGAGTACAACGCCGAGCTATTAAAAAGCCATATATACATCGCGCCGAACATCAAATTATAATGAAAAAGTCTGAAAACAATTCCCGCCTCACACATTTCGAGTCTGCCCATGTGCGCGATACATCCTGTCGTCGAGTCATCTCATCCACGAGCACGAGGACCCTATCAGCAGTTGGGTGGCGAGTGACCGAAGGAGCCAAGTCAGCTTCGTGAGCCGCAGCCATACGCTGAATCTCGTGGACAATCCACTTGCGCTGGTCCTCTGTGCCCTCGAGCCCGGCAATGAACAGCGGCCACAGGAAGCTGACAGGCAGATGATCCGGGCCGGTCGAGTCAACTGCAGCCAGTTGAATAATCTGATCGACGGCGCCGTTGACGCGGTCTGTTCGTGGGTATATTGCAAATGCAACGCGATGCAAGTAGATAAAATTCGCTAAGAAATTGGCCACGTATTGTCTGAATGTGCGGCAGATTTCCAATGCCACAGGCGCGCACAGGATATCTGTTAGTGCTTCTGGTCGTCCGTAGACGTCTATTACAGAGGGACGTCTGTGCCAGAGTGTTTCGAGGTCTGCGCCGACTTTGTGAGCGAGCTGGAGGACTTCGAATTCGTCTGTGAGGGTTCCGCGGCTGCGGTGGTGGAGGTCTATGCAGACTATTCGTCGGACGACTTGTTGAGCTTGTACGAAGAATCGGAATGCCGGGCCGACGATTGATTCGTAGACGAGGTAGCTGGGACTGCGGAATGGGTCTTCGATGTTGTCTTCTTCTTTGTAGGTATCTGTTGGCGCAGTTGGGTGTGGTTGGGAAATTTGTATATCTATTGGTTTCAGTGGTATGCTATGTTCTGGGATGGTACCGAGGTCAGCGAGAGGATCGCCATCTCGGCCTGCAATCAGGGATTTGACATCTAGCAGCGAGACCCATGACACCAGGAGGTGACCGAGACCGGTCCAATGTCGAGTGCGATCATGGAATCGGTGTAGAATGAGGTACCCTGAGTGAATATAAGAAGTTCCCGTGCATATTTCGGGAGATGAGAGGATCTGGGACGATATGAGCCAAATCTGCTCGGTCTTGGAACCAAGCAGGACATACCTCGGATATCATTAACAGAAAAATAGAACCAAAAACTTTGATGAGTGTGGAATCGGTCACCTCGCCATGAATACAAGCTTGGATCTCCGAACTGGACACTCTATAGAAAGTAGGCGCCCAGTGCCATCGTTTCCCTTCCATCATCGCTTTATGGACATCTGCATAGCAGTACAATGCATTCAAAAGCGGACCAGAATCTCGTGCATGGGCCAGCAGCGCTGGCCGCATATACTTCCACTCGATGTTTACCGGCGCGAAAAGAGTAGCCGGTGGGTCAATAGTCAGAAAGTGCTGTAGCAGCTGGTCCTCATACGAAGTACCGCCTGCGTCGGAAGCGCTGCCAATCGAGGTCCCATCAATAAGTGAACATGAAGTATCTGGGGTAAGTGGAATCCGACGGTCCGCTGAAAAAAGCCCTTCATCCATGCCTGGTATGAATGTCGCGGGTAGCGACTGCGACGCCGGACTAGCGGTGAACGCCATCGCAATCCCAGTCGTCAAATCCAGGTGTTTTTGTTTCTGTTCCAGCTCCGACGTGATCCCTCCCATAAATCCCAGCATGTCGAACTCGGAAGGATAAGAGTCTTGGTCTGTCGGGAGCTGCCGAAGTGTGGTTGTCGGTGCTGGTATTTTGTGGCCGTCTGCGCGGAGTACGGTACTAAAGAAGTTGATGTCGGGAGAGCGGGATGAAGTTGTGACTGTAGCGGATGAGCTCGAACCCTCTAACGTGGATGTGTTACTCGGCGATGCAGCTGTATCGTTTGGGCGAGTTGGTGAGGAACCCCACCCGGCGCCGGGTGCGATAGGGGGTTTGTAGTGACATCGTAGACGGAGTCGGTCGCAATTGGAGCAGCTTGGTTTCGTTTCGTCGCACCGGACCTTACGGGCCCTGCATGTTAGGCACCCTGTCCGTCGACGCGGGCCCGACCTGCCAGCTCCCCGGGCTTTTGGCACCTGAGAAATCACGTTAGTCTCAGGAATAGGAAGATTTGAGGAATATTCCTACCTCCATGAGTACGTTTAAACCCAAAGCATACTACAGAGTATAGTCTATCTAGACTGTATTAGTTGCAATGAAATTCGAGAGTGGTTTCCCCGCAATGGCGCCGGTTCTCGGGAGTTGACGATCGTGAGATTGAATTGAGAACATTCACATTAAAAAGAATAAGTCAAATTTAAAGGCTTTTCTTCTGATTACGATATTAATCTACACTTATGATTGGCGATCTACACAGAACTACCTCTCTGGGTCAATATATAAAATATGATATATAGTATTTTTAGGTCTAAAAAGATCATCAGCTCATAAATTAGGTCAATCTAAATAGGCGCAACAACCGCAAAATATGTAAGGCAACAATAGGGCATTTTCTTGTAGAAGTCCAATAACCCAGAAAAGAAAAGCATCTGTCGCTTCTGACTGGAATTAGCTATGATGATGTATTTGAAATGAATAGGATAGATTCAATCGGATATTGATCGACAGATAATTTGCTATATCCATACTAACCCTATTTCAAGCCTCTATATATTGAGGGATTGGGCTTCAATCAACCCACTAAACCCCCTTCTTAGGCATCTTTGCCTTGGGATTATTGACATTTTGGTATATGGGGACTGGGCTGGGGATGTTATTGTGTTATATTCTCTAGAATGATGTGTGGTGAATTTTACCCCGCGGTTACTCAAAGCTGCATATTCTGAGAGTCATTTCCTATTTCCTGTTTGGATTCCTAACACCTCCCTTCGGTTAGAAAGGCTTCACAGTCCGTTGAAACCTCGGCGGCTGACGAGTAAACTTCTCTGGCTCATCTCTCGCCCCTTCTTTCCAATAATCAAACTCCATCCACGCATTCTCAGGCATCTGCGCCTCAGTCGCCTCCAAAAACTCCCCAAGATCAGGACAAAGCGGCACAACACCCGTCTCAAGAACATACTGATCCCATAGCTTAAGTAACTGCTTCATCTTCTCCGGTTCGGTCTCGGACAGATCGTGAATCTCCCCGGGATCCTCCACGAGATTATACAACTGCCACTTCTCGGGTCCTTTAGGCTTGGGAATAAAAACGATCTTCCAGTCCGCACAACGCAACGCAGCCCGTCCACACGTCTCCCAGCCCTGAATAAACTCAACCGGGTGGATTCGCTCTGCTGCGCCTACAGCCCAGGGGTGGAAACTTCGACCACGCATCTCGACAACCTCACGACCCTGGTACATCGGCGCCGGGTGTTTAATCCCCGCCATATCGAGGATCGACGGGGCGAGGTCCATAACCGTGGCGAACTGATCCGTGATCCCGCCCTTACCGGCTGCAACATCTGCAGGGTTGATATCAAAGTTCTTCGGGAACCGACAGGTAAATGGAACACGCACACCACCCTCAGTGGTATACGCCTTATACAGTCTCGAGGGCGCAGTAGCAGCCTGCGCCCAGCGTGGACCATACCAGATAAACGAGTTCCCGTTCCCGAGGTTCTCAAGACTGTTATCGTAGTATTTCTGCAGATGCGGCATGACGCCGTTCTTAACCATCGGATAGGCTTCGTAGGCAGCGCCCTCGGCTCCATTATCAGACATGAAGCAGACAAATGTGTTATCCAGCTCGTCGATAGACCGCAGGTACTCAACTACCTTCCCGACATTCGAATCAATGCACTCAACCATCCCGGCGAAAACCTCCATCGCAACGGCGGACTTCTTCTTCTCCTCGTCGCTGTACTCCTCCCACGCCTTGACTTCCTCCGCTTGCACGGGATGCGGCTCGACGTCCTCGCGCACCATCCCTAGCTCCTTTAGACGCTGGAGTCGCTTTTCGCGGAGCACGTCCGGACCGGAGTCGTACACACCGCGGTAGTGGTCGATATACTCGCGCGGAGCTTGTAGCGGCCAGTGCGGCGCTGTGAAAGGGAGGTATGCGAAGAACGGTCGGTCTCCGTCTCCATCTGGGCCTTCGCTACCACCGCTATCTTTCCATTCTTTCAGGTAAGACACCATCTTATCACCGTACCCGTCGGACGAGTACCAATCCTCCGGGATCCGACGCACATACTCTCCATCCTCCATGTGCAGAGCGATATAGCTCGCCTCAATGAAAGTCGGGAGGTGGTCTTCATCTTTCAACTCCGGCTCGAAGGCATAGTGATTTGAGCAGGCGGGTAAATGCGCGAACGAGCGCTCAAAACCACGCTTGTGCGGTGATCGCTCTGGTGTCAAACCCAAGTGCCACTTCCCCGACATCACGGTATGATACCCCCCATCACGCAGTATCTCCGGGAGTGCCACGACCCGCTCATTGAGGTATCCCTCGTACCCGGGCATTCCGCGCTGCGGAGCGGTACTCATCTTTGATCCTTTCGGACCGTTCTGGCCGGAGATGTTGGTCCATTCGATTAAGTTTCCTAGACCGGCGATGTGGTGGTCTGTTCCCGTCATGATCATGGCGCGCGTGGGACTGGTTCTTGTGAGTTCGATGTTTGATTAAGAGCTGACTTGGGAGAATTGAGACTTACGAGCATGCTGCTGCTGCGTGGAAATCGGTGAATCGGAGTCCTTCTTTGGCGATTTGGTCGATGTTAGGCGTGCGGATTTCTCCGCCGAAACAGCCTACATCGGAGAAACCGAGGTCGTCGGCGACTATGACGAGGAAATTGGGGCGTTTGGTTGTCATTGTTTACAATGATGAATGAATTGAGGAAGTGAGGGGGAGGTGATGTTGGTATGTATTAGATCTGGTAGATCTCGCAGATCTGACCTACAAGCATACAAAGTACGAGGGTCGCCAATCGGCCATCGGCCGTCGGCACGTAATGCGGAGTGTATCCACCAGGGGCTAAGAGAGAATAGGCCAATGACATTAGAATCACGCAATATAATTGAAGTATATCAAATGTCAGACTCTTATACTTCTAGTTATAGGTTATAGTTCTTAAGCTTGTTGGGATGGGGTACATTCTTGCTCTTTGGCTGCTGGATGTGGTAATTGTGGGCTCTACTTCTGTCTGAAGGAGACTTGCCGTCTCTCGAGATTAATTGGATGTTCGATGGGGTTGATGCAGCTGGGCGTGTGAAGGATCCTGCTCTGGACGCTGCATCGGATTGCGCATGTCGAGTCGACCGCTGGACGGTCATAACTTTGCTCTATATAGTTCCCTCCCTACTAAAAACCATATCGATAGAAACAATTCATTTCCACCTGCCATGTTATTCATATAGAAAATACATCATAGGCGAATGCCCACAGCAACAATCCACTAGCCAATCGCCTTCAAGGCAGCTAGAATCGACAAAAACACAATACCGAATATCACAAACAGCTTGATCCGTTTACTCAAGGAATCAAAACGCCAGACACCCTCCAGTTCCCACTGGATCGCAATTCAATTCAAAAAATCCAACGCCAGACAGACCTGCTGCCCCATTACCTCCACATAAAAAAGTCGTTATCACATAACATCCCACTGTTCACTCACACATTGATCAAATCATCAAAGGATGTATCCTCCGCCGAAAACGAATAAGATCCTTCAGAGACAAGCGAAGCCTCCGACTCGCGTCGGATCTGTTGTTCGAACGCCTCGGCCGCTGCCGCCGCCGCCGGTTCGAGCTGTAGAGGATCATCGAAGCCGAACGACATCGATGTCGGCGCGGGCGCAGTTACAGGCACGGAAGTCGTCACCGGGGGAGCTGGGGTTGGTTCGAGCGGGGAGACGGAGGGATGATCTTGGATTCTGACGGGTGATTCCTCCATTCCAGACGGGGCACCATCTTTATCGGTAATTTTCTTTACCATTTGCGCGAGATGAAGTTTAATAGGTTCATCACCACACTGAGCATGTTTGAGGACCTCATTCTTCAACCCGAGGATCTCAGAGCGCAATCGTGCAATTTCCGCAACAAGCTGTTCCCTTTTCTCGGACTGTTCCTTGAAATTGAATTCCAGCTGCTGAGTATGTTCTTTCTTTTTCTGACGACACTTGCTGGCCGCAAGACGATTTCGCTCAAGGAATTTAGCCCTTTTGGCGCGTTCGTGCGGGGCATCGTCAAGGTCCGGGCTGAGGCTAGCGGCGGCGGTTTTGTATTCGCGCACGCGCCTTCGTTTGCTTGCGCTTTCCATCATGTCTAGAGAGAGATGGTCACGGCCATCGTCGTAAGGGGGTGGAGTTGGTTGGCCATTTCGGACTTGGGCGTTTTTGAGGTCTCGTTCGAGTGCGGAATTGGCAAATGCCGAGTCTTTGTCCCAGCCCGCCATTGATGAGACGGGGCTTAGACCCCAGAGTTGGTCGTCTTCTGGTATTGGGAGGCCTAGGAAATCACCTGAGAAGGAAGATGTGAATGGGGATGGACCGAAATTGATATCTGTTAGGCCTGGGGGTAACCCTGATGGTAGGCCCGATGGCATTGCAGATTTGAGGTTAGACATGTCACGGTAGAGAAGCTTTAGAGAGAAAGTTTTTCCGTTTCCTTTCTGAGAAAGAAGGAAGTTAAGAAAAGCTCTTGCCCTAATAACCCTAGAGAAAGTCTCTTGAAGTTTGGAAGCTTTCGTCGGTGCCTGAAGATGTGAAGGTCCAGGTGCGGTCGACCTGTTTGAAGCCACGGTCGGACAAGACTTCCGTCCAGAAGATCCGAACAAATGGATGTTGTTTAGTGTCACTAAGAGGGAGAGAGAGGAATGTAAAGGAGAGAAAATGAATGATTGGTTTTTTAATACCTCCCCCCCTCCCCCTTTCAGACTTAGACCAATAAATCCAACTCCGCCTAAACAATAAAAGTCCATTAAAAAAAAAAAACAAAGGTCGAAACAAAAAGAATGGTATCCAACAGGATTCAAAGCCGTCAAGGAAAACCCTGGAAAAAACAGGGTTGGGACAGAATTCCCTGGAAGTATACAGCTTCTAGAATAGTCCAATCACAGTCTTTACCTATTCTCGGCCCACCACATACCGTCCACTTGTCCAATGTCGCAGCTGTCGATGCACAAAGTGCCAATTATTGAGCATCAGCCCTGCCACGCGTTGATCATCAATCTCTTGTTCCACCTCGGTCCCATCTCGGTCTTGCTTAGATCCGAGGAGGAGCGGTCCAAACACCCGCACCAACTCGTGGAAGTTCGGACTCGCCACTGGATCACGGAGCTCCATCCCGGGCTGCTCCTGGGTCTCCGCAGTCACCAGTAAGGAAAGTAGTCCAAATACCGCACAGATAAGGTCCCGTTGCATCTCCGTCACAAGGGCAATGAGCGCAAGGCACATAAGCTGCACTCGGGCGGCAGTCGTTGGGCTCGCCTCAGAGATACAATCGGGCACACGGAGAGGATAGCATTTATCTGGTATCGAGTGGTAGTACATCGCCCTTAAAACCTGGTAGAGCCGGACACTCCCGAGGATCCCGTTTGGAAGCCCCGCCAATACGGCCTTCAAGGCCCAGGCCACACTCAGCACGGGCGCCGAATCTTCACGGAGCTGCGGCATGGCAACCACCCGCATGGTAAGGGAGATCTTAGACTCATCTTTCTCCGCTTCCAGCACTTGGCTGGCAAAGTGATCATATAAACGAATGGCGGCTTTCAGATCGCCGGACTGGATGAAGATCTCGGGAGTGTCAAGACCTGCAGGAACCCGAGTCAGTCACGTCATGACGTAAAAAAAGAAACCCCGCCACCAACCATATTTGTGCAGAAACATCAGCGTTGCTACAATGTACGCGGGTAGCTGCGCGGGACAGGGGGCCAATTCCGTCAGCATAAGATAGCCGTGTCCTCCAAGACGAGCCAAAGTCTCGATCGATCTTCCTTGCAACGAAGTCATCGGATCGGGACGGCGCAGATTGGCAAAAGTCTTCATTCGTCGCAGCTTAGGAACTGGTGCCAAAGGAGGTGTGTCGGGAGCCAAGTTGGATCGCACCTTGCGAACTTTGCCCAACAACCCAACTCGACGACGATTCGCGCCTTGTTCCTCGACATTGCCCGCTGCTAGAATCTAGTCAGAGGCAATTCAAGCAAAAGCAAAGGCAGACGTACGTGGAGAATCACCAACTGGAATCGCAATCGGGATACCAAACTGAGACGCCATCTGATTGAAGGCCGAGATAGCCTTTGGCGAGTCAAGTGTGCTAGTCCAACTTGTTTGGCTCGTCGCCGAGCTTGCCCGATGAGAGCCCGCACCTTCGGGCCGGGCTGGCTCAATAACTGGTTCGATTGTGTCGAAATCAGTTTCAGCGATAGGCTCCAGTGTTCCTTCAGAAGTCCTCGATTCCTCTCGGCTCGTGCCTGCACTATGCCTCGAGGATCCCACCTTTTCTTGTCGGTCGGTGGCCTTCCCATCTGAGAATGGGTCCGAGCCCTCATGTGAATGATTGTTGTTGCTACTTTCAGCGTCATATAGCATCAGTCCGGGCCATCCCCACTCCTCCAAAGGTTCTTGAATAGGCATCACGATATGCCGGGCCGGGTCTCGGCAAACAGTATCCTCAGTCTGGCTGGACTCTTGAGAAAGGGTCGTCTGAGCGCTGACCTTCCTTCTTTCCTTCGGTTTATCGAATCTGACAGACTTGCCAGCGGATGTCTCCGCGGCATCTGGCTCAAATGGATTGGAGGACAACGGTATGGAGCTCGGTCTCTCTTGACGGGTACCCTCCTGTGCGGTTTGAGGCTGTGTGTCTGTGATGGGGTCATCTTCCTGAGATAAGCTGCCACGCAAGCGAGCATACATTTTCCTCAGACGCCTGGTGCCATTCTTGGACCGAGGAAGCTCGCCAGTGTCTTGGGTATCTTGGACGTTCGATCCAGGTTCAGCATTGTCAACAGAGGCTACTGCGGCCGAGTAAGGTGGTTTGTTCGCGTCAGCGCTAGCAGGTCCAACTTCAGTCAGGTCATGGCGTTGTAGTTCATTCGAGGCGGTTTCTGGCTGGGTCTTCAATGTGTCTCCCTCGGACGCTGGATGCCGTCGTGGCCAAATATTACGAGATGTAGCAGGGTTAGGTGGATCAGATCTGGACCGGAACACAGTTTTGAGACGCCGCATGATTACGTTTGGATAATGTATACGAGAGGAAGAGATGGTGATGAAGTAAGGACAAGGACGGGGCTCGTGTTGTGACTTGGCCAACCTTGGCCTTATGGAAGGAGCTGGGATGAGGAAGCTACGTCTGCCTTCCTTGGACTAAAAGACCAAATATAGAACTCAAGACCCCTAGACAATTTGTCTGGATTAAGTCAATATCAAAATGACATGGGTATCAAAGAAGACTAAGATAATGCTTCAAATTGACATTCAAATCTTCCTCTATTTCTGTGGGCAATAAAAAAACAAAGCCGGTTTTGAAAACCATGTCATTACCTCTGTACATTCGTAAAGCCCAAAAAAATAACCCAGAACAGTCATAGCCTCGCCGGGCCCATGTGTTCCCAAGCAATGTTATTGTCTTTCGAGGTTTCCCTCAGGGCAAGGGCAGATCAAAACGCCGGAACCATGCAAAAAGGAATATGTATGAGAAAAATCACGAATTCCAACTCGAAGCCGATCATGCTTCCTCATTCTCCCCCTCAAGAAGAATGTAGTGCAAGATATCACTCAGAGTCAGAACGCCCTTGAGCTTGAAGTGCTCATCCACGACGACGAGACGGTGCACTCGGGATTTGCGGATAGTATCAAAGATAGTATCCAGACCATCATTCAATGAACATGTGTAGATACCCGGGAAACCCTGCGCAGAACGGTAAGCATCATAACTGATATCATCAGTCATGGGAATCACATACCGGAGAACGTTTCTTCAAAGCTTCTCCAACCGTGAGACTCAAATCATCGTAGAAACCACCCTTAATCAAAGTAATAACATCGACCGACTCGAACACATTATAAACCACGCCTTCCGAGTTCACAATTGGCACACTGGATATGCTGCGCTCGACCAAAATATGGATAACATCAATGACGGGGGTATCCATCGAAGCCGTGGCAACGTTATCGTAAGATCCAAGCAAAAGCTCCCCCAGCGGACGACGCAGCTGCTGCGTATCGGGGACATTGACAGCGACGAATTTCAAGATCCGGTATTGCGTAATGACGCTAAGAACGTGGGGCCGATCGGTCTGGCTATCGCTGGTGACGAGGGGAATACGGCGAGCGCGCGATTCCAACATGCGCCGACAGGCATCGTAAAGAGGGCGCTCCGGGTCGATGGAGACGGTCTCCGGCGGCGCCACGCCTAGCGCTTTTTCAACATCTGTATATTCCCGTTAGCTGCGGGGTGTACCTGCAGGAATGCGACACGGAGGGGGCCCAACGCACCTCGCAAACTGTCCAAGCGGAATTGATCGATCTGGTCCAGTGCGGCGGGGTTCTGGAAATAGTATTGGATGACATTGATGTAGTCGGAGGTGGTCAGAAGACCTGCGAATTTGGACGCTTTAGAGTCCCACAACGGAGCTGAAACGATGCCTGTACCTCCCGATTCCCGGGTTCTCAGTCAGTTGGGGGATGTTCGGGAATTTTGTAGCAAAAGGAGGTGGAATCGCAACGTACCGTTTTGAATCAGAATGTTCAGACTCTCCTTGACGGAAAGCGAGGTATCGAAGATGATGAGTCGGAAGCTGAGGGGCAGGACATCGTAGGAGTTTCGGGCCTTGAGGAAATCGCGAATGGCACGCTGTTTGCGTTAGTCAAGATCTGGATATTCCGCCTGGTGACTCCATGCAACACGTTCACAATTCCCATGTCCAACGTCAGATATAAAGAGGGGTTCTTTTCCCCTTGAAAAAGCAAAAGTGAAAAGACTTACAAGGCCCAGTCGCTCTTCCCGATCGATCGCTCGCTCGGAGGCCATTGGGGGGGGCGTAGGTACGAGGATGGGCTGCACGAAAGGCGCGTGACCAGAGATGAAGGTCCCGACGAGGGTCTTCCGCCTTTCGATATGTGGGGGGTGGATATCCTACGCAATCGGAAATTAATAGGAGATGAAAATAATGGAATTTAATTTTTTTCCCTTTCTTTATCAGATTATCACATTCAATTTATTATTTCGAATGGGGGGCGCTGCAAGTACGCGGGCTATACGGGAATATTCGAATGATCCTTGTTCAATATGTAACTATACGACATATATACCCGTGACACCTGGTTCCTCAGGCATGAATATAATTAGGAAGAGTTGGGGCAACTGATTTCCGGATATAAACCACAATATCACAGAAAATATCCTCATCAGGGCCAAACTCATGCAGCTCATAACCCTCCAGCATTGCTCTGACCCGTGGAGAGTCAGGATCCGTGCTAATGAGGTTAGCACATGGAACAGAGGGGAGAGGACCTGATACTCACTACCCCTGACCAAGTCCATCGCAGAATTCCACTCGACCCCAGATAATAACTGCAGGTCGAGCAATGTCGGTAATAATCTCCTTCACAGGCACATTCGGTGCTATGGAGAGTATGACCGAGTGATCGTCCACCTCGAGCCAACCACGCGGATCATCAATCACCTCGATACCTTCTTCGTCCAGAATCTTCTTATCCACCTCGCTGTAAGCTGGGTCTTGTGAGTAGCATAAGACTTTCTCTTTCTGATCTCTTTCTTTTAGCCATTCTATCACGGTAACGAGGAGCGCATGCTGAAGTGCAGAGGACCACCCAGCGCGAGTGTATAGACTACCGTCCTCATTGAAACGTTGGTTGGACATCGTTCCAAGAGCAAACGCGACAATCTTGTTAATTTCATGGTCCTTTGCCGAAGATAACAGAACTGTCTTGAGGTTTTCGCAGGCTGGGCTCTCTTTCCATTCTTGGGTCTTGTCATGGAACATTTTTGCGACAAATTCACGGTCCAGGGGTCCACGCCGTGGAACAATTTTCTCAAGCTTGCTATCCCATTCGTGTGTTTGATGCATGACATTGACTGAGCAGGGCTCCCAGTGCGATAAATCATATTCTCTCCGGTCAAGGTCGTTTCTGAGAGATGCTCGACACTGATAATCGAGGACCAGTTCCTTGCTGGGTGATATCAGTTCTCATCATAGCACACATGTACCTATTAACGGCATGTACTCACCACACATATTCCAATTCCGTATCATCATCTAACACCCATGGCTGAACCTTTCCCGTGTCCACCTCGTACTCAACAATCGCGCCGGTTATGTCTTTCGTGAGTATTGTGTCGCCTTGCGATAGGTCTCGCTTGGTCTGGTCCCACATATCTTGGATTAACTCTTTGGTGAAAAATGGCACACCAGACTCGTAGAGTCTATCGATTGTTGCCTTTGCCTCCTCCGAAGTTAGTGTCTCCCTGGGTTTGGCCAGGCGACAAGTAGTGTATGCGTAGTCAAGGTCCAACCGCGAAATTCGTTCCGCCATGGGCTCTGAATTGTTTATGTCGCCCATTTTGGCGATATGAGGGTCAAAATTAGAAAATAAAGTAGTTTGTTTTGGGGCAGTGCATGTAATATAGCTATGGCGGCTGAGCCAGCGCATCCATCTCACTCTCACATGTGCGGGGCACGTCTACTCGATCAACAGGAATCAAAATATCTATTACTGGGATTTGCTGTACAGATTATAAGATAATATTACTAGCTGAGTGTAGAGCGCTTAAAGAAATAGCATTTTTCCATATTCCCCAACTATAAGAAAATCCGCCCAGAATATCTAGAGAGCCCATAAGGTATCCCGAGTCCCTGGCTGTGACAACCTTCTCCTTCCGGATATAGATCATAGCATCCTGGAAATTCTCCGCATCTCCAAGTCTATGCATGTCGTAGTCCTCATCCACCATGTCCCTAATACGGGAAGTATCACGGTTAACCCTAGTGAGCATGTTAGCTTTGGAACCGAGAGAATGCACGTCAAAACGTCCAAGAAAACACTCACATGTTCGAATTAGCTTGAACAGCAGCCCAGATCATAATAGCGGGTCTAGCAATATTCTCGATGATTTGCTCGGTAGGCACATTAGGTGCTATAGATACCACAACTGACTGTTCATTGACCATGTCCCAGCCGACAGGATCATCAATCATGTCAAATTCGAGCTCGGCAAGAATTTCTTTATCGGCCGAGGTGTTAATCACATCCTGGACGTAGCAGGAGAGCGTCTTGCCTGGGCCGTTCTTTTTCAGCCAGTCCTTCAGGGTAAGAAGGAGCGCGTGCTGGAAGTCAGTCTGAGGGTTATATGGTCGTGACAGGCTACCACAGGCAACTCCAACAATGTTGCTGATCTCATGACCGCTAGCGTTTTCAGACAAAATTGTTTTGAAGTTCTGGCAGGTTTCGCTTGCCTCCCAGGACCGTCTCTTCTCTTTGAACTCCCGAACCATAGTCTCAGGGTCGCGTTCGCCGCTCAAGACCTGATACCTGCTGTAAAAGACTTCTAGAGGGGAGAAAGCCAGAATTCCAACTTTCTGATCCCAGTCGATATTCAACTTGAGTTGTTGTGCGCCTCTGTATGCTATGCTAAGTGTAAAGCTAGATAAGATTAGCTCTAATTGTAATAAAGCTGCCAGTGGTTATGTTCAGCATGAGGTGTACGTCTTACCCGGCAAGCTTTCCTTCAGCCTTTGGTACCACACCTTCGATTATATCACCATTCAGGTCTTCGAGTGTGAATTTACCTCCCGCGGCGGGTAAACTCTTCAACTGCCTCCCGAGGCCTCGAATCCTTTCTTTCGTGAAAAAGGGTATGCCGGACTCATACCAGGCATCGATATGCGCTTTTGCATCCTTCCTTGCCTGTGTTTTGCTAGAAGTACCTGACTGGAGGTGATACTCCAACGGCTTCAGGTGCATGAAATCCATGTAACCCATGATGCTTTGTGTTGAACTAAGTCTTGAGAAATTGGAATCTGGGTTGAATGTCGAGAATGAGCTGGGTATTTAGCTCTATTTATACACCCCCGAGGACTATTTTCAGAAGGGTCATGCCATTAACATCTAACAGGAGTCAGTGCATCACATCTTTTATCACATCTGCGTGGCTGGTTCTCATCCATTTGATCAACACTCTATACCCCTGTTTCAGTTATTCCTGTTTCCCTTGTTGGTTGGACTATAACTTGCGAGATATGACTTTGTAACCTGCGCTACGCGCCTAGGGGTATATTATAGGAAATATATAGGCTGTGATGCTGAACGTTGGAAGGAATGGGCGAATGAATGGAGAAAATAGAAGAAGCGACCCTGATGAGCTGGCGAGAGCCATCCACTGTTTTCTTGCCTTATAATAGCCTAGGCCATATATACAGGGCCATTCACGCAAGGGCAACACGAAAAGGTTGACACGATGTTGACATGCAAAGATTATTGGACTGTACTGCTCAGCGGCTATTTTCAATCGACCTGTTGGACAACGTATTGAACTACTATTGGAAGAAGTTGTTGACGAGAAAAGATGAAACCATTAGGGACAAGACCTGAATGGTGAAACTATCTAAACTATATAAACTATATATTATAGTGAGCACCTACTATTAATAGGCCTGTAAGGGTATGAATCCTGAAGTATTAGGCTAACAGGGCAGGGCAAAAACAAGGCTGTCAAAGTGTAGTGAATCGAGGCCAACTCATGGCAGTATAGTATGTGGTCCGATTATATGTGCGAGAACAAAAGAAGCCCAGCAACCGTTCTGTTGACAAAGCAAAGAGAGAAAAGCAACGAACAAAACTATCATATGGCTCTAAAAGATACTGCCATATGTACCTTTTGTATGGACATGACATATAAAAGATACCAACCCTTCTGGGTAATTTCTGTATGGGAATACGGTAGGACGACTACTATGTACATATGTACATAGTACTAGTAGTAGATGTAGTACTCCGTAGTTGGTGTTGATCTCTCGTATTGCAGATACCCTTTACCAAAAACGGTTAGATGTACATACCCGGGGGCTGGGGAAGATACCTGGAGCTCTTTTCTCTCTCTACAAATGTCTCCTTCTCATGGTCTTTGCACTTCTTGAATTGAATTAATATGGTCAACCTTCGTATCTTCACCTCTCTCACATATTTGACGCAAGTCGCTTTTCTAGGCAATGCGCAAACTCAGCTTAAGGACATTGTTCCTGAGCGTGAGATTCTCTACGTTGGCGGACAATACACGAATATCACAGCAAGTCTAGATACCCGCTAGCTCTACGCGTATCTAAGACTGAGAAGAAAAAAAAGGACAATGCAACCAATTCTACATCAGTGGCTATGATAGGGCAAATTTACGTCGAGAAGCTTTCCCCTAACCCAAACCCGGCGAACCCACCACTTCCCATTATCTTCATTGCAGGCGCCGCTCAGACCGGTACCAATTTCCTTGATACTCCAGACGGACGGCCAGGATGGGCATCCTATTTTATCTCCAAAGGTCACACAGTCTACCTCTCAGACCAGCCTGCACGCGGCCGCTCCTTCTGGTTTCCCGAACAGGGAAGTATCGGGTACATTGGCTCCCCCGATGCTGTCTCTGATATTTTCACCGACATAGCAAACAACGGCCAATGGCCGCAGGCGAAGCTTCATACGCAATGGCCTGGCACCGGTCGCATGGGCGATCCAACTTTCGACGCTTTCTACAGGAGCCAGGTGCAGTTCCAGACCGACCGCTTCATAAGCGAAGAACAAAATGCGCAGGCATACTCAGCTCTAGTCGACCTCGTAGGCGACTGTTATATCATCAGTCACTCGCAGGCGGGTGCATACGGTATCTTCAGGCAAACACTATGAATCGCTAGATTTATTAACGATTGAATAGGCTGGAGGGTCGGAGACATGCGTCCAGAACTAGTCAAGGGTATTGTCCAGCTCGAGCCATCTGGTCCACCGTTCACGCTCCGTCCGCCGTTTGGAAATGACCCAGCTTTCGCTTTCGGTCTCACCGACCTCGCAATCGGATACGAACCGTCTGCAGGCAAGAATGCCGAAAATATTGAGACAACCATCGAGCCAGCAACCGACACCGATCATGACGAGTGCATCATGCAGAAGTCCCCAGCGAAGCAGTTGACGAACCTGGGCAAAATCCCAGAACTTGTTGTTACTGGCGAAGCATCGTTCCATGCGCCGTACGATTACTGCACTGTCAAGTATCTGGAGCAAGTTGGCGTGGACGTTGAGTACGCGGATCTAGGCAAGGAGGGCATTCATGGCAACGGACACATGTTCTTCATGGAGAAGAACAACCTTGAGATCGCGGACCGGGTGTACCAGTGGCTGGAAAAGCACTAATCAATGAATCATTGACATTTGCTTCAGTTCGCAATGCTCGACTCGCTATTGCTGGAAGTATGTCTGAGCCTATATATGAGGCTGAGGAAGCGACTATAGAAACCCTTCCGACTCCAGACGACATGCGTGGGTCATATCAACTTGTGAAACAGAGAGGGAAGGAGGGTCCTACAACCTATAACGATGTGGTTAGCGCGGAGAAGAAGCAGAAGAAGAGGAAGAGGAAAAGAAACGACATCTCGAGTTTGATGGATCAGTCCCCGGAGCGTCTATGCGTGATGGAAATGGGGCGGCCAAGGAGAAGGCTCTCCGGGAATTACTTTTGTCAGAAGATCGAGCAACTATAGGACATGGATCATTGAGATTGATAATCATCTGTTTTCATGGCAATAAACCCCTCCAATTAATTTATTAAACCTAGGACCACGTCCCACTTCAGACAAATCGGTAGGTATTGCCCGTTATTAAGGTAGACTTACGCCAGAGCCCCGGTGTTCGAGTCAACCGGCGCGTTGATATCCCATCCTGTTGGTAAGGATGACTTCCAAAGTTTGGTATGACGCGTTCATGGTGGCTTTCAGAACGAGTTGCGAACTCAAAGCCACATGGTTTTGGAGGAAACATTCGACTAGTTGGTACAAATTCTTCTCTGCCGCCTCAAGTAGAGGCACCATTTTTGCTTGGAAAGTCTCGTCATCGAGACTGTATCGCAATTCGGAAAGTGTAGAGCAGATTTCATCCATATTGCTGGACGAGATATCCGCCCGAAGTCGAGCCATTTGGTCAACTGCGATGAGGTCAAAGTCAGACATATTCTAGTAACGTTGGATAGGCATGAGAAATCAGTATGGAATACACAGAACTTGGGAAATCAAGCGCTCCTTATGGTCTACTTGACACAATCGGTCCGGAATAACATGGCCTCAGACTTGCAAACATGTCGCATTTTATTGATGTAGTTTATTGATGTAGTTTACTTCAATCAACCTCTCTGGTCCTACTGTGTGAGCGAATTAGGTCGCTCCTATGATGATCAGTGAATGGATCAGATTGCTCTGTGATAGTCAGATGATGCGGGAAAGGTCTCGAGTGCCAGGCATTATCCAGTATGTATGTATGTAAATATCTCGAGGCAAAAAAAGTAAAGCACTAACCCAAAGAAACCCATCCAACGCCGCAGCCATGCAAGGTATCATCGCAAAGCACATTTTTTTCCAAATTCCAGACCAGCCAGAACCTGGTCTCTTGGGAGGTAAATACATGAGAGAGTTGTAAGAGACGAATCAAAGCTCAGACTAAATATCTGCAGTCTGTAGCCGGGCCTAGATGTGCCCGTGTAACTTGAATCGGTAGATGCATGTGTGGTTAGCACCCCAATTTGAAGTCACTCTGAAGACAACCTTATCCACACGGATAGTCGACACGTCGACGATGGTGTTGAGCTTGAATGTTTGCACGTAGTCTGGGCTGTGGAGGTTGTATTCAACTTTCCCGATGCGGTAGAAGTTGGGTCCGAGAATTGGGTCGTCTGAGTAAGCGCTTGGTGGTTCCATGGGGTTGCTCCGACGCAATAGATCCATCACCAACCCGTGAAGTGAGCCAATTCCAGGGATTAAGAATCCTCCAAGTCCTGTTTCGCGGGACGAAGGGGCCTGTGTTGACGGTGGCGGCTGTGACACTGTGGCATCACCGAAGACTTTCAGGAAGCCACGGCCAGGTCGAGCCTCGGGTGTTGGTTTGGCTTTGACTGGTATTTTGTGGGGGTTCACTTTGAAGCGAGCCCACAGTTCAATTGTTCGAGGTGCTGCTTCTGGTTCGAGAGAAGCTCCCACGGGAATGTGCTCAACTACAAACTCTTCTGCCACGATGTCGCGGCCCAGAAGTACAGATAGTTGGGTTGTTCCGTTGCGAGGGGCACTGCACCAGCAGTCGCCTACCTCTTCCCACGCGGTTAGGGCAGACATGGGAGATTGTGGTGCTCGAATGGCGCGCCTGGATACAAACGAACTCGCCCAGAGGAGTGCCCGGAAAGAAACGCTCTGTTTGGGACCCAAAGTCGGTGAAGTTTTCGCTGGATCAACCATTGCCCCCAACGCCACCGAGAGGAAGTTTACCTTGTAGGCCGGTTTCCGGTAGAGGCTTGAGTCTGTGGGCGTCGAGTCATGAACGCTGGAAAGTGACTGTTCTGATCGAACAGAACTGAGCTCGTTCGACAAGGATGACATCTTGACGTCCATTTTTGAGACCTGGCTCCGAAGGCTATGGAAAACTTCCGGTTTAGAGATGTTTATGTTCGAAGAGGAATCCCAATCCAGAGAACCGTGCTCTACATAGTCGCGAAGCTTTGCGGCGATCAAGGGCACGAAAATAAAGCTCAGAAACAAAAGCAAATAGAACACACCCCGAATCCAGTTTTGGTATGGGCCCTCCATTGCTGCTTGCATCCGGATTTTTCGGCGTACCTCGCTAGGGGTTTCATTCTGGATCTTAGGCTCCCGACGTCGAGGCCGCACTGCTCCTAGCCATCGACGCAAAAAGCTTTCCTTGGGAACATCTGGCTCCAAATCATGATATATTGTCGATTCAAACTTGACGTATTCTTCTTCTCCTTCTTCTTCTTCTTCTTCTTCTTCTTCTTCTTCTTCTTCTTCTTCTTCTTCTTCATCCTCCTCGAGAACATTAGCGAGGCCAGAAACTCGTCGAGGTGGCGCTGTGATGTTACGTCCATGTTTGCTTGGTCGCGTTCTTTGCAGATCATCTTCGTTGATATCACGTTCCAGATTCCAAGACGCCACAGAAGCATTATCAACAGAGCTGTGGCGGAATGGCGAGCTGTCCATAGGACTATTAATACGAGGAGATCCCATTCGCTGAAGTGGCGATGGATACAGCGGAGAGTTCGACAACTGACGTTGTAATGGGGGTTGAGCGTCAGGACTATCCGTAGATACCGAATGCGGAACAGGAGGCGAAGGAGTTTGATCGGAGTGTTCATCTGCTGCATTATGGAGCGACTGCTGAAGCTGGGCTTCGTCGGGTGTTGGCTCACGCTTGCGTGCTTGGGTGCCTTGCTTCTTCTTTGTAGCCGCTGTTCGCCTTCGAGCAGTCTCAAGACGGGCATCGACTGCTCCAGCCATCTGATCAATCCCAATGTTGGGCCTTATCGACATGCGCTGAGGTAATGCTGTGGTAGTAGTAGCGCCATAGTTGAACGATGCTTGGACTGGAACACTGGGTAAAATAGGCGCTTGCACGCGGTCGAGGATTGACTCATATTCGGGTTGCAGATGTGTTCTCTGAGGAGTCGCGCCAGCCCGGCGTGAAACACGTTTGGGCGGCATCTGTACTTTGAACCTCTAGATTCCAAGGATAATGTTTTGTGTCTAGTTGAGATGTTAGCATTGGACTGGATAAAACAAAACAACCCCAGACAATGGGATATGGTCAATGTATAAATTGAACCCTTGGAAAAATCAATGATTGAAACAGATCATCCTCACATTCATGCATCAAAACATAATGCGACATGAACTAGAAATGGTGTGACGGGAATTCAACATGTGCTAGCATGACGGACCAGAGCCATTACCACATGCATTGAGCAAGAAAAATAGAAAGCGACATTAATTTTAGACTTACCACAGAGATTAAAGATGCAGACTCCGAAAGGCCGTGTGTAGATGTCCGAAGCCTGTGTAGATCGCGACCCCGGAGAGACGCGCAGACGCGACGGGAACGTGACTTGCAGCTACCAGCTACCAGCTTCCGAGGGCGATGCACCCAAGAGGTCGAGGACTTGTTCGCTTTATTTCAGGTAAAGCGATAATCTGGGGCTCTGGGTTGCTAGGAATCCGGGGAAGGCTCAGGAGGTTGAAGTGAGGAAAAGATAGATGGGGGAAAAGGGTGGAGGCGCAACTGAAGATCTGAAGATCACTGAAGAATCTCAACTGTCGACTCTGGGTTATATGCACATCGGATTCTGAAATCTCATGTTCTTTATATTTTTGCTGTTCTTTATAACTATAGTCTCACTTCCATAGTCTTTGTTGGTTAGATCTCTTTGTCAATCTCGGACTGCTACAATCTTGACACTATTTTTGTTTCAGCTACTTCTCTCTGTTTGAAGGACTTTGTTCATGTTGTATACAGAATAACTAACATGATCCTGCCCCTGATTCGCCCGGTCGCTACTAAGACATCGATTGAATACTATACAACGGTCGCGAAAAGGCTGAGGTGAAAGAAAATGTGACCCCCAAGTATGCGCCTTTTAAACAACAGATCTTACATATCTAACACGTCCAGGCAGCCATAGTGCCGTCTTTACGTCCTTCAACAAGGTAGCCATCCTTAAGACGAACCCGCTCGACGGTCGCAGGGAATGGCCCGTCGTCGTCAAGCCCAACGCCTGGACCGCAGTCCCAGTGGTTGCCATCAGCCTTGTCGTAGACCTTGACCACACTCTCCCCGGCAGCGGCCACGATTCGTTTGGAGTCGAACATCATGTCAGTGATCGGCTTGTCGTAGGCATAAGCGTCGTAAATAGAACCCATACGTAGATCCCAAATCTATGAACAGTTAGAAACAATGGCTAGGCGAAAAAGAAAACTGAAGTGCTTACCCGAATACTGCGATCGAGACTACCCGTGACCAGATGCACATCGTCGAATTGGAGACATGTGACCGGCCCCGTGTGTCCTACAAGACTCCGGTGGACATGACCACTACGCAAATCCCAGAGACGGACCATGCCATCTGCTGTACCGCATGCCAGCGCAGCGTCAAAGCACTGCACTGCGCCAATAAAGTCGGCCGAAGCATCGGGCATGCGACCCGATGGTCGCCAATCGGAGTCTCCCATCATGGACGAGGATGCCTGGGCGGAGGCCCACAAAACGTCCAGAGTTTGGACACAGCGGCCTTTGACTAGATCCCATTGTCTAAGCGTCTTGTCTGCAGATCCTGAGATCAGGGTGTCACCCTTGAAATGAAGCGCTGTCACCTCGTCGACGTGTGCCTCTAGCGAGAATACATTGCAGTCTTCGAGGTTAGAGGACGGCGGTGCTGGGAAGTTGTGCTCTATGGCTCCCTCTTCTTGGTCACGCTCGTGCTTGTTGAGGCGCCCATCCCGGGTGATGGGCCGAGCACGGCTCAGGTCCCACAGCTTGACAGATGCATCCATGGAGCCCGTGGCCACAATGTTATCTTGTACTTGCAGGCAGCGAACCGAGGCATTGTGTCCCTCCAAGAAACCGGAGCATCGGCCGACATTCATGTCCCAAACTCTCACGGTATCATCTAGTGCAGCGCTGACCATAGTACCAAATGGATAGTCAAAGTCCATGGCCGTGACCATGTCGGTGTGCGCTTCTATTTCCTTGATTAAAGACCCCGGGGCGAAGTGTTCGTGTAGAATCGGCATCGATCGTTTCCCTAAATCTGCTGTCAGTTGTGATTCGCGTACCAGATCGGAGGACTCCATACGATTAGATCGATGTCGTAGACTTTTTGATGAAGGTGAGGGGAGCTTCTCATAAATCGATTCTGACATGAACGAAGCGTCCATCGCTGGATCTCCCGACGATTCAACGGAATCCTGGCCATCTGACCGCGGCGTCGCAACCGGTGTTTCCTGTGATTCTTCCTCTTCTGGGAAATCTTCCAGTTTATTATCGAGCTCCGTCACTGTTCCATCTTAATCAGTTTTCTTCCTCACGATCCCGTTTGTGTCAATATGTTAACCCACGTTCTTGCTCCAATCCCGCTTCGTCCATTTCCAAGCCGGCCAATCGATCGAGAACAATCTTGCGGATTTTGTGCAAGTTGGCGACCTTGTTATCTATTTCATGGATCTCCGCACTGCACATATTCTTCCGGATTCCCATCAACTCTAATTTGCGACTCAGCGATTTCCGCTGGTCTTTCAACCCAGCCGGGCCGGCAGTCAAGGAGCCACCTCTCTCAACATCCTTGAGAAGTTTCCCCTTAGAGCTGCGCCTTCGGTGTCGCTTCTTCTCGTGTTGCTCATCAGGAACGGAGGCCTGGAAGCCTTGGAAAAGGGAGTAGGAGCTGTTGTCTTCCGGGATGTTGGCGAGAAGGTCATCCGGGAGGGATGAGAGGGCACGGGACTGAATCTCGGAAGTATAAAGCTTTGAACGGACAAGGTCGGTTGGTGTTGTTTGTGTAAGGGAAAACACCTTGCGCTGCGTGGCCGGTCGCCGCAGCTCGCGGTGGATGTCGGTCATAGCATGGTTCAAGTGGGCAGTATGCTGTTCGCCAGGTCCCATCAGGTGTCCTGCGGTTGTTGTGACTTTTCGTCCGAATGCTTCGAGGTGACGAGACTGCAATCACCGCAGATGAAATTCAGTCAGCCTGCAGTTTGGTGGGGGACGTCATCGGAGAATGGGAAAAGGCCTACCGTTAAGCCGGTGCCCAGAAGGCCATCGCCCTCGACGATATCTGACAGACCCGACGGCGAGTCGTCGCGGCGCTGGTTCTCCATGAGACCAAGTGTTTCTTGCGCTCAGCCAAAACCCATGCGATACGAGGAGGGGGAAAGTTGGTAGCTTGCGGTAGGTGGAAGTAGGAGACTTAGTGTCCCACGCGAGTTTACCGCGTTCCCCCGGGTTCTGCCGTATGGTACTTTTACAAGCTGAAACCAGCCCAGGTGCTTTCACTTTTTGACTGAATCTGGTTGAGTTCGATCAATATTGACCGTAATGCAAGGATGTTCAAGTGTGTTGATTTTAGATTGTGGTGTTCCTGCAAGTGCCTCGGTCGCATGTCCAAAAGTACCAAATGCAATCATAGAGATCATTGAAAAGCTCCCTTGTTCACCGGCTTTTCTATTTATAAATTGGCTCTGCATATGGAAATGAGAGCTTCTGACACAGCAGATTTCTTTGTTCCCCCCTTCTTTTCGATGTATAAATGGGAAAGGCGAGAGTGGACTTGACGTATCCGTCAGTCCCGCAGACTCTCCATCTACACATCACCACATTTCAATATGGATGCCGCCATTGACCTCTCCGATGCCTCCAAGGCATTGGACCTTGCTAATATTCGTTTCCAGTTGATGTGAGCTCCATTCCTCCGGTTGAAAAACTTCCCAATTCCCCCCGCCCCCGCCATACCTTTCAATACCACACTATAACCATGCGAAACACTACATTTCCATTGAACCAAACTCCATCACAATGAGAGCTGCTAGCTGATACTATAAGTTCCCAGTCGCATGGAAGACACAATTACCTTTCATATGATCGAACGGGTTCAATTCCCGCTGAACAAGACCATCTACGCCCCCGGCGGCGTTAAGATCCCGAACAGCGAGCTCAGTCTGCTCGACTACCTTCTCCGCGAACAAGAGCGCGTCCAGTCCCGAGTACGCCGCTACCAATCGCCCGACGAGTACCCCTTCTTCCCAGACGTGCTAGAAGACCCGATCCTGCAGCCGCTCGAATACCCTCGCATCCTGCACGAAAACGATGTCTGCGTCAACGACGTGATCAAGGCGCGGTACATCAAAGAAGTCCTGCCAACAGTGTGCCCCTCGTTTGGGCGAGAGGACCGTGGAGAGACACAGGAGAACTACGGCTCTGCGGCGACCTGCGACGTTTCTTGTTTGCAGGCGCTGTCGCGCCGCATTCATTTTGGGAAGTTCGTTGCGGAGTCGAAGTTCCAGAAGGATCCTGAGACATTTGTGCGTCTGATTAAGGCTGAGGATCGGGCGGGAATTGATGCTGCTATTACCAATTCCGCTGTAGAGCTGAAGGTTCTTGAGCGTCTTGGTCTCAAGGCGAAGACTTACGGCACTGACCCTGCTTTGCCTGATCAGAATGGTCCCAAGATTAACATTGATGCTGTTGTTGCTATGTACAAGGTACGAAGAGATATTTGGAGTTTTGCTTTTGGGTGTATGATCGCTGACTTAGGTGCTACTTTGATAGGAATGTGTCATCCCATTGACCAAGGTTGTCGAGGTCGAGTACCTCATGCAGAGACTCAAGGGCACACAGTGGGAATAAGAAGCATCTTAACATAGCTGAGGTTACGATACGACCAACCCATCGAATCTCAACATTTATGAAAATTATGTGAATTATGTGGCCGACGCAACACTCTGTCCCAGGGATGTACAGAAGACGAAAGCAAAAAGCAGAATAAGCTAGAATTGGATAGATTTTGTCGTTAATTGGGCATGAAATGCATCAGACTACAAAGTCTTAACATTAACTACGACATGTATTGCGTAAGAGCCTTAACCATGGGCTCGAACTTGGCCGCCTCAATCAAAATCAAGCTACCTTTCGTCCGGATGCCCAGCTCCTGGAACGCACGCTTGGAGTCTGCGTGTCCTTCATCGGCCTTGTGGGTGTAATCAATAGAGCCAGCACACAGCGCATGGCGCTCCACAACCTCGTCTTCGGGGTGGAAGAAGAAGCGCTCGGCCTGCTCACCACCCTTCTTCTTTTTCTTCTGGGGCCGCGACTCTTCCTGGTCAAGCTTGGACTCAACTTCCTCGTAGTTCTTCGAGAGGACCAGATAGTGCGAGAAGGTGTAGGGTTCCTTGTCCTCAACAGCCCAGGCAATCTCTTCCTGGAGCATGTTGTACATGGGAGGGACGATCTCGGAGGGCATGTTGATCAACCGCTCGGTCAGAATGAGACCGATGGGAGGGATGGGGGTTTGGGAAAGGAGCTTGGCAGCCAGGGCGAGGGACGGGTTGGAGGCGGTTTTGGTCTTGAGGTAGTTGATGAGGTCCCGTACGACGGGTTTGTCCTGGGATAGTTAGTACAACGTAAAGACAAAGAGCGGGAAATCACGCACCTTGTGTTCCTGCAGATTGAGAATTGACAAGAATGCGTAAGGGTCCGATTCATGTCCATCAACCTTCACTGTTGATCCCAGCGTTGGTTGGGAGAGGATCAAATCGGCCAGGGCGGACATGTCGAAGATCTGAGCATCGTTGTCGAATAGCTGGCGCAAGAGGTTCTTCAGGCCGTGGAAATCGATAGGCTGAGGGTCGAACCATTCGAATTCTACATTGACCATGTCCATGTCCTGCGATCGTCATTATTGTTAGCAATCCGACGGCACTCAGTCCGGGGTGCAAGTCTAACCTCGTCGGAGTCGGACTCCTCTGGCTTGGTGCCGCCCATTGTGACATCACCGAGTTCTTTCCGCTTAACCATATTGTGTTAATTGTATGTTTTGTCTGGGATTGGGTAGAATTGAAGTTCAAAAGTTGATCTTGGCCCCGCGCTCGGCCGCTTTCGAACTTTTTTCCTTATCAGCTGTTATCGCCGATGTAGGTCATTGTTGACTGACCAGGTGCTCCAGGGCCCATTGATTTCAGTGTTCTACGCTCTCAATATATTATTTCGGGGTCTTAAGAAGCCTTGGGAGAACCCTTACTTAATATAAGGGATCTCATTGACGAAATAGCTAAGGGTGTATTGATGGATATACTTGCACCTTAAGATATATATATATACACTTCAAGTAAAGAATTAGCCAAGATATATATCATTGGAGCGTTTGAAGCTTCGTAGGAAGATCTATTCATATACTACGAAATTAGAACATATCAAACAACGAAAACCATTGTTTTGAAGTCAAGCTCCAAGTCTAAACATCATACTCAACCGCTTCAACGGTCGGCACTTTATGAAGCTTAACATCAAAGAACTGAGCTACAAGCTGCACACAATCCCAAATAACCTGAACCTCCTCCTGAGGAACACCAATTCGCCTCGTACCACGAATATGCCAATGGGTCTCCTTAGGCAGATTCTGACTCATGATACCAGGCAACACAACAAGCTGAGTATCAAGATCATCCAAAACCTGACGATCCGACAAAAATAACCCATAAGTAATCTCCTTGGACAGCCAAGAAAAGTCCTTATGCGCACTGAACAAATCCAGGGTGTCTGTGGTGTTGCGCGCGTACAGCTTCTGCAGCCACCCCGTGCCGCGCTCATGGTTGGCCTGGTCGCATTGCCATCCCTCGCGAGTGAAGGTGTAATCCTTGTCCTCATCACGCTCGACCTCACTAATAGCCAGAATTGCCTCGAGGGGCTTGCATACTCCGACTATAGGCACGGATTTGACGAGCGCCTCGCGCAGCCGCCGGATCAGGGCTTGCCGGGCTGCGGAGGTTGCATAGTTTGTTTGCTGGGTGAGGTGGAGGTAGAGCTGGTCTGCTCGCTCAGGATCCGGGCTAGCGACTAGTGTGGCAATGGCTAGGATGTACCATTTGTCTTTGCCCAGACTGGTAGCCTTGAAGCGGTTCTCTAGCTCGGTGAAAAGTTGGTGGTAGCGGGGCTGGACTTCCGCTGTGGCGGTGGAAAAACTCATGGTTGTTCTTGGCGGTTGGTATGGTAGAAGTATGGAAAGGTTTACTTTGGGCTTCAGCTGCAGCTTGCTGGCTCGGATTGGTAATCGAGAGAACATGGCGTATATTGTACAGCGTCAGGTACAACGTAAAGTTGTGATCTCTCCATCAATCGCAGTGCACTCCGACGGCTGAAGTGGGTCGCTGCAGGTTCAGAGCATTTTGTATGGTATCCTATAAAACTTCGATTTCTTTCTAAGGAAGTAGAATTCTGGGCGGTAAGAAGAAATATCATAAAGAATATTTGATACTGCTTTAGATTTGCGAGTATTCCTATTTCAGCAAGACATCGTACATATCTGAGCCGATTGCGGACTGTAGATCACACACATCCATAAAAACATATCCCAAATGAAGTCAATGGATACAAAGATATCTACATCAAGTCAATTAATATATTAAGAAACATCTCATTCATACAAAAATAGGTATAACAAGCTATAACTTCATCTGAACAAGTATAAAAGTGGGGCGGGCACTAGCAAGCGGAACCCTAAAGCATCAACTCATGTCATAGAACACCAATGCCTTGATTACAACCTGGTCAAATCAGAACAACAAGGAAGGGTCCAGAGCAAATGCGATCAGAAACTGGACAAGAATCTGTTGTCATTGCCTTCAAACTGGGTAACGCCCCACTATGATCTCAGTGACTCCAGCATGACATCACAACGAGCATCCCAAGTATAAGACTGAGCTTTTCCAGTGGTAAAAGAGACTCAAGCTACTATTTCAAACAGACTACATCTCTTACATCTCTCAAAACCTTTCTACAAACCCCTCAACAAACCCCAAATCCACCCTATATCACACAACATGTCAGGCCAATCCAGCGTCGGAAACCGTGGTGTCTACGAGGCAGGCGACCAGCGCAATGTCCCCGTCTCCGAGCTCCAAGAGCGCGCCCGTTATGCCGAGGGCATGCCCCACAGCCACAAGAACCTTGATTCCAAGGACGGCCGCTCCATTGCCAACAAGCTTGCCTCCCAAGAGAACAAGCCCGACTCCTCGAAGCATAACAACGAGTACAACGCCGAGGCGGAGTTGAGCAAGCAAGATCCTACCAAGCCCGTAAGTTACTCACAGTATACACGAGCCTGATC